GCACATTTTACTATGCCTTAGCAAGTATGCTTAGGGATGAACCTACCCGATAGCCTAGGGAGTGGTTCCTCAATCTTGGGCATGCTCACTTTATAATCCCACACACCGGGGTTAATGTTACTGCTTATGGGCCTTTACATGCCCATCACTAGCCTTGCCAAAATTCCATTTTTGGCTTTGTCCAATTCGGGTAGACAGTCTTCTCTTGTCTCCACAATATTGGACATTTGGATAGCACCTTCTATCCATCATTCATTAAGGACTTAGTCCCTTGGGCCTTATCTATTGCCCTTGCGACATGAAACACCACCTCCTGGTGTTCTAGAGTGTTTGGGTGTCCCAATGATGGCCTCCGGACAATGAGCATTCCCGTTTACGACATTGACTTACTATATCGCAACATAAGCAATTTATCCTCTGTAAGGGTATATTTAACTTCCTTATACCATTAAGAAGTCTTGAGTAGCTACCTTCTACCCGTTTAACCAATTATATTGCACATCTTGCTTAGTTGCCTCATAGCTGTCAAGTCCTACAACTCATTGCTTGGTGCTTCCACACCTCCATCATTATCTGGGTCACCACACTTCAACCGCATGCCTTCCAGCTTAGGCCATGCCTTTCCCGCTTCTGTTGGGATTCCCTTGGCAAGGGGTTCTTATGAACCCACCATCATAACCTCAAGGTATCACACCTTGGCATATTTGGTGTCTCCACACCATCGGCCCCACGAGCCTACCCTTATGACACTACTTATTAGTGTCTAGATCTTTGCCAAGACCAATATAATTGTTCCTCATACTAACTATTCGTTAGCACTGCACTATAGTGCTTGTACCCAACTCTGGGCCAAAGTTGCTTTTTTCTGGGAACATCTTTCCCACAACTTTAGTATGGCATATTCGGCCATTAATGAGATACCTACTATTCTCATACTTGGATCTTATGATCCTCCCCATACCTCATGGGGCACCATACACCTTAGTCAAATGCTTCAACCAATCCTTTAGGACCATTACCTGACTCCGCTTGAGTCATCTAGCATTTTGGACTTTGCTAATCCAACAAACTGTGAGGTTTCAGTCTTAGAGGTGCCAACTCACTGGAATACAACTTCTTGTATTCATGTCCTACTCATAAGAACAATCTTTGCAAGTGTTACTCTGACACTTGATGATTTTCTTGGGGCTAACCTTTGCCCCTTAGGACCACTTGTCCATGTGATGAGAATACCAACTCATCCTCTAAGTACACCCTCACCTCCTTGGGTTGTTCTAGCATTTATTAGAGGTAGCTCCGACTACCATTTCAAGGACTTGTGTCCTTTTCCGTATTTGACCTCTCGCGGTCATTACTTCTGGTCTCACATTCATGAGCACCCACCTCAAATATATGAGGATAATCTTGTGACTCTTTTATTGTTTTGGAGTCTTTATCTTTCCCGTGATCCTAACTATAGTTGTTTACCACAATTACATTAGCCAGTTTGCAAAGTCAAATCCTCATCTGGATCACATCCTCAACTCTATGAAGAAACCTTTATACTGTTCCCAAGATCCCAAAGTTGTTCCCTTACTGGCCCTTTTTCCATCCACCACATCGTGCGCAAGTTCATGCATGAACTTGAGTGGAGAGCCATGTCTTTTCGACATGCTACTCCTCGAAGATAGGTCCATATCTAGGACCCTCCGATTCCAATACAAGCAGTGATATACTTGGCCACTAATAAGAGTCAGATTAAGGAACAACTCCGATACCAAGTTATAAGCGACTAATTTTTCCATTCTACTTTAGTCACTTAACCACACCTTTGACCACTTGGAGGGGTCTCATTCACAACCTCCTGAAGTCTAATTCAGGACTTGGGACTTGCTAGCCCCGAGGATGGCATCTATGCCACTCATCCCTTGCACTTAGTCCAAGTGCTCCACATGTCTGGTCCCAAGACCGACACCCAAAGGTACTACTGACATATTGGCCCATTACACTAAAGCTATGCCCATTCACCTTTGCCGCACTAGTGGTCCAATACCACTTGCATCACAATCCCGTCTCTCCAAGACTGGGCCAACCATCCGTGAGTGGTCATCCCAGATCCACTCCTTAGCATCTTTAGGATGCCTACTGACAAGGGGAATAACCTTCCCCAATATCCCTCTGTTAGTCCCCACTAGGTCCCGTTTTGCCCTTGGACGTGTTTGCCAACACTGCCACTGGATCGAGGCCCACAGGCCTGACCACTAATTCCCATGGTCCTCTAGGACTTCCTCACCACATGACCGTATCCTTGGCCACCACACCAAAGGACTGCTCCTTTCCCTTTCCATAGTCTGGGACTTGGGGACAACACTTCAGAACACTGTGGCCTTATACAAGCCACCTGGGTACTCTCCCCGCTTTCTGCCTTTGGGTGCTCTAGCCATGGGCTTAGAGTGAGGTTCCGTTGAGCCATGCCTGGTATCCAAGTAGGTAGTGCCACCCACACTTGGACTGGGAGCATCGGCCAATCGATCTCCCGAGGGAACTAGAGCCGGCTCTTGAACACTTCACCAAGCTACCTCACTTGTCGGTCCGTATTCACTCTAGTCTTGGACTTCCCAATGGTCAGTTCATCACCCAACACTGGGTCTGGCCTTCCTAGGCCAAACTAGCCTTTCCTGGCCAAACTAGCTCCACTGTAATCCTCCCCCTTACTATACTTTTGGAGCTCACCAAACCCCCCAGGGTCTGGGAGACGAACGCTTTGGGCTTTCACCCTCTCAGACTCGGACTCGGACTCGGACTCGGGCTCGGTCTCAGCCTCGGCCTCGGTCTCGGTCTCGGTCTCGGCCTCGGCCTCGGTCTCGGTCTCGGTCTCGGCCTCGGCCTCGGTCCCGGTCTCGGTCCCGGTCTCGGTCTCGGTCCCGGTCTCGGTCCAGACCTCGGACTCCATCTCGGGTCCTTCTCGGACTCCATCTCGGGTCCATCTCGGACTCCATCTCGGGTCCATCTCGGACTCCATCTCGGACTCCATCTCGGTCCATCTCGGACTCCATCTTGGACCCCATCTCGGACTCCATCTCGGACTCCATCCCGGACTCCGTCTCGGTCCATCTCGGACTCCATCTCGCACACTTCCACGTGTCATGTGTTGGTCCTTTTGGGTCCCTTTTTGGAGTCTCACTTATTGCTCTCTTCGTGCTTGTTCCTCGAGCACTTTGTTGGAAGTTCTACTCCCACTCTCGACCTTCCAAGTTGGAGCTTTTAGTCCAAATGTGTTACGCTCGTTTGGCTTTCGCTTCGGCCACTACCATGTGGCACCCTTTCTAGCTCCACTTTGGGACTTAGGGATTTTGTGTCTCACATCTAATCCCTGCGAGTGGCTGCTCCCAAACCGTTGTACCACTACAACGCTGTCCCTTGGAGACACATGGGAAACTCACACAAACGTCAAGCATCATCCCAAGAATGATATGTGGCAATCACCGTAAAGTGATTGAACCAATGGTACACATCATCCCCAGGATTTCTGCGAAAGAACTCCATCCAAACGTAAGGATTGGCACCAAGAGCAGGATGAGTTGTACCATGTGCCATGAATGCCGCTATCAATTGAGTTTAGTTGTTCAATTGCAAGCGCATAGCATCAAGCAATTGTACCAATTGCTGCTCCAGAGTCAAAAGAGGAGATTGTTGATCTGCCATAGAGACGAATGAAAAAGAAAGAGCAAAAGAAGAGAAATGACAAAAAAGCTAGAAGGAAATGGTAGATCTAGACAATGCAAAAAGCTAGATCTAAACCAAAGTTCTGAAAGGAAAGAACAAAAGAAAGGAAATAGAAAAAACTAGATCTAAACAATACAAAAGTTAAATCTAAACTAAAATCCCAAATCCAAACACTCCCTAGGGACAATCAAAAGTGCCCCTCACCTCCACCAATGTGAGTGCATGGAATATAGAAAGGGAATACAGAAATGTGCATATCAATTAGCCCAAAAACCCTAATTTATATACAAGAGCGAGTGGTTCGAATTAAAACCAATCCGACCGCTACCAAAATCCCACTACACTAATATTAGTATATAGCATCGTAGCCGTACACTTAGCCCTCACATGTAAATATATTCTTAAATAAATAAATAAATAAATTACAATCGATTTGAATAATAAGCAATATTAATTAATAACAATCCTTGAGGTCCAATTTCACAATTATATATTATCAAATTACCATTATTTATTAAAATAACTAGACAATGTTCATAGTAGTCATTAAACTAAAAATAAACCTAAATACGTTAATACTAAGTTTAATGAATTCTTTTATCATAAATAAAACATAAATAAACTTTTATATCAATTTACAAAGATGGCAATATTAATAACATGCATATATTTACATTATGTTTTACAATAATTTTATATTTATTGCAAATTTGTGAACTATGTTTATTGTGATGTACAGATTAAAGATGGTTTTGCATGATTCTATTTGCGTAAACCATGTTTATGTTAATTGTGAACAAAATGTGAACCATCGCAATTGTAAAGGTGGCATATTGCAAATTAACATATGTGTACAAACTATTATTAACATATTGTCGAACTAAATTTCTAAATATATTTGCATCAATTTACAAGGATACTTTAATTGGACAAAAATATTTTCAAATGAGTTATGTTTAGGTTTATATGATTAAATTAAAATTTAAAAACAGTGCATTGTACATTTATGTATGTTCCTGGATCAGATTAAAGATGAGTAGACGCAATGATGGATCCGCCTATGCTTGATGGGCACAGCTTGATCTAATAGTTTTCGTTTTCTTCACAGCTAGTGTCAAAATTGAGGGAACTATAATGCAAACCGGTACCTCCTCATCGCTCAGCACCCGTTGCTCGCTTCCTTTTGCCTTGAGCTCGTGGAACTTGGTTTTACTGATCCTCCCATGTCACCTCCGTCTCCAAGCCCTCCGGATGAAAAACCAGCTCGCAGCCGCCCTTAAAAAGAATGAGCCGGCATAAACTAATCCACGCAATTGCGCTTTCGTTTCTTGGAATGCCAACTCATGTGTCCAATGCACTGCCTGCTCTCCATGAACTTCTTCCTGCACGTCACGCATTCGAACGCGCCACCACCTTCCACAGCCTCCAAGCTCCTGAGCTCCCGGATCTTCTCTCCCAGCTCCAAGTTGGCTATCACGTACTTCGAAGCCGCCTCGAAAGTGGGCCACGACGTGCCATCCGGGCTGTAGAGGAGGAGCTAGTTTACTTACAAGCGATGGAATCGATCGGGCAAACACTTCCTACCTTCGAAAGTCGCGGAATGCCAAGAAGTAGCGCCCCTGATCCTTGCGCAGCCCTGCCACCACGGACCATCCCTCGGGGAGGCCCTTGGCCGCCACCACCTTCTCGCGTTTCGCCGGCGAGATCCAAGTTCCTCGCATCCGGAGAATGTGCTCCGCCAGGGCCGCCGCCTCCTCCTCCATGGTGACTTGCCCTAGGATCAAAGAGTGTCCAAGTTTAGAACGCGGAATATGCTACTGACAGTTAACGTCCGTACCGTGGAAGATCAACCGTACGCGTTCTATCACATGAGCCGGAAGAGCAGGGTGGATTGGCTGGCCTCCACCCTGCGATCGTGTTCCAGCGCCCGGGATCTGGCCAGGGGGAGAGAGATCCACTCGCGGATCCTCGCCAGCGACGAGGACAGGGGCAGCGTCTACCTCGCCAATCTCCTCGTCCAGATGTATGGCAAATGCGGGAGCGTGGAGGAGGCCCAGTCGGCGTTCGACGCCATCGCGCAGCCCAATCGCTTCTCCTGGAACATCCTCCTCCAGGCGTATGCCCACAACGGGCACCACGACCGCGCGTGCGAGATCTTCGACCGCGTCGCGTCGCCCAACTCGGTGTGCTGCACCAGCATGATCACCATGTACGCGCAGCTCGGGCGAGTCGGCGACGCGCAGGCGGTCTTCAATCGCCTGCCCAGCCCGGACTTCGTCTCCTGGAACGCGCTCCTCGCGGCATATGCCTCCAACGGGCATTTGCAGCGGGCGGTGGAGGTGTTCGCGAGGATGGGCGAGCACAGCGTCGTGTCGTGGACCACGCTGCTCCAGGCCTACGCCCTCTCCGGCCGGATCGACGAGGCCGGGCGCCTCTTCGACGCCATGCCGGAGAGGAACGCCATCTCCTGGAACGCGATGCTCGCCACCCAATGCCGCGGCGACGACCTCGAGCGATCCAAGGCGATTTTCGACGCCATGCCGCTGTGGAGCGCGCGATCCTGCAACTGTATGATCACTGCGCTCTCAGACGCCGGCTGCGCCGATCTCGCGCAGTCCCTCTTCGAAGCCATGCCCGAGAGGACGACGGTGTCGTGGAACGCGCTCATCGCCGCATTCGCCATGGCCGGGCGGGCCGGCGACGCGAGGGCGTGCTTCGACGCCATGGCGGAGGAGAGAAACCTGGCGACCTGGAACTCGCTCCTACTAGGGCTCGTCCAGGCGGATGATCGCCTCCACGACGCGCGGGGGATATTCGACAGGATGCCGCGGCGGGACGTGGTGGCATATACCACCGTGATGTCGGGATATGCCCGCGCGGGAGATTTGAACGAGGCTGGGGCGGTGTTCGATTCCATGCCCGAGCGGGACACGGTGGCCGGGACGAAGCTGATGGCGGCATATTCCCAGAACGGGCGTGTGGACAGCGCGGAGATCCTCTTCCGTACCATGCCCGCCCGGGACATTGTCTCCTGGAACACACTGATTGGGGGGTACGGACAGAACGCCAGGGCCGACGACGCGCGGTCGGTCTTCGATCGGATGCCCGCGCGGAGTAGCGTCTCCTGGAACGCGATGATCGCGGCGCTGGCGCAGATTGGCCGGTGCGGCGAGGCGCGGGCTGTCTTCGAATCGATGCCGGGGAGGGATTCCCTGTCTTGGAACGGGATAATCTCGGGCTACTCTAGCTCCAGCGATGGTCGCCGCGGCGCGATCGATGCGCTCCGGGGCATGGCGCTGGACGGATCGCGGCCGGACAGGGTCACGTTCTTGGCTGTTCTTGGCGCTTGCACAAGCTCGGGGTCGCTGGGCGAGGCGCTAGAAATATTTGGGTTGATCCGGGATCACGGCCTGGATCCGGCCCCGGAGCACTTCTCGTGCGTGGTGGACATGCTGGGGCGATCGGGGCGGCTCCGCGAGACGCAGGATCTGATTGAGCAGATGCCCGATTTGCCGAGCCAGTCGCAGTGGGCAAGCCTGCTCAGCTCGTGTACCATCCACCGCGACGTCAAGCTCGGCGAGATCGCGGCAAGGAGAGTGTCGGAGAACGCATCGGAGGCAGGCGCGGCACGGATTTCTCTGAGGAACATCTACGCGGTGGCTGCCACTTCTCTCCAATCACGGTAACATTTAGATGACAATGGAGTCTCGGCTGCCGCTTCAAGGTATTAAGCAAGCACAAGAATCCATGGACGATCAAGGAGACACGGATTGCAGATCACAGCAGCAGTAATGCACCAGGTGAGCTCCCCATTCCCATATTTGGACAAAAGAAGCTCCTGGCTCCTTTGTCACTATGGAGTTTTTAAACTTTTGCAAAAGACGTGAGTGCAACCTATAGTGGAAGTGCAGCACAAGTGGCTCATCAACTTTGTTAAAACTTTGAGTCCCCTGTTTTCTAATCACTATAATCTTGCAGGTTTGATTGCTTTCAAAGTGTTAACAATTGAAAGAGATTTTAACCAACAAGGTCCCCCAGAAAATACGAGGATGAGCATTGCCAACTCAACACGAGATTGCCAGATCGGGAGCGGATACAGCAAGCAGTGAGGAAGCCCTGGAAGGCAACAGGTTTCACGGCCATACTTACGTGATATTGGAGATCCGGATGCACAACCATGAGGGTTCAACCTCTTGCTCGCGGGGGTACATCTTGGCTTGCACTCGGTGGCCAGCATAGTTGGTGTATTCTGTCCCAGTGCCGCACCTTGTTAGTTCCTCGGGAACAGGGAACATGCCTTTTACCAGGGTGATATCCTGGTCAGTGAGTGCTCTTCAGAACAAGGCGTGGTGTGTTGCCATCTCACTTTTTCGTGTAAAATCTACAAGACAACAAGACAAAGATAATCTAGGTTATTTTTACTAGGCAGCAGTTTTTTAATTAAAGTGTGTGATATATTAAGTTCTGCTCAAATGTGAGTAATCAACCCATGCTTTTGTGCAAACAAATCAAAGAAGAATGAGCATTTAGCATAGAGGCACAGGGTGAAGGCTACAGAAATAGCAAGCATGTGATGGTAAGCTTTTGGGGATTTTATTTAATCATTCATTAATGGAGAGTAGATCCTTTTTCAAGTCCTAGGTAGCAAAGTGTCTTTTAAAATTATCAATAATTCTAGTTGAAGAAGCAGTGTGGTTTTCATAGTGCTCTGAAATAAAGAAAAATCTCAGTTACAACATTTCACATGAAGTGCAGGTTGTCATTTTATATTGAGTGAGGATTTACATGCAAGATATAAGTTTGATTTTTTTTCCTTTTCTTCCTAATATACCACAATGCATATCATTACTGCATTTACAATTAGTGCCACTTATTCATTTAATCATAGTACTTAAGGCAATGAGAATCTTGGTGATTACACCCTCAATCAATAGATGTAGGAGGAAATAACTACATGTATAATGGTGATGGCCAGCAAAAGCCTATTCTTCACTAGCTTTTGGTCAAGGAGATAACTTCAGGGGTGTGAGAAGATAATATGATTTATCAATTTTATTTTGTGATATAATGGAATAGCTTAGAGAGTTCAACTTCAAGAGCATAAACATCCTATAATGGGATATACAAAAAAATAGCAAAAATGGTATACATCCCTACTGATTCAAGTCCATTGCTTTTTGCAAACTAATACTAAGTAAAGATACTATTGTTTGAACATGTTAATCACAATAACAAAGAAGGCTTTTAACTTTTAAGGTACTATTTTCCATTGCATTACAGTTAATATGTAGACTGATGTAATAAAAGTCATTAGGGGCCATGCATGCTTACTTTGAATAGGTACTTTGTTTATCAAGTTCTTGTGTGCTTAGTAGTTTTTCTCTCTTCTTTTGTTTTCAAGTTAAGGTCAATAGCATAAAAAGAAAATGAAAAATACTCATGGAAAGGCCACCAAGCATCTTACACATGAGGTTCATCTCTTAATGTTTTTCTCTCTTTCAATAGCTTTAGCATGTTGAAAAGTCCAAACTAGGAAGATGTTGCTACTTTACCTAGTGGTAGGACAATTGACTTGCATGGGTTTAGCACATCTATTTGCTGTAGCAAGAACCCTCAGTAGTGAGAAAAGTGAGTTAAGTTTTGTACAAGTACAAATTGTCACATTTAGACTTTATGCAAGTAAGAGAATTATTGCACCACAAGTTTATGATCACAATGGTGATATCTCATTATGCAACGGTTGAGGAATTTAGACTTGGAGGATGAAAATGTGTTTTGGACCAGGCTTCCACCACCAAAAGGTGGCACACAGTGTTCACATAGAGAAAAGATTACTCATGAGAGAGAATTACAACCCACCAGGAAGCATTATTGCTAACTTTGAAATGTTTGTCTAAAATTTAAATATAAAATAAAATTTTAAGTAACTTTAAGAGTTAGTATTATAATAATTCATCAATTTTTTATATATAGATAGCGTTTTTATAATTATACATCAAGCTTAAAGTCTCCATATTTATATCTAATATTTAACTATAAATATTCTGGATATATCAAGTTTTAAACTTGCAAATTTGTAGAAATTTGATAGATTGAAGGTAATGGATATTTTATATAGTTCTGGATGTGCTACACAAGACCAAGTTCATCAATCTAACAAAGATTAAACAAACAATTTTCTTTCTTTCTGATGCCAATTGTAAATTTTTGAATTTAGACTTTTTTTTCACTCAACTTAGTATTATTCAAATCCAAGGATATTTAACCCTAAATATCCTAAGACTTGGTGGGTGGACTCTTTTTTATGGGTCATTTCCTTTTCTAAAGTTATTCTCTTTATTTTATTATATTTAGATAGAAAAAATTGTTAATTTAAAAAAATAAACAATACCATATTTCATAACTCCACCACTTTGAGAGTTGTCCATGCTTCACATAATACTTTATAATACTTTAGCTACTCTCAAACACCAATAGTACTAATACCTTATTCTTTACTATATATAAAGGAAGCAAACTTTTTATAACAAACTTGGCAAGCCTACTTTTGAGCATCTTCTTGTCTATTAGTTTAATTTAGTTGAGGCAATAATTACAAAGTAGGATTCACTCCTTCTAATTCTAATAAGTCAATTTGCTCCAAAAGGGGTGAGTCCAAAGTGTGGACACTGCTTGGCCATCACAAATCGTTGTTCTTGGTTTGTTTCTAGATCTCAACCACAAAGAAAAAACTTATCTTTATGAATCTTTGGAGGAAAATATTTTCACCCCAATTTCTTGAAAATGTGAGCTAACAAATCTTGCAGAAGGCTGTCAAAACTCTGTTGTCTAATGTAATAATGATGCTGAATAAAAACCTTTGAAAGCAAATAAAACTATAGTTTATTAATGGGATTGGGAATGAGGAAATGAAAACAATAAATAGATCTTCAAAGTATCGTGAAAAGAGAAGAGTAGCATTTCCTCCATCACAATGCATCTCAACTCAATCCAAAAGCCTGTGCTCTTGGCACGAAGTAATGGGGAGTAATATATATATATGTATGTATTAGGAAAAAATACCTATATTCTATTTCTTGAAAGGATCTATTCAAAGGATGAGACTATGGTATTTGTAGATTGAAAGGTAAGCACTGCCCCTCATCAACTTTGTTAGAAACGTTGAGCAATGTCCTCCCTTGCTTTCTCACTATAGCAGCTTTCTTCTTGCAAGTTTGATTGCTTGTAAAGTGTTGCATTTTTGTAAGCTTGATCTAAATCTAGGGGTGGAACTTTTGCTTGTTTAATTACTTGTGTTGTAAATTTTAGGACATGTATGCTACAGCCTAGAAATTTCATGAGTTCTAAGATGTACATCAGCAAGGAAGACATATTAGTGAGAAGAGGAACTCTAGATTGATTTCAAGGAGTAGGCTATAAAGATGGTTTGTTCTCTTGTTTTGGAATATAAGAGTTTGCAAAAAGAGATGCACATTTACCTAGACCTTCAAATTAACTTGTTTCTCTTGTCACGTGTCTTCCAGACCATGGCAAAAAGCACAGTAACTAAAACAAAAGAAAAAATTAAACACCATCAAGCTTGTGGGTTATTATTTGAAAAATAGATTATAGGTAATAGCAATGATTTCTTTAGAAAATATTTTAATTATTTTTAACTTTAAAAAACTTAAAGGTGGTAATAACTGAAGACTAAATATAAAATTGAAACTAAATTAATAATTTGCTGTGTGTTGTATGCAACAACACTTGGTTTGCTTAATAGTAGTGTTATTTCTATTTATTAATCTAATTAATCAAATGGAAGTTTATAATTATAAATATGTTTATAATTTTTAAACACAAGATTAATCTTATTGAATATTAACCATCAGATAGTAGAATAAACTAGAATATACTAGGAAGTGTTTAGGGAAGTTTATAAATTATAAACATGTTTATAAATTATTAAAACAAGATTAATCTAATATCCAAGAATATTATAGATATATCCATTACCACTTCACTCCCCCTACAGGTTTGCTTGAGCAAACCAAAAAATGATAGTGATAGAGAATGATTTTGATACTTATATTTTAATATAAGATCTTAAATTTCTTTTGGAAAACCAAAAACCAACTCAGCTGTATAACTGTTGACTAAGCTTGAGAATCAGGTTTTTAGTGCTATTAAAATTTTCATTTACTAATATATGTTAACACAGTTAGTACAAGACAATTAGAGAAAGTTTAAGATCATTAAACTACAGCTGGATAAATATCGTAGAATATACTTAGATATCAAGGCAAAAAACAGTTTAACTTTATAGCTTAAACTATTTACATTTAAAATAAAAAAGACTTAGAGATTTACTTCATCATCAGATGAGAAAATTCAGGCATCCTATCCTACTCATTGCATTATTCATGACTTTTCTACATAAAAACTATCTAACATCTAGAGCTGAGTGAATCCCAGGACATGGTTACACTCGCTCATCCATTTTACGAGGAAACATTTTCAAGAATCTGACACCAAAAAGGAGTAGATTAATCTAATGTGAGGTCAGCAAAAACTCAATATCTCTTTCTTGTGATTATGGCTCCTGATTGCTTGCTAGAAGTTTCAAGCAACATAACAGATGTTAATAGCACCAAGTGAGTTTTCCTGCCGTATTATCTACATGTTGGTCCAGGTCGAACGCTGTGGTGAGAAGCACGTTACTGCGGTTGCGGCACACTGCTCCCAGCACTCCCCTTATCTTGATGCTAGTCTGCTCAATCTCCACCATCTCAAATCTTCCGCAACTTCTGGCAAAGCCCTCCCCGACCACCATAACTCCATTTTCGTTTCCAATGTGGGGATTAAGCGGGAGGTACGTCCAAACGCGAGGGTTTGGCAGGCACTTGGAGTAGAGGAAGCTGAAGGACATATACGTTTGATTGCATGTAAGCGAGAAGAAGCCGCAACTCTGGACAATTGCACATGATATTCCTTCTATTCTTCTCTTTTAAAGCACATTTGAGCTTTACCTTTGCGAGTGAGATGAACATAAGTGGTAGCAGTGCAAATTGATACCTCCAGCAGAAAATTGGACCCATGGTTTTCTTTTCCTTTTTTGCATAGAACGAAGTTATGTAGCCCAACCCCTAGCAAAAAGACAATGAACTTAATCCGTCGTTTTCCCATAGCTTCGCGCTTTATACTTTCGGTCCACAAGGCATTTCTTCCTTGCAAACCCGGCATCTGGCGTCACGGCCATGCATTTCTGAGAATCGGTACACCTCTCTCAAGCAAAGCAGACATTACAAAAAATTTGATGATTATTAAGTGTGGCTAGAAAATGTGTCTTCTTCATCGTCCAAAGAGAAAGAACTAGGTCGATTCTCCTGCCAGCAAAAGAAGCCGGTTTAATCACTGGCGCTTCTCCAGATTGCTGGAGCTTGTAGCTTCAAACAGTTTTGAGAAACATGAAAAGCAAAGAGTTCCTAGTTTTGACAAAGAACGACACTCCAAAGCTCACAGAATTAAAACCAAGAACAAACCAAAAGCAAGGACGAGAAACCACAAGAAAAATGCCCACAGAGGAGGAGAAGAGAGGAAACTTACCAGCATTACGAGGCCAAGGCTTCGTCGCCGGCAGCGGCGGCGGCAGGCTGGGGGATCTTGAGACCCACCTTGGCCTCCTGCTTCTCCTTCTCCATCTCCATCTCCAGCTGCTGCATCTTCCACACCCGCGCGAGATAGAGGTAGTACTGGCACTTTTCGAAGCTGTGGCGGAGCTCCACGCATCGCCACGGCAGGTAGTAGTTCTGCTGCCGGCACTTGTTGAGCGGGATGAGCCTGTGCGCGCATTGATCCCGCCACTCGAGCGGCACCCGCGCGCGCTCCATCTCCTTGTTGCTCGCCTTCATCTTGAGCAGATACTCGTAGCTCGCCTTGGATTCGTCCACAAAGCGCTCATCTTCTTCGTGCAGCACCTCCCCCTCCTCGCCCCCCATTCGCTCCCTACTCTCTGCCCTAAAACCCCAACCAATAGAGAAGAGAGAGAGAGAGAGAGAGAGGTTTCAAACACTTCTAGCCGTCGATTCGAATGTTCTTTTTCACTATTTCTCCTTTCACGGGGAATCTCCACCGTTTGTTTGTTTTTACATGCTTCGTCCCCGCTCTGCGAAGAGAGTAAACCATGGACTTTTAAAACACTTGAAAACCACGGAACTTACTTGCCCCCTCTTCGCGGCGAAATTTTTTTTTTTCTCAGCGGAGTAGCGCCGAGAAAAAAAAACAGCATCGATCCATTTCTTCCTGTGATGAATACATGGAAGCATTGTATGAAGATCAAGAGGGTGATTGAAAAGGAGTATCTTACCTCCTGTGGCTTCTTGTGCAAAAGCCACGTCCTGCCAGCACTGGTGGTCTCATTCGCTACGAGGAACTGTGAGCCACTTACCGGTAAAAAGAATAGCTTGGCAGTGGCGTGGAGCAAAGTGTGTCTCGCCTGTGCACAGAGGCCACTCTTAAACAGTGAGACTAGAAAACGAAGCATCTCGAGTACCTAAGTGTTAGTCTGGTGTTCATCTCTGCGTTGCTTTGTCCACCTCAGCTCGTGGCACTGCTCGAGCCATCCTGCGCTCGTTGCTTTAGTAGCTCCATGAGAGCAGCCCTGCGTCGTGACTCCGCCTGCTGTTGCGAGCGTCTCCCATGCTCTTTCAAGTCCCTGGATAGATTACGCGCGTAAATAACGTCCTTCTCAGACCAAACGCGATCAAGAGACTTACTTGCAGCGAGGAACCCGGCAGTCCGACTCCTTGCACGACCGAGCATGGAGTTGCAAGAGATGCCACATCAACTTGCAGTGACGGCATCCTCCAGAGGCCCTCGTCTTACATACCGTCCCGTGTCTAAACAAGTTTTTCACCTTCCGACACTTCGGATACTGGCATTGGAAAGAACAGCACTGAGACGAGTGAATCAGGAGCTGCACAATTTTTCGGAGCTGCCAATACACAGAGAAAAGATAACTTAGACGAGAAACAACAAACAACAAGGCCAGCACAAACCTGTACAACGCGTTGTTGCCGAGCTTCTTTATTCTGTGCATTCCGTTCGGCTACTGATAGCTGGGGTTTGAGCTTATGTGGGTGCTTTGGTAGCTCCTTGTGATAGCAGGCCGCACAGAGGTCAAAATCAGCGCACGTATCGCACCGCCAGCCCTTCCCCGTTTCAATATCTTGGTTGCAGATATTGCAGGAAGTCACGAATGCTGGAGCTGTAGGATTATGTAGGTGATAAAGCACCATCATAGAAGAATGCTTGGCGCGTCTTAATGTATCGTGCTGGTAGTGGTTGCCTTGGCACAGGCTCAAGAACGCTTGTCTCGTATCAAAAAACTCACTTTCCATAATCTCATCTTTATCTTCGGTTTCTGCGGGTATATCATTGACCTCGACCTGCGTGGATAAGACAGTTCAGGGACTACTAGAGACGGGACCATACATACCGCAAATAACTCATGAGTTTCCCTGCTGTTCCACGGGTGCCTGTCCTTTTCATCCCTCTTCTGGTCGGCAACATAACACCTGAAAGCCATTGCATCACAAGATCATTCTTTGGAAAGTCGAGAAATTGTTAATCAACCTGTTGCACAGGTGGAAGTTCTTGCATTGTTTGCAAACCCAGCGACACTCCGAAGTGATAAAGAGACGGCAGTGCCGGCAAGAATGATGCATGTGGACCAAAATAAAGTCCTCCTTTAGAGGTGATATTGCTTGTCCAAGCTGTCATAAAACAAAACATGTCTAGAAATAAAGTTGGAACCAATACACTTACCTTGTGCATCAGTTGCAAGTCCTTTGAGGCATTGCTAGAGGGCTCGGATTGAGCTCCAATTCTCTTTGCAACACCTTTCTTGCTTATTCCCTTCTTGTGAAGCCTTCGTTTATCCTCCTCGTCCTGGTGAAGCTGTAGCAGAACTTCTTCTGCCGCCCCAGGCCAATAATCCCCGTCAAAATAAGGAAGTCGTGCAGCAGTTACGTGAGCCTTGCACTCGTCAGGAGAAATAAAAAAGTAATCGTAGAAGTTTGTTAACTCCACAACAATGTTCTCTTTTGTCGCTTTGCCGAGCATTGCAAGGTACCTGTAAAACATATACACTTCAAGCAAATGATGCTCATGAAGCATCTCACCATTCTCGGAGTTTATCCGACTTAGGTGTCTTTTGGATCTCCGGATGGCAATACAGTATATAGTCTTCTCCTCGAAGAGGTGGACAAGCCCAAATATAACAGCTACCGAAACCTCTTCTTTTACAATATTCCAGATATCCAATCTGCAAATACAAAACTTGTTAACCTGCATCATCAAACAATTACAAACGAAGTACCAGGATTTCGTGATAAACAAATGTTCGAAGAGCTTCACCCGTAACGGTTTTCACTTCGGGCCGAAAATACTTGACAGAGTCCAAGTAAGCAATATAAAGCCGACGATTGTTCGGTTCAGGGCATTCAGCACCAAACTCCTGTACGTACATCCCAAATAGACACACCTCGACTCCTTCAATTCTTTGAAAGAGTAATACCACCTAAGAAAGACAGGAGATTAGCCAGCACGCAAGTATATGGCGGGCGGATACCTTCGACTTGTAAAGGTATTCACTGGGATAATTGCTGTCTTTAAATATTTCCAGAAATCGCTGCTTCACCTCAAGCTTTTTGTCGACAGATGATACTACTCTCACAACTAAACCTTCAGCTCCAGGGACCTATAAGAACAAACAGTCAAAAGCAAGTAAAAAAGAAGCATGAATACCTCTTCAAAACTTTTCCCTTGTGCTTCGGCGCGGTCAGCTCTTTCCTTCCTCAAACTGCGTGCCAATCTCTGCTCTAGATGGTCACTCAGTAACGTTTTCGGCAGGTCTTTGGCACCTAAAACGGCTGTTAAGGGAAGAGGAGTTCTATCCCCACTTTCCATGTCGTTCAGCAGACAATAGGGGCAAATAAATTCCGTGTCACCACCTTCATTTCTTCTACCATTAAATAAGGCACAGATTTGATGCTGCCATACATTGCACTTGTCACATTGAACCCACTGCATAAACCATACAAGTCAGACGTTTCAAGGAAAGAGAAAAAATATAGAAGCACATACCGCCTCTTCTGTTTCTTCATCGTTTTTCTTCTTTTCCAATTTCGACTTGGGATAAAGCTGACCATCAAGGCCAACTGTATCAGCAGGGCTGGCATTGTAGCAGGGAATGCAAAAGTAGTGCCTAGTTTCGCCAGACCCTGCAGTGTAGTATACAGAGTTCCTCTTCAAACGAACTCCACAAGTTGTGCAATACAAAGGTGGCGGTTCGAAGGTAAGTCTCTCGACAGCACATACACGACAAGCACTTTCGCTGGGTTGCTGTTCCATTGCTTGATGCTTTTCAGCCTTTGCCTTACTCTGTAATGGTTCGAAAGAGTTAGAAAAGAAAACTTCAAACGGGAACGAACCTGTCCTGTCCATAACCGAATGCTGGAAAAGTGCTCCAAAATCTGCTCCTTGGAGAAAAGCTCTAGGAGAGAGATGCCAACGACTTTCGACTTCCCGGACTTGAGCGACACATTATTCGACGAATGCCCAACCTCTTCCTTGATGGCGACTAATGCCGAACTCTCCATAGACGGGCCAGCTTCCAGCATGCCATCATCTTGCCCATCAGGCAAAACGCAAGGCTTCACGTCCACTTGCTGCGCGACAATGGGACCTTTTCCTTTGCACATGCCGGCGCTCTTCACCTGAGCAGTAGTACCAGGCTCGACTTTGATCTTCTTAGGAAATGGAGGACCACAGTCACTGCCTGCTCCAACTCCACCGTAGCTCTGAATGTCGACTTCTTCCTTGACCCTCTTAGCAGCCACTTGAGTCTCTTCGGTGCAGGTCGAAGCGGTAACAACGCTCGACGAAGCAGCGGCGATCGTTGCTGCCTGCGCAGCTGCTCGTGCAAGTCGTCGAGCCGGAGCACACAATGCACACTGGAGGTTTTCGCACTGAGAATGGTGGCGGAGCAGCGCCCGAACGACTTGGCAGTGACTCGACTGGCAAGCGGTCTCCCGGCACTTGGTCGCATGCCTCAAAACCTGTTGTACGTAGTGGCATCGGGAGTTGAAATTGCACTGTCCTTCCGGAGCGGTACACTTGTTTGCATGGCGTAATAAACATAGCCAGTGCTGCTGCCTCCTCAACATCTCCTTTTTGTCGCCTGACATCCCATTAGCAGTACCGTCCCCAGGCTTCAATCCATTCTGTAACCTGTCTTGGGCAGTGGCAACCCCGTTTTGTACGCGGACCACATCAGCCTTTTTCTGGTTCTGGTTTGGAGTCTTTTTCTGCTCTTGCACTGTAGTCGCTTCTGACTGTCGCTGTTGCAACTGAGACGGCAGACCAGGTACTGGAATCATTTTCGAAGACTGGCTGCTGGGTATTTCCCCATTGAGTGACTTGTGTATTTGGAAGCCTTCACCTGGGACATGCCGCCGTCAGCAAATCTATACAAAAAGTTGAAAGATAAAGAACTTACGCTGGATCTGTCCCTGGCCGAAATAGCTGGACGACGAGTGCATTGCGTTCCCATTCAAAGAATACTGACCTCCGTTCCCAATGAAGGGACTATCTAACCTCCCATTTACAAGCGACGGGTGCATTTGAGCCGAGGTGACCATGTTGGAGCCCTGTTGCACCATTCGCACCCCGCCAGCTCCCGAGTGAGAAACCAAAGAATTCGAGGGCGCCGTCGACACGGCTAAGTTGTTCCTACGAGAGCCGGGCATTGCAAACTGCCCCGGCGCTCCGGAGAAGGACGCTGGACTGGTGGCCAGGCCGGGAGTCGGGATCATAGTAGCTGCGCCGGGCGTTGGAATCATGGTGGCCGTGTTCCTAGAGTTAGCTGCCGTGTTCCTCCCGGCAGAAATCCGCTTGGCTACCGACTGGATCCGTTTCTCCAGTGTGTTCATATCATTGTACTCCTCCTGTAGTGATGCTCTCGATCAGTCACGAACAAGAGAAAAGTGTAACCAACCTTGGACGCGGCGTCGCGATATAAACCCTCCTCGAGCCTCCTCACCATCTCGGGCAACCTTTGCTGGTACTCGGCAGTAGAGTTGTTCTTCTGGAAGAGCTTCAAGCTGGGTAGCAACAAGAGGAAGAGAGTCAAAACCAGGGAGAAAACTTACATTGATGGCGTGATGGAAGCGGAGGGAGCCTTCCATTCCATGCAACAGGCAAATGGACGCGATGATGCGAGCTAGCCTATACCCTAAAAGACAAAAGGGGATAGCGATTTCTTACACATGAGCGATCACGAGCCTGCGGTCGGGCACATCGTCGCCCTCGGCGTGCCAGGACGCGCGATTGCGGCTGGAGCTGGCAATGTGCTGATGCCCCGGGGGCTGGCCCTGCGTCTGGTGCTGCATATTCATAGCTCAGCTACTGGGGCATTGAGCGATCGAGCAGCGGCGCATTGAGGTGGAGCGAATCGACTAGCACCGCCTACTCCTGCTGCTGCTGCCGGAATCCCATGGCGCGCTCCTCCACAGACCCTAAGAACAGAGCGCCATAGGCACCAGATCTTCCTGCCCATGAGCCCCAAAAACCCTAACAGCACGATTTTATTTAGGTCTGTAGGCTTAACAACAAGGATATTCCCCCTGCACGTTGGGGATATACCTGTGTCCGAGCAGCGGTATTGGAAGCGAATAAAATGGGAAGGAGGAACCTTCACACAAATCGAAATCGAAGCTTCGCATTGTAAGCATGGAATCCAGCAAAGCTTTGGTCGATGGAAATGGTGATGTCACCTCCTTTGCTCCGGCACTTGTTTGAATGGAATATGGAGAGTTTTTATTTGTGGAGGATCCCTTAAACCCTAGCGGGGGTTAGGGCGGTGTGCAAGCGATCTGGTACGTCCGGGGCACGGATTCTTCCGCGCGATCATGGAAGAGGACGAGCAGCAGCAGCAGGGGCAGCAGCAAGACGATCGCTTCTTCGAGCGCGACGTCGTGGGGAGCATTGCCAATCCGGATAGGGTCGGGATTATCGACGAGATCGGGGGCGCTCCCTCCACTTCCGGCTCCGAGGACGACGAGGAATGCGGGCAGGACGTGGAGGAGGGCGCCGCGATCATCGTGTGGAATGATGGGGAGGAGGAGACGGTCGATCTGTCGGAGGTCCGGCTCGTCGACCGCGTTCTGGATCGCGGCGAATTGGTGGCGCTTGCCGGCGATCCGCTGGACCAGTTTGGGGTCGTCCAGAGCGTGGAGCTCCTGGCGGATTTGCGGCTCCGGAATGGAGAGGTGATGAAGAGCGTGAGCAGCAGCAAGCTCCGGCAAGTGTGCCCGTTCATGCAAGGCGACTACGTTGTTCGCGGGAACTGGATCGGCCGAGTGGATGAAGTGGAGGAGAACGTCACCGTGCTCTTCGAGGACGGAGCAAAGTGTAAGGTTTTCCGAGCGGACAACTATACTCTCGTGCCGGCTGAAGCAGCGGAGTGGTCTTGCGACTACTACGTCGGGATGAGAGTTCGTCCGGCCAAGAATGTGGTTTTCAAGACCGCGAGATGGTTGAGGGGGGGCTGGAAGTCGAGCCGAGACGAAGGGACGGTATGCCGGGTGGATGTTGCCGCGTTGCTTGTTTACTGGATGGGAGTCGGGGTCGGGCCAGTGACTCCGACACCGGCGGACTACCAGGACGTCAAGGACGTGATCCATTTGCCGCATTTCTCACACTCGAGAGAGCACTGGCGCATCGGGGACCATACGCTGCCGCCGAAGGACGTTACTGTTGGAGGAGAAGTGGCTCCGAAAGAGAGCAACGACGGCCGAGAGGTTTCTTCCACAGCAGTCTCAACTTCGTCAGACGCAGTCAGCTCAAATCCGGAGCCTTCGCTGGCCGAGGAAGCTTTGCACGAGAGCTCTCCGCTACAACGAAAGCGCTCCCTCTCGAGACGCTGCACGGTTCGAAGGAAAGCCAAGAGAAAGCTGGTGCCTTTGGAGATCCCAGTTCGCGTGACTCGGACGGAGCGTCTGGTGGATGTGCTGTGGCAAGATGGATCGAAGAGTGCTAGGATCCCGGCCACGTCCTTGGTTCCAGTTTTATACCTCAACGACAGCGATTTTTGGCCCGAGACATACGTGATCGAGAGGGGAGCGGAGGCCGAGATGGATGATGATAAAGGCTATAGGAGAGTAGGCATAGTTAAAACGATCGACGCTACACAACGGACAGCCAGAGTCAAGTGGTTCAAGAGAGTGACGTCTCCCGACGAGGCTTGCGAGTTTGAGGCGGAGGAAACCGTCGGCGTATACGACATTTTGGAGCACGTAGATTATCGATACAACATAGGCGACATAGTCATCCGGCTTACTCCGCAGGTTCCCAAGGCCGACGACTCGACTGAAAAAGTGGAGCAGCCGCAAGCACCAGACGATGAAGGGAAGCATGCTAACGATCCTACAGACTTGTCCTGGGTGGGATCAATCGTGGGGCTCGAGGACGGATACATAATGGTGGAATGGGGAAGCGGGGACGTGACAAAGGTTAGTTGGCTGTTGTCATGTTATTGCTGATGAGTTGCTTGCTTTGTAGGTCGGTCCCCATGGCATTTTTGTCGTGGATAGAAATGAGAGCGGCGACGATGAGTCTAGTTCCGACGACGACGACGACGATGCTGATAGCTGGGAAACCGTGGACTCCAATAGCTTAAGTGACTTTGAGGTACTATTGTTGATATTGGCTGCCACTGCAATAGCTTGCTTTGTGTTGTTTCAGTCGACTCCCGTACCAGCAGAGCAACCTGTGACTCGGGAGGAAACTCAAGGTGGTCTTTTGACTTTTGTCCTTTCATCTATGTCAAGGCTTATTTCTACAATCATGGGACTTCGAGCTAAGAAGGTGGTAGCTGTAGGTGAACAAGAAGACATTGAGGAGCCAGACGAGCTGGTCTGTGAGATGCTCCTTGTACGAAAGTCTCCTGCCGATCGGCACTTCGACCAGAACACGAATGACCATTCAACCGAGTGCTCTGTAAGACCTCTAACAGAGTTCAAGTCTTTTGACATGGTCAAGGATGCTTCGGATCACCACTTCGCGGATGTAAAGAACGAGGTATGTAAATGGCTTTTTGGTTATTTTCCTTACGTGGTTTCTTTCAGGTTCCGAATCAACGCAAGTGGCTTAAGAGGGTGAACCAAGAGTGGGACATTCTGCAAAAGGACCTTCCCGGTATGGTGCCGTGATCTCACTGGATTTTCAGCTATGTTCTTTGTTGGCGCAGACACGATTTTTGTGCTAATGTACGAAGACCGTATGGACCTGTTGAGAGCAGCCATAGTTGGAGCAACAGGAACACCATACCACGATGGATTCTTTGTGTTCGATCTTTATTTACCTCCGGACTATCCAAATGTCCCTCCGGTGAGTAGCTTTTCCACTGCCTGTCGTGGAGTTTTTTGACTGACTTGAACTTGCAGATGGTCCATTATCATTCGGGCGGATTGAGGATGAATCCCAATCTCTACGAAAACGGCAAAGTGTGTCTCAGTCTCCTCAATACCTGGAGCGGCAGGGGAAGCGAGCTCTGGAATCCAGGAACGTCTAACATATTGCAAGTGCTAGTTTCAATCCAGGGACTGGTGCTCAACGCCAAGCCTTACTTCAACGAAGCAGGCTACGACAACCAGACTGGAACAGGAGAAGGGGAGAAGAACTCGATCGCTTACAACGAGAACACCTTCTTATTGTCCTGCAAGACGATCCTATATCTCCTGCGCAATCCTCCAATGGTACGTAGAGTCGTATACTTTCTTTCTTTCCTTGCTCTTGAACCGTTCCTTCTCAGCATTTCGAGGAGCTCTTGAAGAGCCATTTCCGGTACCGGGGTTTCAAGTTCCTGTCGCTGTGCAGGGCCTACCTCGGAGGTCTTCCAGTCGGAAGAAATCCAGCCGATAGCAGCGAAGGAAGCCCAGAGAAACAAGAGGAGAGCTCGGCTGGTTTTCAGCTCATACTCCGCAAGCTCGTCCCCAAGCTGGCCGCGGCGTTTGTGAAGATCGGAGCCACAGAGTGTAGAGAATTCGAGGAGCCACCATCGTCATGACGAGACGAAGAGATTTTTCTTTCCTCAGATAAAATACCATACTTAAATTCTTTTAGAGGGAAGCGTGATTAATTAGCGCAAGGAAATGCCGCAAAGATTCCATATCCACACTGCGGGAGTGGGGCAATGGCGATGGCCGCCGCGGCTTCCTGCGCCTTCAAGCTTCCCTGTTCTTCGTCTAGAGAGCTCTCCTCAGGTACTGTGAGCGGCATTGTGGGATTTGGCATGACCTAATTCGATCGAGCGTAGCTCCCATTGCTGATTTCTTTCTTGTGGAGCTGCATTGCTGGCTCTCGGGCGCTCTTGGCCGGGATTATGACCTCGTGTGGCTGTTTGTGCCAGGATTCTTGCAGCGCGACACATTGCAGCTCCAGCGGCGGCCAAAACCGAGGAGAATCGCGGCCGTGTGTGTGAGAAATGTGGCAGTACAAACAGCGGCCGATCAGGTATGTGAGAGCTTCCTCTTCGCATTCATCGTCTCGTCTTCTTCCGTAATTTCTTCGCTCTTTTACTCGTAGTATCGTTGTTCGTTCTTCGCTCCTTTCTACCTCCCCTCATTCCAATTCTTCTCATGGAATGAGATGTCTTCGTTCTTCTTCTGGTAATTCGTGCTCCTTCCTTTCTTCTCGTTGTTTTCTTACGATCTTATCGTGGACTGGCAGGCCAAGAAGGCGGCATTTTCGAAAGAGAGCCAGCGGCCAGTGTTCCCCTTCACAGCCATCGTGGGGCAGGAGGAGATGAAGCTGTGCCTCATCCTCAACGTCATCGACCCCAAGATTGGCGGCGTCATGATCATGGGCGACCGGGGCACTGGTAAATCCACCACCGTGCGCTCGCTCGTGGACCTCCTGCCCGAGATCACGGTCGTGGCCGGCGACCCTTTCAACTCGGACCCTGACGACCCCGAGCTCATGTCCGAGGAGGTCCGGCTCAAAGTCCAGCAAGACCAGCCCCTCCCATCCGCGCTCGTCAAGATCAACATGGTGGATCTCCCGCTCGGCGCCACCGAAGACCGCGTGTGCGGCACGATCGACATCGAGAAGGCGCTGACAGAGGGCGTGAAAGCCTTCGAGCCGGGGCTGCTGGCCAAGGCCAACCGCGGCATCCTCTACGTGGACGAGGTGAACCTCCTGGACGACCACCTGGTGGACGTGCTCCTCGACTCGGCAGCATCCGGGTGGAACACCGTTGAGCGCGAGGGCATCTCGATCTCCCACCCGGCGCGCTTCATCCTCATCGGCTCGGGCAATCCGGAGGAAGGCGAGCTCCGGCCCCAGCTGCTGGATCGATTCGGCATGCACGCGCAGGTCACCACCGTCAAGGACGCGGAGCTCCGGGTGAAGATCGTGGAGGAGCGCGGGGCCTTCGACCAGGACCCCGGCGAGTTCCGGGAGAAGTACCTCGGCCCCCAGTCGGAGCTCCAGCGCCAGATCACCGAGGCCCGGGTCCGGCTGCCCGGCGTGAAGATCGAGCACGAGCTGCGAGTGAAGATCTCGCGGGTGTGCGCGGAGCTGGACGTGGATGGGCTGCGCGGGGATATCGTCACGAACAGGGCCGCCAAGGCGCTGGCGGCGCTCCAGGGCCGCGACGAGGTGTCGCCCAAGGACATCCTCACCGTGATCCCGAATTGCCTCCGCCACCGGCTGAGGAAGGATCCGCTCGAGTCGATCGATTCGGGGCTGCTGGTGGTGGAGAAGTTTAGCGAGGTTTTTGGCTATGCCGTGTAAGTAGTATCAAATTTAAATTTTAGAATATACCTGTGGGTGGGGGATATTCTTCCCCGTATTTTAGGGTTCTTGGATTGATTGAGTGATTTATGCGCATGGCGACGACGCATTCGTGGGCAGTGTCGTCGAGATTCTGCCTGGGGCGCGGCAGGGGCGCGGGATTGGATCGCGCGGCTGCGGGCGCCGCGTCGTGTAGGATCAGGAGCGAGGGGTTTGCGGCGAAATGCAGGCGATGCGTGAGGGTAATGGCGGCGGCGGAGGAGCCCGCGCGGCCGGAGATGTCGTTTGAAAGCGCGCTGGAGCTGCTCGGGGTCAGGGAGGGCGCCTCGTTCGACGAGATTCTCCAGGCCAAGAAGGCGCTCATGGAAAAGAGCAGTGGAGATCAAGAGCGTGCTCTCCAGGTAGATTAGAAATCTCTCACTCAATCTCTTCCTTGGAAAACTGTGGTGCTGATTCTTTCTTAGATCATTTGATTGAATCAGGTGGAAGCGGCCTACGACACACTGCTCATGCGGCGATTGATGAAGCGACGGGCCGGCGAAGTGGCCGACAGTACCGTGCTGTATGCTGACGTGAGAAAGAGGAGTTCATCATCCTCGGCTTCCAAGAGTGGAGGAATTCCTGGAGTAAACTGGCTCAAGGGAGCTCTCGCCAACATCCGAGTGACCATCGAAGCCCCAACCAGCAATCTTCTCGCTACTCAAACAGCAGTCTATGGTGGCCTTGTTGCATGGACTTACTTCAGTGGAATGGACAGTTCCTCGTCCTTTGGAGGGGGAGTAGCGGCAGATTCCACAGGAGTCACTCTGGCAATTGGTTTTGGAGCGTCTCTTTACTTCCTTCGTCAGCAGAACCTCAAGCTAGGTGCGCAGATTCTTCTTTCTTCGTTCTTCAGTTTAGCATCGTTTAGAATCCATTTCTTGTCCTGGCAGAGTTTCTCTATTGGTTTTTCTGTGACCTTGCTTCCATTGCAGATCTTTCCATTATTCTTGATCATGAGCTTCGTTCTTAAGTTTAGCAGCGTAAGTTGTCGTTTTTCTTCCAGTCCTGGCAGAGTCTCTCCTTTGGTTTTCCTGCGAGCTTGCTTCCATTGCAGACCTTTTCACTGTTCTTTATCACGAGCTTGATTCAGCTCGTTCTCAAGTTTAGCAGCATAAGCTTTCGCTCTTCTGTGGTTTTCTTCCGGTCCTGGCAGAGTTTATCTGTTGGTTTTCCTGTGAGCATCCAAAATCGCTTTGTTTTTGCTTCCATTGCAGATCTTTTCATTGTTCTTGATCATGATTTTGCTGTTGTTTTTACCAGGGAAGGCAGCAGCGATCACTACAGCAGGCCTGGTTGCCGGCGCCCTGGTGGGAAATGTGCTAGAATCGTGGCTTCGAGTGGACATTGTCCCAGTGGCGGGGATAAGTTCTCCCGCAGTGATGGTGAGCGAGTGTGTTCTTCTCTCGTTATGGCTCGTGTCGTTATATTTGCGATGAAATTACCACTAATTACCGTACACTAGGGATAGTTTTAGGGTTTATGAGATGCCCGACGAGGAGGTCCTGGCCACGCCCCACATTCCAGCTCTGGATTTCCGCGGCTTCGACCACGACGAGCTCTTGCTCCTCGCCAAGGGCTACCGCGAGGATCCGTTCCATCTGCTGGTGCCACGGATCGATCGCAGCCTCTTCAACGAGAGCGCCAGCTCCAAGATGCAAACGTTTCAGTCGATGTGCGATGACGACTCCTCGGAGGACCGCGGCGGCGGGGGTGGCGGCGAGGATATTTCGGAGGTGTGTGTGATGAACAAGAGCGAGGCGTCGTGGCGGGAGAGCAGGGATCGGCGGCCGCTGGACGAGGCGGAGGCGCTGAGTGAGCACATCCTGGAGATGCAAGGTACTTGGATTTCGCCCTCTAGGCAGGAGAAGCTTGTGGCGGCTAAAGGGTTTCCCGAGGGCTGGACAGTGATTGTGCGGCTGCGGTGGAGAGAGGAGCGATGCTATCTGGAGTTTCGAGACTACAAGAGGTAACGCTTGGAAGCAGCTCCATTGAGGATTCGTTTGATTTTTAGTTCTTGCGCTTTCTCTCAGCCCAGATGGAAGGTCGTGGCCTTCGTTCAAGGCGGCGGCCAGCTATCTCATCTCCAACCTGGATAACATAGATCTTGCTGGGATTCTCGACAGCACTGGGAAAGCAGAGGATACAGTGGAAAGAGAGACGGCATCAGAACAAAATGGCGAGGCCGGCGAGTTCGTTGACATCGAGAGTGGCACGGAAGAAGAAATGGAGCTGATTGACAACAACAAGAAGAGAAAACGCACGCCTATCAAGCAAAAGAAGCTTGACGACATTCCCGAAACGCAAGAAACATTCCATGTAGAGAACGGGGACGCCGAGAAGACGCAACAGGAGGACGATACCCCTAAGGTGGCGGAGCAAAACGAGCAGGCTGCGCGAAACTCCATTGACTGTCAGGCCCAGCAAAACTGCGGCAGGCTTGACACGGCCGGCAACCACGAGCAAGTCCATCACGGTGAGATCTCTTTAACTCCACAAGCAAACGATCGATTCGTTTGTGAAGGTTGCGGGAAGATCTTTGGCTCGAAGAGCCAATACTGGGGGCACCAAAGTGTCCATGCGAAGAAGCGAAGGCGCAGAGAAGCTATCCCGGAAGAGAAGCAAGAGGAGGCACAGACCTTCTCGTCTCTTGTTGGATGGCTGGACGAAGGCTGCCAAGAATGCAAGATATCGGTGCTGGGGAACGAGCTAAGTATTTGCAGCTGGTGCGAGAAAGAATACCACTTAAGCTGTGTGGGAAGGAGCGCTGGCGAGACTTTACCTCCGCACTGGACGTGCCCGGCCTGTATACTTCTCTAACCGACGGTCGTCTTGTGGGTAAGCTGCGTCATTGCTACTCGCTGATTCAGTTTTTGAGCAGGACAGACAGGAGAGCTGTGTTGTAGCTCCTTGACTTGAATGAAATCAAAGACAATTTTTTCATTCGCGGATTTGTTTTGTAAGTTTTGCTCAACTTCATCTTGATGGAGTTCCTAGCAGATTATTCTTCTCCGCTTGGATTGAACTATATAATCAGGAGTTCAGGAGTTCTTTCACTGCATCGTCGATGAACTTAGCGTCAACCGGGTTGAGGCCGGAGCCAGCCAAGTGACCCCACACTCCAGGTATGATTCTAAGCTTTGCATTTGGCATGAAGCTGGTCTCGTACTCTTCGTCTTCAGGAGGGAAGTACAAATCCTTTTCAGCCGGCATCACAATCGCTTTCGCTTGTATTGAAGCAAGTGCTCGTTCCAAGCTTCCATCGAATCCCGGGGTGAGTCCGACGTTCCCGTTTTTCCAAGTCCACAACATTGCTAACAAGTTGTTTGGATCTCTGTCGTCCAGGAAGAAGCCTTCCCAGTATCCAACCAAGAAATCTTCCAGGCTTGAAAACCCCAGCTCTCGCCAAGTCTCGTTCCAGTAGAAAGCTTGCGAGAATCCCCAACCAGCATAGACTCGGGCGGCAGCTCTGAGGCCTTTCGTGGGAAGTTGATTATACCAGCCGCTCTGGAATGCATCATCAGACGCCAGTGCTGCCTTGACGCCTTCCAGGAATACCTGTGCTCATTCATCCAAGGTAATGTTCCAGTTATTATAGCTTACTTGGTTGTGAGGACTTGTTCTAGCGGATCCGCAGAATGGTAGAATCCTTTCGACCATTTTCGGATAGCTGACAGCCCATTGAAATGTTTGGCCAGCTCCCATTGACCATCCCAGTACCAGCTTGAGCGTTTGGATGCCGAACTCCTCGGTTACGAGTTTATGCTGGGCACGGACGTTGTCTTGCACTCTCACCTACATACACGGACGACAGGACAGGTACTGTGTTGCTTTGTGAGGAGCTTCTTACGTTGGGGAATCTGGCTTTGTCATAGGGTGGCGCAGAGTTGCTTGGAGAAGTCGAGAGCCCATTCCCAAGCATGTTTGGAACGATGATGAAGTATTTGGAGGGGTCAAGTCCCATGCCGGAACCGATGAGCCATTCGTTGTCCCAGTGCCTACCTGAGAACCAAGTCGGGTAAACGATGGCATTGTCTCCTTGTGCGTTAAGAGATCCATAAGTTTTGTAGGCGAGCTTTGCGTCTCTCAGCGTAGCCCCTTCGCATAGCGAGAAATCGCCCAGACTGAAAAGCTTGTAAGATTTCCTGCCGGCTGCAAGGAAATTTGGTAAGACTAAGCGCTTTCTTTTCTGAACTTACCGATTGAACTTGCCGTGGAGAAGCGAGCACGGATCTTGGAAATCGGCTTTGGAATGCAATTTCGCAGGAGCGGCATCAACATGTTTCTTGGGACGAGGTCTACGAAGAACACTGTAAGACTGGACTGGAGTGAGCTTTCTCCGGTACAAAGTCTCCTTACACAAAGGTACGAATTTTCGATGTTTAATTTTTCTTCTTTTGTCATTGAACTGTTTGACATAGGGCTTATGCGGCTACTGAGGTACAGGCTCTTGAGAAAGTATCATGTTCTATCAAGCAGCCGAACGAGCAAAGCTGTGGGTTGTGGGCATCTTTTAAATCGGCCGTGCTCGTCAGCTCCAGGTGCTGATACTGCTCCGAATGACAAGGCAGATTTTTTCGATTGTGAAGACAGGATCAATGCAGCTCTCGACGAGAAATATGGTTTGGATCAGCAGGGTGTCTTTGAAAGGATCCGGCTTTCCTCCGGTTCGATGGCACTGGGTGATGGAAAGACCTTTGGCGAAGAGGGAAGGGTATGCTCTTGGGACGGGGAAGATAACATCTTGGCAGCTATCGAGGAGAGATACAACAGAAAAGAAGAACCAGAAGGGAAGCAAAAGTTTGAGTTCCTGAGCGTTTTGCAGAACCAGCACTATAGCGATGAAGAAGAAAAGGAGGAAGAAAAAGATGGTTTTGATTCGGAGCTGAGTGATGACGACTCCTCAGCACTGGTTGAGTACGTGAGGAAAGATAGAGTTGGAGCTACGGACTTTTGGAAACCTTCCAAGTGCTTCCTCGACTGGTCCAAGCTGCGAAGAACAATCGTAGAGGAGTGTGTAGAGGCCGTTGAGAAGCGAACAGCAGCCACAGATTTGAAGGTTGTGCTGGAAAGATGGGATGGGATGGTGGGGAATGCGTTGGTCGCCATTGTCCTGCGGCGGTTGAAGGACTCGGATTCAGCTTTCGCCTTCTTCAAGTTCGCTGGCCAGCAGTACAACTTCACTCACGACGCCATCACGTATGAAGCTCTGATCAAGTTCCTGGTGAGAGTTGCCAAGGACTACAGGCGAGGTTTGTTGATCTACAAGTACGTGGAGCGTGCTCGAGTCCAGCCGAACGAAGGGATGATGGAGCTCTTAGTGGAAGCAGCAATCGAAGGTGGTGAGATCGACCAGGCGCTCCAGTTCGCTGAGGCGACGTGGAAAACGCTTGGAAGGCTGACGCCGGAGGTTTGCCGGAGAGTCATTGTGGGCCTCTTCAAAGCCGGGAGGATGGAGGAGGCCGTGGAGTTTTTGGAAACGCAAATGGAGTTCTACGGTTGTGAGAAAGATCTCACACACTACAATGCTGTTCTCTGCGGACTTTCCAAGGCCGGGAGGATGGAGGAAACGGTGGAGCTGTTTGAGAAGATGGAAGCTCGGAATGGTATCAGCTACGTGATCATGGTGGAAGGCTTTGCTCAGCAGGACGATCTCGACGAATGCCTTAAGTTTGCCTCGCGCATGTCGGTTGAAGGCTATCCATGGACTGCTGCGACGTATGCGTCTGTCATCGGTTTGTATGGCAAGAGGGGCCGGGTTGACGAAGCTTTCCGGAGCTACAAGAGGATGGTCGCACAGCGCTGTCGCACCGATGCCAGAGTTTTCAACACCACACTCGCGGCGTTGAGCACCAGCTTGGATGAGCCGGTGAGGCTTGAGCAGTGTCACGACGTTGCAGAGAAAATGGTCTGGAATGGACACACCCCGGACGCTCTCGAGTTGTTCCGGCTGGTGGCGAAGCTCTGGGACTCCGGGAAGAAGCAGCAAATAAGGGATTTCTTTGGACAGATGGAGAGAAGCAGCAAGGATCTGGATGAAAGCCAGTGTTTCCGGTTTGTGGCCAGGCTGTGCGAGGATCACAGGGTCGTCATCGCCATGAAGTTCTACCGGGTGATGATCGAGAAGAAGATGATGCTGGACGGGAAAACTTTCGGCATCCTCTTCTCGGAGCTCTGCCGGACTGGCAAGGCCGACGAGGCCTACATGCTGTTCGCGAAGCTGGACGAGAAGAACGCCGTTCGCTACGACGGAGAGACTCACAGGCTGGTCTTCGACGAGCTCTGCCGAGCAAAGAGGGCCTTCCAAGCTTTCAGAATCTACGCGTCCATGGTGAAGCAGTCCCTTCCCACTGACGACACGATGCTCGCTAGCCTTCTCTCGGGATTGCTGGAGGAAGGCTCGCATCACAAGCTCGCCTTGGCGGTCTACAATGCGATGCTCCGGCGGGGATTCACTCCCGGCGAGGACAGCTCCCGGCTGCTCGTCCAGATGCTCTCCAAAGCAGGCGACTTGGAGAGCGCTGAGAGGGTGGCGGCTGATAGCATCGAGAAGAGCTTCTTCGTCCCAGCATAATGGAAAGCTTCTCGCCACCTTAGCCAACGTCTTTGACTCCAACGTACCACACGGCCGAGGCTACCATAGTAGCAACCATGTGGCATATCTGCGTACTATGGCTTGGCTCCAGCCTCGACGTTCTGGCGAGCGTGGCAAACCAAGTAGCGCTCCCGGCAAGCATCACCTCCGCCGCGATCTTGCTCCACCTCGGCATTTCCATGTACGCATAGACGGGTCCAAAGGCGGAGCACAGGATGGTGATGCAAACGCACAGCGCCACCCGGATCCAAGGAAACGCGCTCGCTGTGGTCACCACCTTGTTACCGGATTCCTTAACCAAGGTGTCACCTTGATACGCGTACCCGAGCTCCTCGACCGCGGCATGCTCCTGAAGCTCGGAGCAAAACAATGGCTGGCGCATGAGCGTGAGAGCTGCTTCGATGCTCTGGACGTCGTGATCGGCTCTCGAGAGGATGTTTGATACCAGCGAGAGGTATGGCGAGCTCGGCGTGCTTGATATCTTGTGATCTCTAGCGATGGCGAGCCTGGTGTGATGAACCTCGGCGAAGATCCCAATCAGCCTGCCTTTGAGCCTCTCCCGGACGCTCACGAGCGTCCGCAAGGAGAGACCGGTGCTCACCACGGTGGCCAGCCACAGCATTCCATGGCCAACGAGTCCTCTCGGCGCAAGCTTCTCCACCTTGAGCGCGCCATAGAGCCAGCCTCCCACCACGAGCAAGAGCTCGACAATGTTGAATGCTATGCTCAAGCAAGCCATGCGAGCCCGCTTCGACGTCTCCCACGAGATGATCTTGTCAGTCGCGATCGAGGCTACGTTGGCTCCGTGGGCAGTCACAACGTAGCTCACGCCATCGAATCCTAGCAGAGATAGCAACGCATCGTCGCCGGCAATGCCCTCGGCTCCAAGCTTGGCCATGACCATCCTGGGAGCGAACAGCCACACCGCAAGCCCCCGCCCGGACGCCGCCCCCATGAGCCCCACTGCGACGCACACCATGCTGTGAACGATGCAATACATCCACACCGCGGATCCTACCAAGGCCACTCGAGTCGCCGTGTTGTCTCCTACGTACTTCGCGATTGTCACGTATGGCATCACCACCCCGTCGAGCTGATACGACGTGATGTAGCGCCCCATTCCCGGATCTTGTTGCGCGTCGCTGCTGGACTCGTTCATGGACACCGAGCGCGTTGGTCTCCGCAAGATCTCGTTGCAGATGAGCGTGGTGACACCATTGGTATCAAACTGGATGTTGTTGGCATCGCAGCTAGCAGTGTATTCCAGGAGCGCCTGGATGGTTTCACCGGGCAGCGGCGAGTACATGCCATCTGTGTCTGCGTACCTGACAGGGGAGTACTCTGGGCATCTGGGCGAGCTTGTCCAAAGCACTGCAGCGCCATGATCGTCATCCCCATGCTTTTGTCTGCCAACGAGAAGAATCAGCCATCGCTGGCGAGCGAGAACCTCTGCCAAGGTAGACACTTTCACGCACAAGGCCTGCAACTGGGCTGGCGTCCTCCAGCTTAGAAGAAGCACGTCTATCCTGGTTTTGCCGCCATTGTATCCGGGAGCGAACACGTACCAGTTGCCACTCTGTATGGCAGAGGCGGCGGCGGAAGCACGCTGGAGAATTGCGAGTGATGCGATGGTGGACGTGATCGGGTTGCTGGGCCTCTGGGCATTGCTCGCCCTGACACCGATGCCCACGGCTCCCCAGAATGCCACAATCTGCGACGACCACGCTGCTGTTGACGACGTTGCCACATTCTGTGCCCGGGCAACCGGGACGATGGCTGCTAGCGACGCTAGAATTGGAGTTAGGAACCTTGGGAATCCTGTGATGGGATCCATACAGGTATGCATCTCGAGAGGTTCTCGAGATAGACTGATAAAACACCGCACACAATGGAAAGTCAACTCGTTCCGTAATTCGCAGAGGCTGCTCCTTTGTTTTCCTCAGTCCACGAAGGAGAAATTCAACTCCAAGACTTAAGCGTGGAGTCAAAGTTTTGATCGGTGGTTGTTCATCGACAAGCAAAAGCTTTTCTTGTTTCAGACTCTCAGACTAACGCTTGTTGGTTGAATTTGAATGTCTGGCTATAGTATACAATACTGGCTGATCGTCAGATTCTTGGTTCACTTCCCGTCTTGGCTCCTTGGCATTGCCTTCATGTGCAGGCTGAAACACCAGCAGGATCCATTGCTGGCTGCCCAGTACATGGACACCTTCGACTATCTGGGCTTATACATTGCCATGGCCATGATATACATCTTCTCATGAGCCAGGCAGATGGTTTCGCAGGTGTTCCACATTTTCTTCCCCTTCTGGAACCGATTCAGGTGGCCGGTCTATGTGTACCTCTTGTGGCCCAAGGAAGAGATGGATGCGTTCGAGCAGCAGCTGAGCTCGCTCATATCTTAAAGCCAGAGAGTCCACTTCCCTTTGTCCGTGGGAGCTGTGTGGGAGGTGTTCTCAGAAGCTAATGAGGAACTGGAGACATACAAGTTTGGATCAAGTTTTGGATGCATTATTGGGAAAAAAACGGCTGTTGCTTCCGAAAGCTTGAAGCCCAAAAGATCTACTAGAGCGTTTCTTGCCAAAGCCCAGAAGGATGTAATTGATAGCAGAATCTAGAGGGCTGCCAACCATCTTATGCTTGGTGCCCCATGATCGATTGATTGCTTGCAGCCATTCTTGATGAATCGAGACAACCACTGATCAAGACTTTGACTCGGTTTTTTCTACTTTATTTCCTGAGAAAAACAAAGATTTTGCAGTTTTGGTTTATTAATGGAGCCCATAGAGCAACGCGCAGTGTTTAGAGTAAATTAGTCATTAATATATAATAGTAATTTACAGTTTACCTAAATGATAATAATTTCATCGTTAGTTTTGTAATGTTTCTAAAACTTTCGCCTTTATCCAGGCCTATTAATATATAAACTGTCTAATTAGGACTGAATATAGTCTATTCATTTTTGTATATTAACAAAGGTATAATCAATGCACCACAAATATGTATATATATTTAGAGATTATACCCTTGTTTATAATCTCTAAATATATATACATATTCGTGGTGCATTGTAGGTTGATGCTCTAGTGTTTAAGGGGGCCAAGAACCGAAAGATAACAAAACAAGCGAGCGTGTAACAAATTTAACGAACGAATCAAGCAGGAGTGTGGACAGGACACAACAGTAAGAACAATATTCTTGAATAAAGATATGATAGAGAATAAAATCATGGAGAAGGAGAACAAACCCTATTGCATTCCTTATCTACATGCTGTTGATGACATGGACAAGTCTAGTGCGGCCAATTGAGCTACCTATAGAAGAACTCGAAACAAATAGTCAAAGTGTTGATCAGTGGTTGTAGCTTGAAGGATTCAAGACCGATCAATCGAGCTCGCCCAATCACTGCGGCACTTGCAACTCGAGATGGTCACCAGCCGCCCAGATTCTGACATAGATTATATCCTCCTGGGCTTTGGCATTGCCACCGCAATACCCTTCACCATAGCGAATGGCGTGCTGTTTGTCCATCGCCAGCGCTCCTACTTTCATGCCCAGGGTGGGGTTTACTTCATACTCGCCAGCTCCCTGGCTGGGCTGGCTTGGATAGCAACGGTGTTTGTTAACAATGGGCACTTCAGCACAGTCGGGCCATTGCAGAGTTGCAAGCTGTGGCTGTTTTGGCTGCAAGGATTCAGCTTCTGCTTCTGGTTCATGCTCACTGCCTTTCGGCTCCGCCGCATGTACGAGCTCAGCCACAACATCAAGAGATGGCGGTGGGAGTACTACGCTTTTGCGGCCATCTGCCTCCTTCCGGTGGTGGGCACGTCAACCGCTGCCATCTTCAGTAACTTCAATGTGGAGCATGGAGGGTGAGCAAAAGCTTCAAACTCTCACACTAACGCTTACTGGTTTGGATTTGAATGTCTGGCAATAGCATACACTACTGCAGAATCAACGGGAACTGGCAGATCGTCAGATTCTCGGCCTACCTTCCATATTGGCTCTTCGCCGCCGCTGTCATGTGGAGGTTGCAACGCCAGCAGGATCCATTGCTGGCTGCCGAGTACATGGACACCTTCGACTATCTGGCCTTGGTCATCGCCATCGCCGTGATATACGTCTTCTCGTATCTGACGAGCGTGAGCCGTATTGTTTCTGGCAGATGCCTCTTGACCGTCTCACAGGTCTGCCTCGTCTTCTTCCCCTTTTGGACGCGATTCGCGTGGCCCGTCTATCTGTGCCTCTTGCGGCCCAAGGAGGAGATGGACGCGTTCGAGCAGCAGCTGAGCAGCGCCGGTGCGCGAGCCTTGCTCATATCTCAAAGCCAGAGAGTCCACTTCCCTTCGTCCGAGGGAGCTGTGTGGGAGGCATTCGCAGAAGCGAACGAGGAGCTGGAGAAGTACAAGGTGAGATCAAGCTTTGGATTGCATTCTTGTGGAATAAAAAGGCTGTCGCTGCAGCATGAGATCCAGAAGCTCCAAGCCCAGAAGCTGCGTCTCCAGGAGAAGATCCGTGATCTACGAGACCAGGCAAAGCAACAGGTGATAAAGAAGTAATAATCCCGCTTTGAGAAAGTCAAGTGCCAGGGCTGGAAAATTGGATAGAGGGTCGAGCGAGTTTGCTTTGTCCATGGCGTCTCAATGTTGCAAGCAAGGGTGTTACATGGGAGTGGTGCCCAGTCATCCGAGCACTCCCTACGACTTCACACTCCTGGCATTTGCTTTGGCCGCGACAGTACCGTTCATCGTGGCGAATGGCGCGCTCTTCGCCCATCGCGGCCGCTCCTACTTTCGAGCACAGGGAGGTGTGTATCTCATCCTAGGCAGCTCGCTAGCGGGCTTAGTCTGGATAGCAGCCCAGTTCGTCAACAATGACCACTTCAGCAGGGTCGGGCCGCTTAGAAGCTGCGTGCTGTGGGCGTTCTGGCTCCAGGGGACGGGTATTTGCCTGTGGTTCGTGCTCACTGTTCTCCGGCTTGCTCGGATGTACGAGCTCAGCAAGAACATCGACAACTGGTCGTGGAAGTACTACGCTTTCGTGGCCTTTTGCCTGCTTCCCATAGTCATCCTGTCCACCGTTGCTGGCTTCAGTGACTTCGATGGACACGAGAAAAGGTAAAGTTCATGACTTGCCAAGTTTCATCTCTATCTCTCTCGGACTGATTGTTCTTGATAACAGCAAACCGGCGTGCAAGCCAAACAAGCATTGGAAAATCATCGTCCGGTCCGTGTATACTCCATACTGGCTGCTGCTCATCTTCTTTATCTATAAGCTGCGCAACCAGGAGGATCCACTGCTAGCTACCGAGTACAGGGACACTTTGGACTACTTGGCTATGGCTATCGTCATTGTCATGCTCTCCGGCGTCGCGGTTGTGACGAAAGCTAGCGATACTATCCCTGGCAGATGCTTCCTAACGTTTTCAACATGCTGTCTCGTGTTCTTTCACTTTTGGATACGCTTCGGGTGGCCGATTTACCTATGTCTCTTCAGGCCCAAAGAGGAGATGGACAACTTCGAGCAGGAGCTAACTTACGGTGGTGCCCGAGCTCTGGACATGGTTTACAGCCAAAGGATACACTTTCCTTCCTCTGAAGGTGCTATTTGGGAAGCTTTCTCCAAAGCTAGTGACGATCTGGACAGATACAAGGTAGAGCTTGTTTCTTTTTCTTCTTCTTCTGGCGCTCTAGCTAATGCTACACTGAAACAGGATGAAATACGGAAGCTAGAATTGCAGAAAGCGCTGCTGGAAGGGAAGATCCAAGAGTTACAAGTGCAGAAGAGAAAAGCAGCTGGATCTGGTCATTCTTAAGTTAATCTATGCAAGGTTGGCATTTTGTTCTATCTCCTTTTCAATCTTTTTGATTCTTTACTTGACTTTGAGTCCAGTACCTCAGGGAAAGTTTCAAGGAGACTGCCAAGGTCACAAATTCAATGTGCTAGTTTTCTTCGTCGTGTTCCAAAGCTTTGTTTGTTTTGCAGACTCTTCCACAACTTGACTTTGAAGCGGGTTGCTCTGCTTCCCTGTCATGATTTTTTGCCGTGGACGGACGATGACTGCTGTTCCACGAAAAAGAGAACACGCACACACGGATCCTGAGTCTGTGTAAAGAGTACGTAAAGGACTGAATTTTCTCAAATGTTTGGACAGACTCAGAAACTCCAAGTCAAGCAGAAAACTCATGCCTTCACAATCTTCACGACATCGAGCGCGTAAGATGGTTTTTTAGTTTTGGAAAGGAAGCGACAGCTAATGGATCGAACTGACACTGTCTATGACTACATACTCTTGGGCTTCGCCTTGGGAGCTGCGGTGCCATTTATCATAGCAAATGGCGTGCTCTTCGTCCATCGCAATCGCTCCTACTTTCGAGCACAGGGAGGAGTGTACCTCGTTCTGTGCAGCTCTTTAGCTGGCTTGGTCTGGATATCATCATCTTTTCTCAACGATGGTCACTTCCAGCATACCGGGCCTTTTGTAAGCGGCGTCCGATGGGCATTTTGGCTACAAGGACTGGGGGTTTGCTCCTGGTTCATGCTCACGGTTCTCCGGCTTCGTCGGATGTACGAGCTCAGCCGGAACATCCACAAATGGTCCTGGGGAAACTACGCTCTACTGCTCGCCTCCATGCTTCCAGTCTTGGTTTTGTTCGTGGCCGCAAACTTGAAGCGAGAGAGGTAAAGTTTGATGCTCTAGTCATGTTCATTCTCCAAAGCTCGTATTATCAGCAGGGAACGTCATGGTACGCTAGACAGTGCGAGAGTACTCACTGTCCTGGCGGTCTACACTCCAAACTTGCTACTGGTTATCGTGTTTATGTACAAGCTGCGCAACCAGCAAGATCCTTTGTTGACTGTGGAGTACGCGCACACTTGCGAGTACTTGACTATGGCGGTGGCCATCTGTTTTCTCGCTGCCATCGCGGTCTTCACAGGGGACAGCCAAAGCATTGCCGGCAGATGCTTCTTAACATTTTGCGTCTGCTGCCTCGTCTTCTTCCACTTTTGGATCCGGTTCGGGTGGCCAGTTTATTTGTGTCTCTGGAGACCGGCAGAGGACATGGATAAGTTTGAGGAGGAACTCACGTCCGCTGGTGCTCGGGCTTTGGCCGTCGTTCCCAACCAGATGCTGCATTTCCCGTCGTCAGAAGGTGCCATTTGGGAGGCTTTCTTCAAAGCGAGCGAGGAACTGGAAAGTTACAAGGTGAAAGATAAATACTCTTCTCTCATATAACAATGGTTGCTAATGCTGGATAACAGGAAGAAATCCGGAAGATGGAAGCTCAGAAGTTGCTGTTAGAGGACAAGATACGAGAGCTGCAGTGGCAGAAGTGGACAATGGCTGGAACTGGTCAGTTTTAAGTTATTGCAAGACTTGGAAGAAATTATTCCAAACTTAATAGTAGGGGACGAAGCCACGATTCACAGCCGCTCTCATCACGGCATCAATCTTGTCCACGTCAATCGTGTTGCCAACCTCGTGATGGTTCCAGTTTTCCATGGTCGCCAGGATTCCTCCCGCGTGACTTGCCTGGACGACTCCTCTCGGCATGCTTCCCTGCCAGGACAAAGAAGACGATGAGCACCACCAGCAAGTGAAAACGGAGAGACTCTCACCTCGCAAGCTCGGATTCCTTTATACTCGGGAGGCAGGCGCATTGCTGGAAGCTTGGCGTACGAGCAATCAGGACGGGTTTCCTCCATAGCCTCCTCGGTGAATTGATAGAAACAAGCTCCAGAAGGAGCGTGGAGCTGCTCCATCGCTCGCAGGGGCTCTCCAACGATCCAGGCCTGTAAATTCCAGCAAGTTACGTCCAGCTTTTCTGGGAAGGAAGCATATCATACTTTGCAGTGCTTCCCGTGCTCGAGTGACTCAACTGCGACGAGCTTGTGCTGGGATTCTTGCGGGACCGATTTTTTAAGCGACTCAAAGGCATAGGACGAGGATTTAGCCAGAACCTGAGGAAAAAACCAGAGCTTTACGTGGGAAACGCGGGCAGGAGCTAGCTGCTCACCGTCACTTCAGTGGCGCGGTGGCGGCAGAGATAATTGGCGATGGCACGGCCAACTTTGTGCTCGACTCCGACCAGGAAAACCTCGCTAGCATCTTTTGGAAGCTTGTCAAGAACAATGGCGCTGGTTAGCGTGCTTCCGTCCACCACCTTGATGCTGAGGCCGGGGTGGTTTTTCAGAAACAGTGCTCCACTCGCATTCAAATGCTCGTCCTGTGGGGATCATAACGATGTTCACAACATGGAGTATACACTTTGACATACCTTGTTGTGTATTCCCAGGCATATGAACTTGGCTCCTTTGTCCTGTGCGGCCAGGATGGCGCGCTCGATGAGCGCATTCAAGCTTCCGATCTCAGACGTCATTCCAAACTATACAAAACGCAAAACTTACCATCGCACAGCAAGATGAAAAGTATACTCACGTGAAAGCTAAACCTCGGGATCGCCCATGTCTGCGCGAGAACCTTGTCGACGGTGTGCTCCTCAACAGTGAACGGGCTCCCAAACGCCCACAGCAACAGCATAGCGGGGAGCGCCAGAGGATACAGGAGCCAAATGTACCACTTCCTGCAATACGGCTGCGCTGCAAAAGATGGTATCCCAAACGACAAGTGGAAGACCGATAAGGGGTCAGTCGGGTGCGTTAAGAACACGAAATCCACCAACTCCGTCCTGCCTGCGTGGTCACGCAAGTTATAAGTCCCGACGAAGCTGGAAAAGAAAAAAAACGACAAAACAAAGTACCTTGACGAGCTGCAAGATGGAGCTGATCGCTTGTCTTGTCTACGGTCCCATAAATGTAGTCGTATAGGGGAACGAAGAGGCAGAAATTTGTGTGGACCTGCGTGTGATGGAGAGAATGGAACCTGGAAGGATAGGAGATGTGGAGGATAAGCAGTTGAAAAGATAGAAAAACTTACGATGGAGTGTAGACGAGGTACTTGAGCAGAGGAAGAGCTTGAAACATCCAGGATGGCATGAACTCCCAGTTGCAATGGCCAATGTAGTTCATGAAATCAAACCACAGCATGTAGGAGTAGATGAGGGCGAGCGAGGCGGTGCCAAGGAAGAGGTTGACAATGAGCGTGGAGCCAAAGAGGACCGCGTAGCTCAGGTGCTCGGCAAAAGGATGGACGTTGCCAGTCACGGCCTGGGTGACAAAGGAGAGATGGTGGTGGGAATGGTAGCGGCGGTAGAGAGAATGGTGGTGGAGGGCGCGATGGAACCAGTAATAGAGGAACTCCACGGGTCCCAGGTGCCAGAGGATGGTGATGACCAAACCCCTCCAATCCCACACGGCATGGTTCGGCAAGCACAGTGGCGAGAACTGGTACGCGAGCAACATCAGCGCCTGGAGCAGTATGAAATCCTCCCTGAGTGACGGAAGAAACAAAAGAGAAAGAAGCCGTGAGCGCGCGCGCGCGAGAGAGAGAGAGAGAGATTTGACAAAGTCTGTGATCGCATACCAATCTCTTTCCCTGTCCAGCTGATCGAACTTCATCCCCTTGGTCTGGACCTGGTGCTTCTTGACTATGTCGTGGACGCTGGTGACCGTGATCCATAGCTGGCCCTGGATATAGCGCAGCGCCGCGAGCACGAGGATATGGAGGCTAAAGTTGTCCCTCGAGCGGCCCTCCGGGGTCATCGCGCTTCGCACTGCATTGGCCACCAGAGGCAAGTAGAGGAGATACTGCCAAGATCAAGAGACAACGAGAGAGATTTAGGAATGCGCATGCATGCATGTACAGCGAGAGAAAGAGAGAAACCTTGAAGCTTCCAAGCCTCTCCCATGGCCAGTGCGTGAGCAACCCAGGATTGATCGCCATAGCTCCCGAGCTAGCTTGCTTTCTCCTTGCAGAGCTTAATCGTGGAAGCCAGAGGTGCTCGTCAGATATCTGGAGATCTGTGCTCGGCACAAACAATGTGGCCTGGCCGCCCTAAGCTTCCAATGCTAGGCAGCTGACAATAAATCGAGAACCACTTGGAGGTCCGCCGTTGGTTGGCGTTCCACCTTTCTAGTCGCCGGATCCGCCGGGTTCGAACCTCCGTCTGGTGTGTTTGAAGATATATCCTCCAAGCACTGAAGCTCTTTGTTGGCAAGTACGGTGGCCTGGCCGGACCAACGCCCGCTTTTAAAACCTGTAACAGTGAGGAGGTTGACGCACAAAGGAATGCATCGTCGTCAAGCTCTTTGCGTGCGGCAGAGGACAATGGTACACAGGACCACGTCATCACCTTAAGCCGCTAGCGTGATTGTGACAATCGCAAAGAATTAACAAGTCATTTGTGTGCAGTCATTGAACTCACGGCATCTAACATGTCATCATAAGGTATGTGATGCAATGATAGTCACTTGGATAGTAGCTAAAGCCAATGCTAGATCTCGAGCTGAAGAATCACATAACAAGAAATCTCAAAATAACGAGGAGAGTATGGGATAGCTCTCGTTGATATTTCTAGACCATAGCATGTCTATTGTCCTGGCTGAGTGAAGATCTGTGGATCAAAGAGCAGAAAACAGGAACTATCCTTTCTGCTTGATGGGAATATAGTAATGATCTGAGCTGAGAGAAGACACCACTACGAAGACATGAAGCTATGTTAAGCTTATATTGACACTAATATAGTTTATGTTCTCAGCTTTGACATCTTTCTCTTATTTGCTAGATATGCCTTAATAACATGGTATTAGAGGGGTTGGTAGATCGAAGGGATCTTCCCAGACAGAGACACTCAATCCAGAGCAACAAATTATTTGCTATACAATTAGGTTAGGGTCTATGTTCTTCAAATTTGCATTAACTTTGTATATTTGATTTGTATTAATTTTCTTCTATTGCCATTGTTTTTTGTATGTATAAAATGATGAAATTATCTTGATATTTTCTTTAGCATATATGATTTTGACCTATATCTTATGATGAATTGACCTGTATCTTATGATGAATTACTATAAGGTAACTATGAAGTGGAATTTAACTTTTAAACATATTAAATTTAAGCTTTTTAAGAGGTCTGCCTAATATTATTCAAACCCAATGACATTTAACCCTAATACCCTTAATCAATTGGAAAAGAGGGTGCATTTTTATTCATGGGTTCTTTCTTTTTATATTTGAATTTTTATAGATTGTCTTTTAAGTTATTCTTTTAATTGTTTATAATTCATTATGGTTTTTTGCAAGTTCACACTATCATGAATGGAAGTTAAGAGCCACAACTCTCCTGAGAACCTCATCACTTTATATTTAAATTTGTATAAATTGTCTCTCGAATCATTCTCTTTGGTTATTTATAATTCATTATGCTTTTCTATAAATTCATGCTCTCCTGAATAAAAGTTTAAAGCCCCACTCTTTTAACACTTTAACCCTTGTCAAGATTTTCATGTTGGCAGCATGAGGATGATAAGAATGTTACCATTTGCACAAAATTTCCAACATATCAATGACTGACCAGTATCTGTTGCCAAAACCAGTAAGAAACTGTCTCCAGGAAGAATCACTCAGGCATGAAAGAACTTTGTCAAAATTTCTTTTGCTTTTTTTAAACAAAAGTTTACTTAGTGACTCAAGCGAGGCTCTATTTAGACAAGGTAGTCAAACGAGATTTTGCCAACTTGAAATCCGTTCGGACGTCCAATGTCTCCACCATGGTTACTTCAGCTCTGGTCTTGTTTCCACTCGGAAATAGCTGTACTGAAAGGAAAACCACACACTGTGACATTAATCACAAACACTTGAGCAGAATGCTGCTTGGCATACCGCTCGGCTTTTCAAAACAAAACAAAGATGCTTACCTGCGTGTCTCTTTCCTCAAGATACTCCGCAGCTCTTAGCGTCAGGGAGGAGCTTCGCATCAACTAAGAGGTACGCTTGCTTCAAGACAGCCTTGATCCTGGTGAACAACGTCAATTGGTAAGAATACTCGGATAACTCCCCTGTCCGTTTTATACACTCTGGCCTGCACACTGCCTGCGCATCCAAAGTTCTAATTGCCTGGAAAACAACCCACAGAGGATCAACGCCTGTAGAAGGGGGTCCACCGAACCGTTTGTGGTAACACATCTTCGCAAAAAAACTCTGTAGCATTGGTGAAGAAATCCGCACGTCATAACCATCCGGTTTGGCCTCCTGCGCGATTAATACACCTTGAGCAATGAGATTCCGCAGCTCCAGCATCACCATCTAGATCAAAGTCATGGCCATTTACACCCTAGCAGGGACAGAATCTTAGAGTATGTTTGCTGTCCAAAAACATAAGGCGAAAGATGAAACGAATCAGTTGCCTCAATCCACTGCCTGCTAGTCCACAGCTCCAAGTAGTCCAAGCATGAACCGACTATCCCTTTGTGACCACCTGTCAATTCTATGACCGACGTAATCATAATCTGTACTCCTTGGAGGTCGGCTTGTGCTTGCTGCAGGTTTTCAACATTGCCTACTGAGAACCTCACTGACGAATAACGGCTGGGCGTACTACTCAGTACATAGACCCTGTTTAGCTCAGCTGCATCTTCACGCCACCCCAAGTATTGAGCTTAAAGATCCTTGACAGACTCAACACCAACCAGGACACCGTTGAAGTTGTAGTCGTCATAATCCTTCCCTTCGAGAGTGCTGAAGAAATTGTCAAGGCAATCCGAAGAGGCTGAGAGCAACGGCTTCATCTATAATGACCTGAAGCTTTAATCTGTACATTCTTCTCCTGTAGGCCTAGCCGGGACATTTGCCATGAATATGGTCGCAAAGCGTAGCCCAGAACCTGTTCCTGCTCCACTGTCACCTTGTCCAAATACACCACACAGATATCTGGATCAAGTGATAACTCCCTCTGCTCTTCCCGCTTTGTCATAGTTGCGTCCACATCAAGTAGTGTTTCCCTAGGGCAAAGGTTCGCTTATGCCCGAGGTGCAGCTCAATTGCGGTATTGTCCCAGCTTCATGAAATCGATCATTTCTCACCTTCTCCGCAGAGGAGAATATCCGTGGAATTCTTCTCTTGGCCACTGTGGTCAGCAGCTGGAAGCATGGTGGATGGACTTCTTTGATCCTGGGAGCCCAGGGATTTGTGGGGAATAGCGAGGTGGTGCTTAAGAGCACTCCGTGGTCTAGAGGCTACGAGAGCACTTGAATCTTTGAATCATTGTCGCTTCTCTGTCTCTACTCGCGATATTCTCATCAATCAGTTCCAGTTTACTCAGCGACATGTCTCAAGAGTACAACACCACTGGTCGTCCGCCGGAGATCTTAGTGTGTACAAGTTTGTCTGTGTGTGAGCATATGAATCAAGTTCTTTCTTAACAATGTTATGGCTAGCCACTTATCTATCCTTGTCCTACCAGTGTCAACACAATCTCTGGCCTATTGTGGAGTGGGGAGTGGGAAAAAATTTGAGCCTTTGACTACTCAAGCCACATAGACATTCTTCCCGGAGAAGTGCTCCGTGTACACCTCGTGCATGTAGTCCCTGTAAGTCCTGCTGCGGTACTTTGCCGGACTCTCCTGGCTCACCAGCTCGGGAATCGGGCTGATCTCCGCATCCAGTGACGGCCCCAGGAACGCCCCGACGGACAGCCTTGAGCTCTTCGAGTTCACCATCACCCTGTGCAATATGCTCTTGTACCTCCCATTGCTGAGCTTCTGAGATAACCAAGCAAGGCCAACATTAAGATCATTCCACAAACTTTTCGACTGCTTGTACCTCCAGCTGATCACCCATGTTGACCACCAGCATTCCCTCGAGTGGCCTCACGTTATACCAATCCTCGCCTTGCTTGAGCTGCAATCCCCCGACTCCATCCTGGAGCACAAACGTGAGGCCCCCGCTGTCGGTGTGGCCTTCCATGCCCAAGGCCTGCCTCGGGTTTGGGCAAGCCGGATAGAAGTTTGCTCTTGTAAGGAGGACCATGTCTTCGAAGGCTTCCAGAAGACGGTTTGAGCGGAGGCCAAGTCCCTCGGACATGACCAACAGCATCCTCTTCCCGAGCTTGAAGATGTTTCTTGCGTACTCGGATCCAACGTCCCTGTTGCATTGCAAATGATACAGAGCGTCAGGAATCTAAAGCAATAGCAGAGATATAATCAAGGAGAGAGATACTGACTTGTAGCTGGCTGGGAACGCGGGCCACGGGTGTGCTCCGAGGGACTCTTCCTTGAGCCACATCTGGAGGTGGTCGTGCCACTCGAGCTTCTCTTCTTTCGAAGGCATCATGCTGGTGCAGTAGCGGACGGGTGTGAAGATCTCCTCGGTGTAGTACCGCATCTTGTCCTCGCTGGGCGAGTTGAAGAACTCGAGAGCGCACCTCATCACATCCTCGGTGTGAATGCCGTGGTTCTTGAGCTGAACAAGAAATACATCCACTTAGCAAACATGTACTACAGGAAATTGAAACTTCTTGAAAACTTACGTAGAACATTCCGTACTTTGTGCAAGCGTCAACGAGATCCCTCTCGAAGCTCTCGCTCGCCACATCGACTATCGGCAGCACCGCGTACCGGGAGACATCGGCAGCTCCATTCGGCATCATGTATCTTTCCGGAACGCTCGACAGTGTCCCGTTGCAGCTGTCAACAAATGCCTTGATGCCAGCCATGGATGGGACTGTGTAAGCAAGAAAGCTTGGAAGACGAAAGATGGAAATGGAAATGTATGCTTGGATGCTAGGCTTTCTCAACTTTGAGATGCGGATATCAGTGTCCTCCCAGTCACCTGCTTATATAGTTGCAAAAAATAAGATTTTCAAGTCGGCAGCACGAAGATGATAAGAACGTTACCATTGCGCCGATTCCGGATCCGCCCCCGCTCAAGACCATTTTGTAGACTTTTCCGTACCCGTGACTTGACCAGCGTCCGCATCTGGCCCTGCCCCAGATCCACATCAAGCGTCAATGCTCAACTTAGTTGACCCACGACATAGAAAATTTGGAGCCACGAAACTTCGGAATTGTCACGTTTTTGTATCGAACAGGAAAGATCGTCCACGCAAGTCCGGTCGTGGCACGGACTGCAAAAACAAAAGCCTTTGCATAAAGGACGATGATTTTATAGAGCTTTCTTGTTACCTCACAGCGCTGGCGGCAATGGCGCTAGCAATGGCCAAGGAACTCTTCTCCATCGCCAGCAATCGCTGGATCATCGCAGTGTCGGGCTTCTACCTGATAGCAATCACCGGAGGCACGCTCACCAGCTTCAGCTTGTTCTCGCAAGAGCTCAAAGTCTCCCTGCATTACAAGCAAGAGTCCGTCAATACCATCAGTTTTTTCAAGGATCTCGGCACCAGCATGGCTTTCCTGGCCGGCTTGCTCAATGCGAGAGTCGGACCCCGTCTCACCATGCTCGTCTCCGCATTGCTCAACTTGTTCGGCTACACCATGGCCTGGCTCGCCATCACCCACCAGATTGCTCGTCCACCGGCATGGCAAATGAGCTTCTACATGTTTCTCGTCGGCGCCTCTGTAGGCTTTGCAGTCACGGCTGTCCTGTCGACCTGTGCCACGAACTTCCCCAAACATCACCAGGGGATGCTGCTGAGCTTGCTCGACGGCAGCAATGGCCTGGGAGCAACCGCATTCGCGGTTGTGTTCCAGACTTTCTTCCAGGTCCACGCTCGCTCCTTTCTGCTCTTCCTGGGGCTGCTACCGACGTTCCTGTATCTGCTGCTTGGCCTCTTCCTCGGGCCCGTGCCTGTCGCCGAGAGGCCCAGCGACAAGTCCATTCTTAACTCGTTCCTCATCACCACTTTTGCCTTGGCGGGCTATCTCCTCGTCGTCACAGTCATTGAGGGGACCATACCGAGCAGGCTTCCAGACTCGGTGCCTTTGGTGTTCTTCGGGTTGATGCTGGTCATCGTCCTACTTCCGGTTGTTCTGGTTGTCCGAGCTGAGCTTCGATCACATTCGAACGGTGCTGGTGTTGTCGATCAACTCCAAAGCATCCAGACACCATCCCCAACTGAGAAGTCTGTCGATCAACTTGAAAGCATCCACACACCACTGCCAACGGATAAGTCCGAAGCTCAGCTCGCGGATATGAATTCCACCCCTAGTGCTCTGCAAGTCGTCGACCATTTTCCTTCTCAAGCTTCCGGCACTGGCAGCTGCAGATGGTTCCGAGTCCCGGCGAGAGGTAAGGACTACAGGCTCGTCCACGCCTTGCTGAGCATCGATATGTGGCTGATGGTCATTGCGACTTCCTGCGGCCTGGGAACGGTGTCTACCTTCTACAACAACTTGGGCCAGCTGAGCGACTCCCTGGGATACTCCACCGCAAGGATGAACATCTTCGTGGCTCTCCTCAACATATGGGACTTCCTGGGAGCAATCGGCTGCGGCTTCCTGTCCGAGATACTCCTCCACAAGTTTGGCATTGGACGGCCGTTCGTGTTCGCTGCGGTGGTCGGCTTTCTAGCGCTCGGCAACTTGCTCATCGCCTTGGGCCTTCCCGGCGCGCTGTACATCGGCTCCATCATCATCGGCCTCGCCACCGGAGGCCAGTGGGCGGTGCTGTCGACCATGATCGCGGAGATCTTCGGGCTCAAGCACTATGGAGTTCTCCAGAGCTTCCCAAACGTTGCAAAGGGGATTGGGACGTATGTCTTGTCGGTGGAAGTTGCCGGTGTGTTCTACGATAGGCAAGCCAGGAAATATCGGGGCCCTGACGAGGCCTCGCTCTTGTGCCACGGTGCCAAGTGCTACAGGGAAACGTTCTTCGTCATGGCCGCCACCTGTCTGTTTGGGTGCACCATCGCCGTGGTTCTCAGCTTGAGGTCCGCCAAGTTCTACAGTGCGGAGGTGAGGCCCAGGTTGACGAGAAAAGTTGCTGCTGTAACTGTTGATGATGGAGTCCAAGCATGCTAGCTAGCAGACGGCTCGAGTTAAGTTTCGCAAGGAAACGAAGAACTTCTTACCTGTGCTGCCGCTAGAGAGCTAAGAATGAGACTCGCAAGAGGTTTTGGAGGAATGTGAAAGAAAGAAAGCATTTCCATCGCGCAAAAAGTGAGCTATCCACTCCAGAGAAACTCCGCCCAAGAGCCTCCGGGATGAGATTCTTACCAAGGGATGAGCCAGATCTTCTGCCTACATTATACCCTAAAGATGCCTTAACATAGTATAACGTTTATTGTGGTTACAAATAAAGATTGATACATTTCAGCGACTTCCAAAGTCGTTATCAAATTTCTCGTAGCGCCCCGCATGAACCAGAGCTGATGGCCGAGTCGTCGTGAGTGCCACCATTGCGTCTTCCTTGGTCACAGGCCCCATCTCCAAATCTAGCACACAAACATCAAATGGTCACAAGAAACTCAAAGAGAACATATCAAATGGTCTAACCTTGCGACTCCACTCCCGCGGCTTCGTTCCTCTCCAGCTCCTCCATCAATCGCCTCAGCGGCCTCATCGCTGCCTCCTTGCAAACCAGCCTCACGTCCGAGCCGGAGTACCCGTCGGTGGACTCGACCATGTCGTCGTAAGGCACGTCCCCCATACTCGTTGGCAGCAGCTCCTCGAGCATCGCCCTCCGAGCCTCCGCGTCCGGCAAAGGCACCAGTATCTGTTGCTCCAAACAAGCCACAAAGCCTTTCTCAGATCCAGGAAGAACCACTCTGGCATGAAAGATCTTTGCAAACTCACGCGTTTCTCGAGACGCCGGAGCATTGCCGCGTCTAGTTCCCATGGGATGTTTGTGGCTGCCAAGACGAACACCAGATCGTTGGCTTGCATCAAGCCATCCATCTAACAAAACCAAGTTCGTCAGCTACACTGGAGCTTTCCTCCCAACCTGGATAAGAAGCTCCGTCTTGAGCCTGCGGCTAGCTTCGTGCTCGCTGTTGGCTTCCCCGCGCTGGCTGATAATAGCATCGATCTCGTCCAAGAAAATCGTCGACGGCGCGTAGTGGCGAGCTAGATCGAACAGCATGCGCACGAGTTTTTCGGAATCGCCTGGATAGCGAAGAGTTTAGAAAAGAAAGCAGAGAAAAGGTGAAGGCTTGTACCGCGGTACTTGCTGACGATGGTGGACGCAGAAATGTTGAAGAAGGTGGTGTTACACTCTGTAGCCACTGCTTTGGCGAGCAAAGTCTGTAAATACCATGGAACGTTACACGCTAATATAGCTACACGATCTATACCTTGCCAGTGCCCGGAGGCCCGAATAGTAAAATTCCTTTCCATGGAGATAGCAAGCCCGTGAAATACCTGTTTATCTCCTAGCAAGCGCTGTTAGAACATACACACAAGAAAGGAAGAAAAACACTTACTGGGGATATTTGATAGGCATGACCACCGCTTCTTTCAAAAGTCTCTTTGCGTTCTCGAGTCCCTTGATTGAATCCCATCTAACATCCACATTTCCTCGAACGATATCCCTGGCATTGAAACAAGGTTTATTTGCATTGTTCTTCCCTTTTTCTTTCTGGAAAAAAAAAAAAAAGGATTCTAGCTTACTTTACAATGCTGTCAGCAAGTTCTTGCATTTCTCCAAAGAGTAAGTGTGGCATTGGCTTTGCAGTCCTGCTTAGCATTTAGAATCCAGAAACAGAGAGAAAAAAAGATCTTTGTTTACCATCGATGAGGAAGATCTGGAGAGGATTTAGTCTCATCATCTGTTGTTGCCTACACACAAACAAAGAAAGAGAAGACATTACAATAGAGCTTCTAAAAGATCTGTACCTTGGGCTTGGATGGAAGGAACTGCTCGTAGATCGCAGTCGCTCGCTGATCCATCGCTGAATCCTCCTCCAGCTGCGGTGGCTTGTCGTGCTCTTGCTGCTGCTGCTGGTTCGAAGAGCCCCTGAAACGGGATTTATATGCTTCCTTAAAGTCCTAGATCGAAGAACAAAACAAACAAACGAGAAGATTTTTTGGGGGTTTCGCGAGCATGCAATCGAAAAAATCACTCTCACGAGCACCAGCAAGCAGATCGCAAGCCAAACCTGGAAGCTCCAGCGCGTGAGCGCCGGCAAACTGGCGTCTTCCATGCCTCTCCTCGGCTTTACGACCTACAAGCATAGAGAAAAATAAAAATCGTATTTTTACATCAAACACGAAAAAAATTTCTCTTTGTTTGATGCTCAAGGTCTCCACATCGTTTGCTCTAGACAGTTTTTCTCGATCCAGATCTTCTTCCGACTTTTCTAGCGACGATTTCCCTCATTTGGTCTCCAAGACCTCGTCGTCGTCCGTGGAATCGTCACGGCAAGTACACTCGGAAGTGTTGAGATTGAGGCCACAGCGCGTGCACAGCCCCTTGCAGATGGAGCTACAAATGGAGAAGTAAGGGACGTCCAAATGGACAGTGTCACGGATATAAGACGAGAGATCCATCACCTTGACCTCGTCCGGGAAGTGGAACTTGTCGTCCAGGTCGATGTCCAGCACGGGCTCGCCGGGCTCCGGCTCCTCGCCGAGCACCACACCAATGGACGGCTCCGTTGGCTCTTCCACGGGAGTCCGAGATAGAAGAACGCTGAAAGGTGAGAAGACTCGAGTAGCATGAGGAGCCAGACACCTTGAGTTTGCAGGAAAAGAAGGATCAAACAAAGTTGGAAAGACGAAACAATCCATACCTGTCACAAAGCACGCAAACAGCAGTCTTGACGATTCCATTCAGCTTCAAGTCTCCGGATTTATCTTTGGTGACGTCGTATGAGACTCCCACTGGAGTAGCGGTTGCCGGGTCGGCGCCGCCGGGCAAAACTCCCATGGATGTGGCGAGAGTTCTCGACACCTTGGACGAGAACTGCTTGAGTCCCAGGTTCTCCAGTGTCGTCTGGCACTCGAAGTGGCTCTGGACGGCGCTGCGCTTGTAGGTGACGGAGCTCGGCACGGGAGGATCGCTGGTCTGGCTCGGAAACACCGACACGACGTGCATTCTCCTCTGGGAGAGCTTCAGAGATCTCGGTGGAGTTTTTCTTCGCCATGCTACTTCCAGGTTGCTACTGAAGGAGCTTGAGAGGGGATACGCGCCTAGAGCAGACATCTGGGAGGAGAGAACCAAAACAAGTAGAGAAGGATTGAGTAGGAAACGCAGCATTGCTTACACTGTTTTCTTTCACTTGGTGGAAGGATTCTGGGTGCTAGCTTTGATGGTCGCAAGATCCTCTAAAGAAGAACAGAGAACTTTAAGTCAGCCAGAAGAAAGAACTCAAAGCTCGCCCACTTTTATGCGATTCCAGAGCAGCCTTGGTATCAGACGCGAAGAAAATGTTGCCTCGCTTCACGAAGACCGCCTGGAAAGGGGGAGAATAACAAGACGAGAATTCGCCGACTTAGCAGCGTACCCGTGAAGAAGGAAGGCTCGCAAGCTCGGCGCACGCAACCTCCAGCACCTGCGCCTACGCAAAGATTGCAGCGCCAACGATTTCGCAGAGGCCAGAAAACCACATACCTTGGACGCTTGCTCCTCCGCCATCGCTGGGCGGGATAAGGTTTAGGGTTTAGGCATCTTCAAGGCATATTCTCTAGGGCTTTTGGGCTTCCAATGAAGTTTCTTGCACAGAGCGTGCTCGTCGCCTATCCCGACGGGCTTGGCACTGGGCAACGCATCGCCGGCGCGCTTGGATCCTCCTCGCTCGATCGCTCGTAAGCATTGCGCCTACGGCGCTTCTCTTTCTCACGCGCTCCAATTGATCGCGCAGTGTCTCGCACGCCACTCTGTCTCTCGATTCCTACGGCTTGCCCGATGGAAATGTGCTCCTAGAAGTCGTGAATTACAGCAAGGGGGACGTTCCAATGGTACGCTCTCACGCAAAAGTTTGTCGATCGATCCATTCTCGTTTTCGTTCCACTCTAGGTTTCCTTGATCATCCTCGCGCAAGAGCCGCCACCGCATCTCCATTCCTGCGTCGCCCACGAGCTCCTGCGCTACATTTTCCACAACGCTCCAGCCGACGAGCAGAGCTTCACCATCTTCGTCCCCAGCGCCGCGCCATTCCCGAGCGTGGATTCCCGCCACAACACCGCCGGTGCCCGGCTCGCGCACAAGCTCGTCATCAACGACGACCTCTCGGCTCGCAGCCAGATGTTCGCGGAGCTCATCGACACCCCGCAAGACCTCCAGCCCAAGGACGAGTTCCTGGCGTGTCTCGTCCATCTCATGCGCGTCATGGGAGCTCCCGGAGTGATCCTCCTCGTCCCAGTTCGTCGCGTGAGCCCCCAAGACAGAGCCCTCGTCTCGAGAGAGAAGGATTGCGCATTCCAGGTGAAGTTTTTACTTGATCATGCAAGGATCTAAACTCGTTCGATCAAGCCAGGCGATCGCGCACCTTGGAGGCCTCCTCGCGCAGTGGATGGCGCTGGAATTCTCCACCCAGATGATGGATCGAAGCCTCCCAGAGAGTTTCATCACCAGGGACGCGAGAAAACCCGGCGAATGGAGAGATCTCTATACTTGAGAGTGTTGACCTGGTCAACTATTCCGGAAATAGTCAACGTGTATGAAAGAGAATCGAACGCTCGTTGGTTTTATTTCTTTTGCTTGGTCGTCCTAATAGAAACGCGGCCGTGGTTTCGAAGGTGGATGGATCGCGGAATTCGGTCGGCGCCACGGATCGGGAGCGCGATCTGGAGCTGTGAGTGTTAGTAGGGCTTGGCGGTTGGATCGGGGAGCATGGCCAAAGGCGACCGGATTCGAGGGCGCTGGAGCGGTAGCGCCAGCGGTAGGGCTTTGTGCACAGCAGTGCTGGCGACGCTGGCGCTCATGTCCGTGGCGCTCTTCCTCCTCGTGGGTGTGGGAATTGTGGGCGTTCCGGCGGGATTGAATCACTCAGACGCTTCCATCTCGCTGCGGCTACCCGATCGTTTACTGGAACAAATGTGGGTGTTTTTAGGCGAAATTTCTCGCTACCTAGTCCTTTGATTGGCTCGTTTTCTCGTGTTTTTTCAGAGAAGAGGTTGGCGAAGGGAAGCATGAGCCTTGGTCGGAGATTATCTCGTGGACGCCTCGAGCTTCCCTTGTTCACAACTTTCTAGTAAGTCGATCCGGAAAAGTGGTTTTTTGTGCTCGTTTCTTAGACGTGATCATACTTGACAGACCGACGATGAATGCGACCATCTGATCCGAGTCGCGATGCCCCTCATGCAAAAGTCCACTGTTGTGGATAGCCAAACCGGTGGAAGCCGCGATAGCAGGTTTTTTACTACGCTTTCCACCTTAACGAGTGAAATAATCTGGATACCACAGGGTGCGGACGAGCTCGGGGATGTTCTTGAACCGAGGACAGGACAGAGTTATATCTGAGATCGAGGACAAGATTGCAAAGCTAACTTTCATTCCAAAGGGTAAGCACACTTTTCCCGATCAGTTCTTTGGTTTGCTGACTGTTACACTTTGAAGATCATGGAGAGGGAATTCAGGTTCTTCACTACGAACCCGGCCAGAAGTACGACGCTCACCACGACTTCTTCTATGACACCGTCAACACCAGAAACGGTGGCCAGAGAATAGCGACGCTCCTCATGTACTTGTAAGTGTGAGAAGATGGTTTCTGATTCATCAAAGTGATGCTTATTGGGAAAGAACAGGACGGATGTGGAGGAAGGTGGCGAGACTGTGTTCCCCAAATCGGCCAAGAACTCGAGCTCGCTTCCATGGCATAATCAGCTCTCGGAGTGTGGGAGGCGTGGGGTTTCAGTGCGGCCAAAGAGAGGAGACGCGCTGCTGTTTTGGAGCATGTCACCCGACGCGCAGCTCGATCACTCGAGCTTACACGGTGAGCTTTCTTTCCTTCAAGTTAATCGCAGTATTGAAGAGCTTCGTCCATTTTTATTTTATTTTTAATTTTTGCTTCATCCAGGAGGGTGTCCGGTGATCAAAGGTGACAAGTGGTCCGCCACCAAGTGGATGCGAGTCTCGGAATACAAGCTTTGATAGATCGGGTTTTCGAATCACACATTTAACGCTTGTTTGCGTTGTTTTGTAAGTCTAGAATCTATGCAATCCAACAGACATTTCAATATTGCTGAGTAGAGCAAGTCCTTTACAAAGAAGATGGTCCTATGGTCTAGTGGTAAGGACACTGGACTCTGAATCCAGTAGCCCGAGTTCAAATCTCGGTAGGACCTGTTGTCAAGCAGCATTCGCTTTTTTAGCCATGGTTTCATTTCATGGGAAACTATAAATGCACGTCTTAGGGCTCTAGAAAGCAGGTAAAGCTTTTTGGTCGTCGCAGTAGATGGCACGTATGCACCACCTTGTTAATCTTCCTTTTGACCTTGTCTTGTGGTAGAAGGATAAGACGAAGCCTAGATCACAAAGCACAGATTACAGCGACGCTTTGTGGTCGAGGAGGTAAAGAGACATGCGCCAGCTACTTAAACGACTCTTGCCCGCTCGAGGATACATACTTGAAAGCACATTGGCGCAACCATTACTTCCCCCTACACCCAAGCACCAGCCACCGCAGCTCTTGCTGCTCGAGCAGCAGCCAACTTCTGTGCAAGGGCCGACTCTTGAGCAGCAACTCAACAAACTCGTGTTTGTGCCACGAGCTCCCATAAAGACTAGCGGAGAATCCAAAAATAATTCAGTGAGTACATGAATTGGTTGAATTAGCTGAACAAGTTGCCGCATCTTGCCACAACTTTCAATGAACAAGTTGAGCTTGCGACACTTGATTTCTTCAATAGGAAGTCATGCGAATGTGCTGGTGGCCAACTCTACTATTCTCATTGTTCATGAATAAAATGAAGCTGGATTCTCTTGGACAACCCTTTGAGCAACGTCTTGAGCTTTGAGCCAGATAGCTTCTTTGAGTGCTATTGTGGCAACAGTAATTGAAGAGGTGATTCAAGGTAACCTCAAGGTAACTTCCTCTCAACGTTATCAAATCATACACATTCAGATGAAATCTCCTTGGATTGAATGCTTGATGATGTAAGATTGTAATCGAAGTAGCTTAGCTCAAAGCATTGAGGCCTGACAAGAACAGAAGTAAATTCTTTTATTCTCAACAGGAAATATTCCTACCTGTAGTTGTTCGCAATGTCCAAATTCCAAAACTAGCCTGTAAAACAAAATGAATGAAGGTTAGAAGATCCAAGAAAATCTCATTGAATTATTCTGGTGAGACCAAAACTCACCAGCTTTGGCCAGCTTATTAAGCCCATGGCGGAGGATTCTTCAGCAAAGGATTGGACAGCCTTGCACGCAATCGTTCCAAAGCTAGCCTGTAAAACAAAATGAATGAAGGTTAGGAGATCCAAGAAAATCTTTTAAACGAGAATTCGCAGACTTGGATTCACTGTCTTTGCTGGCTTCGATTCTGGCAGTCAGATAATCGAAGTAGCTTAGCTCAAAGCATTGAGGCCTGACAAGAACAGAATTAAAATCTTTTATTCTACTTTTCAACAGGAAAGCTTCCTACCTGTAGTTGTTCGCAATGTCCCCAAATTTATCGGTGTCGGCCGCGAGCAAAATCGCCGTGAGCTCCTCTTCCGCAAGAACAGGAGTAAGAGGCTCCTCAGGAAAACTTGGCAAATTCCATCTCGTCTCATTCGTTTTGATGTTCCAGTAGTAAGGCTGCATGCACGAAAAGCTCAGAGACTAAGAACATAGACTTAGAACACGATACAATACCTTTCCAGACGAAGAATCCACGACTTCCTTCCAGCAGCATCTCACGAACGCAGAGATCCTCCTGCGCCTCTGGCCGGAGCAATCCAATAGCGGCGAGACGCCGCATTGGAGAGGCGCGGCAATCACGAAGCTCGCGCTCGCCATCAAGAACCCTAAAAATCCGCATAGAAGAATGCTCCTCACCCTTTATACCTGGAAGGAAAAAAGCTTACATTGCATGTAAGAAATCTTCAAGTTATTCAATGTTTTAGAACAAAAAACGACTTACACGAGAACGTAAGCCTGGCTTCTTCGTGTTTCCAGCTCGCTCTTTTGTTTCACCCTCTCGATCGATCAAAGCTCTACTTCTCTGAGTTCTTTCTCTTGGACTCCTCCAGATCATATCAGATCACTCCATTCGACGTCGACGATGGCGACGGCAGGACGAACTTTCGCTCGTAGAAACCGGTGATCTGGTCCGCGACTGCCCACATAATCGCTTGCCCGGGAGGAATTCTCATCAGCCTGGGCAGCAGGCCCTTCCACAGCGCGAGCACGCCTTCCTCGGCTCGAATGGTGGCGATCGCGTGAAACATCCCAGAGTACTTTGGATTCTTCTTGCTCTGCGCCATGAGCCGCGTCTTGACAACGTCGAAAGGCCCCGTGCAAACGGGGCCGACGCACCCGGCCAGGAATCCCGACGCCATGGACTGCCAAGGTTGTAGAGTTCGTCCGTCGCCTTCGTGCTTCTTCCACAGCATGGAGTCGAAGGTGTTCTTGGCGGTGAACATGGCGGCCTGGTTGATCCCGTTGCGCATCACGGTGGGGAGAGCCCCCGACCAGAGGCCCAGGATCCCCTCTTGCTGGATGATCGTTCAGAGGCCCAGGATCCCCTCTTGCTGGATGATCGTTCCAGCGCAGTGGATCGGGCCCTTGTACAGGAGCTTGTCACGGCTGAGGCCCCGCTGCTGCTGGAGCCTGATCTTCACCACCTGTAGATCACGCATGGAAGTCAAAAGAAACGATGAGATCACTAGGAACTCACGTATTTTCGACACCAAGTATCACGAAGCTCTCCAAGAATTGCGAGGATAACAGAAGAGCTCACGCAATGATCGTTCGTCGAAGGGACTTCTACCGGGAACACCAAAAGTTACTGACCAGCCAAGAACAAAAAGAATCGAGGACGAATCAAGCACAATCTACACACAAACTCTAGCAGTGAGGAAAACGCAAGGAACTCACGCTCTTTCACGACAGGCGAAAAAACAAAGCAAGAAGAAAACAAGAGAGAGCGACTAACCTCGAATGGTGTGACGATAACGAGCGCTTCCAGCACTCCAGCTCCAAATCCCGAGGCCAGCCTCGCCGCGGAGCTGAGCTTGCCCGTGTCGGAATCGGCCAGAAACGTCTGGAGCAGCGCGTTGGTCCCCATTCGCAGCGTGTACTTGAGCGTCAGATGCGTGGCGAAGGGCGTCAATCCCTTCCACAGCGCCCGCACGCCCTCGCTCTTGACGATCGTGACGCCGCAGTTGGCGATCCCCCTGTACTGCCTCGCGGTGTCCAGCTGCAGCCTCGTCTTGATCACATCGATCGGCTGGAGGCAGCTCGCCTCCACAATGCCGCCCAGCGATCCCGACAGCGCCTTCACATAGGGCGGCACCACCGTGTCCTGCTGCTGCTGCTGCCGCGATGATCCAGCGGCCATGGCCGCGATCCAATGCCAAGAACCCTAAATAAAACAGGAAAAGCGAATAACACGTGGCGGACAACCAACACACTCGAAAGAACCCTAAAAACAGAGTGCCAGTCACATCAATCTCGACATTCCTGACAGAATTGGCTACTCCCACTTGAATTACAGTACATGGGGTGATCTGTATCATTCCAGTACAGCAAACCTCTCGATTGATTGCATGAATTCAAACTTTTTCCAGTCTCCTCACTGCACCAGGGAGAAATCAATTCCTCCCCAAGAGCGCACTCAAGCGCGAAGGACAAAGAGAGCCGAGACTAATTCTTTCCATTCGAATGGGCACAAATCAACCATAAGCTGCTCAAACACCCAGCAAGTATACAGAGCGAGCTACACGGACGGACGAATTGCAAGATCCTTCGCTCTCTCACGTCTCACCCAGCTCGCCAATTCAGTGTTCTCTCCCGGCCGCTTCCAGCTCCTCCTGCTTGCGCTGTTGCATCATCCGCAGCCCCATGTACCTGAGAGAGAGAGAGAAGCACACAACCGGATCAGCCAAGAACACCATCGCCAAAACTTCTAGCTCTCACCTCCCAAGCATCATCACCGTGGCCTGAGGATTGGCCCCCGGCGTCGAGTTGAACGTAGAGATGTCGATCACCCGCAGCGCCTCGGTGCCGATCACCCGGTGCTCCTTGTCCACCACGCCCCCAACCAGGCACCCACCATGCGCGTGCCAGATGGTAACCACGCTATCCACACAGTACTGCGCCAGCGCGGTGTCGTTGGACGTGTCCGCCGGCGGTATGAATCCGCTGGCCGCCTGGAGCACGAACGCCAGGTTCTGCGGCACCTGGCTCGCCTTCTGGTAGCTAAACTTGTGGAATGCCGGCGCGCGCACCGTCTTGCTGATCACCTTCACCGCCTGGACGCACACCGCCAGATCCCGCGGGTGCTGGTAGTAATTGTAGCGAACGATCGGGTTGTCCCTCACGTCCGTGGTCTTCAGCCGCAAGAACCCCTTGGAGAAGGGCCCCGAGACCTTCTGGACCACGTACGTGAGCTGTGGGAGATATGGGAGCACGAAGTCCGGGGGGCTGCGGACGAGCTCCAGGTACGCCGGGTTGACGAGCTTGGCCGGGTCCTTGAGCATCTGCACGAAGCACTGGATCAAGCCCGTGGTGTTTTGCCCCGCGCTGAGCTCCTCGATGTAGCTGCCGAACTCGGTGATGCCAGCGACGTTGACGAGCGAGTATGGCTGCTCCGTGGAGCCGGCGCTGAAGAAGACGTTGTTCGGGTTGTCCGCCATCGCTTGCCCAACCTGGGGGTGGTCCAGAACGAGCGGGATGCCCAGCGCCGAGAGCTCCGACTTTGGGCCGATGCCGCTCAGCTGGAGGAGCTGCGGGCTGCCCACGGCGCCCGAGGAGACGATCACCTCGCCGCGCGGTGCCAGCGTCGCGGTGTGGGAGCCGCCCAGCTTGTCCGTGTACGATACGCCGACGGCGCGCGGTTTGCCGGACTTGACTGCGGACGGAGGACAAAAAGGTGGCGGTAAGCTACGTTATGGGGACATTAAAGGCGAACATCATTACACACACAAGAACAAAGAACACGTCTCTCGTGAAAAGTTAATGTTAGTACTTCCTGCAAACATTCAAAACCGTCGAGCAAGCATTCGAGATCGACGCAGACATGAGACCAGGAAAGACAGTCCGAGACTTACCCGAGGCTGGATCAAAGAGGACCTTGTGCACCGTGGCGTGGATGAGGACGCGAGTGTTGGCCGGGGTGGCGTACTCCAGGAGGTCCGCAGCGGTGTGCCGCTTGCCCTGGGGATCGAAGATGGTGCCGCCCACCTTGGAGCCGACGAGGTGCTCGTACGTGAACCCATTGTCAGGCACCACCCCGGACTGGATCATGGCTGCCTTGAGCGCCGCCTGCCACTCGGGCACCACGGGCTTGAACGCCACCTTCGCCTCCACCCAGCGGTAGCCCTGCTCGACCAGCTCGGGCTCCCAGCCAAACATGGCCACCTCTGCCCGGCTAGCGCGCGTGTAGAAGCCGGCATTGAGCGCCGTGCCGCCGCCCAGGACGCGGCCGCGGTGGCTCAGCACGCCGTCCTCGGACCGGTAGCCCTGCGCCACGGACGTGTAGTTGTCGTAGTCGAGGAGATTGACGTGGAAGCCGTCGACGCGCTCGATGGTGGAGACGCCGTAAGGCACGCCGCCGCGCTCCAGGAGGAGGACCGAATGCTTGGCGGAGAGGGTGGCGGCCATGGCGCAGCCAGCGGCGCCGCCGCCCACGATAATGTAGTCGTATTGCTTGGCGGGTGGCGATCGGGATGCATCCTTGAGGAACGAGTACTTGTGGTCTGTAAGAAACCACTTGTTAGAAATGCTGCAAGAGAGCGCGTTGCTTCAAAAGAGAGAGCTCCAACTCACTTGTACCACTGGGATGGGCTCCATTACGTGGGCGAGTTGGGGAGGTCGACTCTGCGAGAGTGGCGGAGAGGAGGAGGAGGTAGAAGGAAAGCGCGAGAGAGATCGCCGCCGCTGACTCCATAGCTCGAGCTGATGGGTGGATTGTTCTCGCCACTTCGGAGGGAGAGAGACCACTCACTGGGAGGCACGGTGGGATGTCTCGAGAAATATAGGCGGGGAATGAATGAAGGAGGTAGCGTTGGGAATTGAAGAACAGGCAGAGAAGGGTACAGCCTCGCTCCGCCTGGCCAGCAGCGTCTTTAATGCGGCCGAGCTGGCCAGCAAACCCGGGCGTCGCGAGTTTTTAGCGCGCCAACAAAATGAGCTTTTGGCCTAAGCGGAGGTGGTGTGTATAAATCCAAGCCGCAGTAACAGAGAGAGATTCTATCGATGGTGACACGGAAGCAAAGATTAGAGAGGTCGGAGAGAATCACCAACCGGACAAAAGTATCGTGAAAAGATTGAAAGAAAGGGTCAATGCCCTTTGAATGGCGTCCACCCAAACAATTCGGTGTTTGATTGTTCTTGTGTAACAAAAAACTGCATGGTCCCTTTCGGTAGCAATCATAAATTCCAACCCGCCAACCGACAGACAGAAAAGAAGGAAAGAGAAATATGCTTTTACCGTCGTTCAAAGTTTAAGCTTACTGTTTTCAGAATTCTAAGAAGAAATCTCAATACAAAGTGTTACTGGTTGATGTAAAGACCACGAGCCCATGCACCACTGAGTTCCACCTCCAGCAAGAATTCAGGCAGTTGGATCATCCATCTTGTACCACCAAGGATGGGATTGGTGGCCTTTGGAGGTGTTTATATGTCAGACAGTCATTCACGACGTGGTTCATGTCCTCCACTTTCTCTCAGCTCTCTTTAACTCTTAGGCTTAGTGTGGCATCCTAGTTCCTCCACGAGTTGATGCCATCGCATTTGGTAACTCGGAAGAATCCTTGGAAGGGGGTGAGGTTGTTATATCCCGAATGCACATCGAACCTTTGTCATAGGAATATTGTCCATGTGGCCCCATTCCTGAAGAGGTTGTCACGTCCAATATGTGAGGTCCTCGACGGGCTCTGTGCACAAGGAGTTTAAGTCTAGCCCCAAGGAGGAAGTCCAACATCAAAGTTGTTCAGAGTCTGCCATCTCCTATAATTCTTGTATGGCGGCATCTGCCAGCTTTTGTTGGTGTATAAAGTACCTGCTATAGATGTATGTGAGTCTCCATACTAGGAATTCCAGTGCTGTGTAGAGAACAAGGATTGGACATGGGGCTTTGTAAAATGAAGTGTTTGTTGAGGCCTCCAGTTTGTTCCACAAGTTCAGACTAAGTTGGGGGCTAGCACTCTGCTCCGTAAAGCGCCATGCATTAATAAGTGTGCTTGATACCACACTGGTGGATGTTCATTTCCGGCAGTCAGATTGTAGTGTGCATGCTCAAATGATGTGCTCTTTGACCCCTAGTTGATTGTCAGGGATCATGGCTCAGTAGGATCGTGAAATCTTTGCAAAGCTAGAAACTCACGTACGATGGACGGGAAGTGCTCACAGAACTCCTGCACTAAGTAGTGGCTCAAGCTCAAGTACTAGCAACAGATCAAGAACAAGCCAGGCTTAGGCCACATATCTGTCCACAAAATAGACTTAGTCATCCATGGGAAAGTTAGCATGATTAGTTTAAATTTGTACAAACCTTTAAATGGGCTGAATTCTTCTAATTTTTTCTTAGCACTTTTAATCTAGTCCACCATCCTAGTTTGTATTCTTGGCCTTGTACTTAGTGCTCACTACTGGCTAGGATTCTTGTGCAATGTGGTAATGTGGCTCTATAAAAATAAAAGATATACTTATGGATGTTTGATATGTATAATTAAGGAGGTACTAATTACGGGGCAGATTTAAGTAAAGAGCTTTTAATAGTTATATTATATCCCCCAAAGTTCCAAAAATAAATCTCATCTTGATCTCATGATCATATGTGTTACAAAAGATCAATGCTCTAAAAACCAAGTCTTCAAAAGTATGAAACTTCATTGCTTTATCACTAAAAGCAAGTCCACCTAGTGCAAAGCATACATTATGATGAGGGAGTAATATACTTGGATTAAAGGATCTTGATGAGGGAGTAATATACTCGGATTAAAGGATCTTGATGTTGAGCATCTAGAGGATCCACTTTGTCTGATCAATATGGAACTTTGGCAAGATTATGACATTGTAATATAAATTGATTGCCATAGCAATTTAGAGTGCCATTTACTCCACTTGCTCTAAACTTAAGTCCACAAAAACCATGTGTTTTAAAATTGAATCATCAAGTTGCAAGCTGATCAACAAGGTTTTTTATGTGATTGATCTGAACCACATTCCTAGACCATGCTTTAGTGCCTTGACTCGTTGGGAAAAATGATGTTTTTAGGTTGTGTCAGGTGCAGTTTATATGTCATTAAATCCTGATTATAGATATGGTTTTCTTATACTAAACTTTGATATTAATGTCTTAGAATATACTCAAATATTCTAAGAAAAAAGGCAAATAGAGAACGAGAGTTCGAATCACTTTTTTTTTGGTTTGAGTTGAGAGGATGGACAGGGAGACAGCGAAATCCGAGGTAAGCGAGGGTTTTCGCTGGTGACTGATTCGAGCAAGCACGTCGCAATGTCTTCCAGGAATCGAGGGATTCGGTGCCGGCTTTTCGGGAGAGATTTTGGGATCAGCTCAAACTGTGGAGAAGCAACCCATCCTGGGTCGATGAGCCGCCGATCACTGCAGTACGAGCGTTGCGTAGGATCGACTGGATTGGTTTTGACTGGCTGTTGCTACTTTCCCAGGTTACTGTTCCCAAAGGAACTCTGTGCCACTTGAAATCCACATTTAAAGTTGGCCTCCCACCGGAAGCTGTGTTTGGGATCATCACTGATCCAGGAAACAAGCGCGTCTTCAAGAACATCAAGGTAAGTTTTGTCGTGTTTTTTGTGTTCCTGCTTTAGCTCGAATCTCTAGGAGGTAAAATACCGCAAGGTGATTAAAGCCGAGAACAACAGGCAGCTTGTAGAGGTCGAGCAAGCTGCCATTTGGAAGTTCCTGTGGTTCTCAGGGACTATAGACGTGCGTGTGCTTGTCGACGAGGATCAAAGCTCACACACGGTGAGGAGATTTTAATGTAGCACAAACTTACTGACCATTCTTTTCCTTCCCAGGTTAGCTACAAGCTAGCCAAGGAAGGATTTATGAAGAGATTTGAAGGAACCTGGGAGATAAAGCCGTTTTACGTGGATGGTGAGCCGGGTGAAGCAGGCAGAGTAGCGTCACTTGTGAATCTCCATCAGGAAGTTCAGCCAGTTCTGATTCCACCGCCGCCAGTCTCATGGTATGTTCGAGGAATAACCACGAAGACGACGGAGATGATGATCGGGGATCTCCAAGCGGAGGGGAAAAGGATTAGAGAAGGGAATGAAGACGACGACGAGGCAAACTTGCAAGTGAAGAATGAGGATGAGGGGGGAGCATCTAAGAAGGAATGGAAGGCGAAAATGAAGAGCTCGGAAAAATGGAAAACTTCGGGAGAGAATAGCCGGTGGCGTATCCCAAAGTAGCCATTTGCATTGCAACGAGGTTTCGAGTTTCAGCAGTCAATGGTGTTATCGATTTCCCATTTGCTCAAGTGTTGTGTGAAGGATCTCCATCGTTCAGTCTGGATCTTCGAGTAGCTCGTGACAAATTCTTCGCCAAGAGCCTGTCGCACAAGGATAAGCAGAGCTCTCGAGAAAGCAAAAGCTTACCTTTCTCAAGGTGGCAGAAGCAGAGAATTCTTTCAGAGCTTCGGCTAGACTGGTGGGAAGAATTTGCACTGCCTGCAAAGAAAAGAAAAGACAGGAAAACAACAGCCATGCTACAGAGTTCTACTTCCGAAGGACAGAATGAGAAAACTCGCTACCTTCCCTTCAGGTGGCGGAAGATGGCCGTTCCAATCGGCTGATGGTCCCGGATGGACGTGATGATCAAGCCCGTGAAGGCCACAAGCTGCGAGAAAGTTGCGAGGTTCAGAGCTACACGTAAATCACTTGAAACTCACCCAAGATGGCAGCCTGGAAAAGATATGGATTGACTGCTCCATCTGCGAGACGAAGTTCGAATCGACCACCGTCGGGTATGCTGCATAAAAGCTTGTTAAGTCTGCAACGACGGAAGTTCTCTGGCCTTTTGTACCGTATTAAGTGAGTACGATTGTTTCCAGTGTATGCGATGGAGCAAGGAGCCCATGAAGAGCCAGAAAGGGTGGTGCTTCCATCGATGCGCTTGTAGCTATTGACGGTGGGGTTGAGAATGGCAGTGATCGACTTGGTGTTTTGGAGCACTCCTCCGAGGAACTCATAAGCAGTCGTGGACAATCCCTGCAAGGAAAGAGAAAGAGATCAAAACGAAGGTAAAAGACTGGGGAAAGCTCACAAGCTTGTCCTGCTTGTCAAGGAAAACGTTGTGCTCGCCGGAAGTATCCCAGACAGAGACATGGCAATGTGTTCCATTGCCAGTTTGGTTTACAAAAGGTTTGGGCATAAACGTCGCCTTGAGACCTGAGAAAAGACCACAGGAGATCAATCGATAGAGCTCGAGAAAGCGAAGAAAGAAAAGAAGAGGTACCATATTTTTCAGCTAGTGATTTCACCATGAACTTGAAGAAGACGTGCTTATCAGCAGTAGCGATGCAATCGTCATACTCCCAGTTAATCTCAAACTGACCATTTGCATCCTGGAGCAAGAAAAAAGAAGCTGGGAAGATGACGATAAAAACCAAAAGGTTGAACCTCGTGATCAGCCTGATATGGTTTCCATCCAAGAACTTCCAAGTAGTGAAGAACTTCCGAGATCAGGTCGTACCGTCTCATGAGAGCAATCTGGTGGTAAGCAACAAGTTATGGTTTTCTTCTCTCTTGTATTTTTCCCTGTTTCTTACCTGTTCGTAGCCTGGTTTCTCTGCCTTATCCAATCGATCCGACAGCTGATGAACATCGCTACTTCCGGACAGGATGAAAAACTCGCATTCGACCCCGGTTTTCATCCTCAAGTGTTTACTCTCGGCAATCTCAACCTGTGAAAGCCATGAATTCTTCTCAAGAAAAGAGTTTTGACACACCTGAGTTCGTAAGACTCTGCGAGGATCCTGTTGTACGGGCTTGCCGTTCATGTACAAATCGCTGGCCACCCAAGCTACTGCTGGTTTCCATGGAAGTTGGATCACGCTTCGAGGATCAGGCACCGCAAACTAGAAGAAAAAAACGCTCTTTTTAAGTCGCACTCTCTCTTCTCTATTGGCTTCACCAGGTCGGGATCCGCTGGACTCATGTCAAAGTGTGCGGCATAGCCAGCAAACCCAGCTCCTTTGATCTCCATCTCGCGGATTGCTGACTTTGGAACGAGCTTCGCTCGAGACACGCCTAATAGGTCCACGAAACTTATCTGCATTGATTGTTTTTTCGCAAATCTTTAGCTAGGACCGTGGCGCTCGAGATCGCTGCTCGTTTACATACCAGGAAATTTTCCACTCCTCTCGCTTGAGCGAAGCTCTCGAGCTCGGAAGTCGCGGCTCCAGGCGCCATCGCTCTCTCTCTCTCTCTCTCGGTGCTCCACAATAGTGACGTGGGCAGTTCTTATTGGCCGCAGCTCACAGCGGGATATTCCCCTAAAATTAGAATCTTTTCGCCCTAGCTAGGGTTTATAGCTCGGCTCGGCCATGGAAGGCAGCAATGCGTTCGTCTACGATCGACTGGCGCCGATCGGCATGGATTTCGCCCTAGGTGATGCAGATGAGATTGTAGAGGCGCCGGCTGTGAGAAGCGAGGATGGAAATCCGGGTGCTTCCGCCGCTCCGGGAAGCGTGATTGAAATCAGCGATGGCGAGGCGGAGATTGACTACATTTCGCTCGCTGTCGACGGGCTTGTGAAAGCCGTGGAGCAGGAAGAGGATCCCGACGAGGCCTTGGTAAATCTCGCCGCCAGTGACGAGTTGGACCTGGAAGTGGACAACTACAATGACAAGAAGATTTGGCCGTGGATGGAGGCTAGAGAAACGAATTTCCGGAGTCCAGTGCTCCAGCTCCATCAAGGTTCGCGCACTTTTTCTGGGAGCTAACGAGCTCATTTTTTTTTTCCTGTGCTTCAGAGATTTTAGATTTTTGTACGTTCATCTCACCGACTGTGGAGGAAGAGGCCGAACGTGCTGCAGCTATTAATCGTATAAGCAATGCGATAAAGTCGCTGTGGTCACACTGTAAGGTCCGCTTCATTCTTTTTTCTTGATTATGGATCCAGCCTTGTTTGCTTTTGGTTCTAGATTGAAATTTTTGGATCATATGCTACTGGGCTCTATCTTCCGACGAGCGACATTGATGTGAGACAGCCCGTTCTGATTTGTTTAGTTTTCTCTTTTCTGAACACAAAAATTGCAGGCTGTGATTCTAGACTCAGGATGCGATAGGATCGTAAGCGGTCTTAGAGCAATTTCCATAGAGCTTAGGAAGCGAAAGTTGGCCAGGAAAATAACGGTAGACAATTGTAATTGGAATCACAACTAACTGCTGTCTTGATGCAGATCATATCAAAAGCACGCGTCCCGATTATAAAGTTTGTGGAATCAACGAGTGGAATTTCATTTGATATCAGGTGAAGCAGCGTGATAAGCCATTTCATTCGTCTTGAATTTCCTTTTCTTCCGCTCCTTAGTTTCGATTTAAGAAATGGACCCGAAGCAGCAAAGTTCATACAGGTGACTTCATTATGGAAGTTAGAAGGATTTTTGTATGTGACTGTGCTCCTTCCAAACAGCGAGCTATTGGAACTTTGCCTCCTCTGCGGCCTTTATGCATGGTGCTAAAGATCTTTCTTCAACAAAGAGAACTGAATGAGGTATAATTTGATCATGGCAAGGAAAGGTTTAACCGTTGATGTTGTAGGTGTACTGTGGTGGAATAGGCTCATATGGTCTTCTAATCATGCTCATTACGCATCTTCAGGTAAAGCATATCATGACTTCTGTATTATCTGCTGATTGACTTTCTTCCCAGATGCACCCGAGTCGGCATCATGGCGGCAATCTCGAAACTAATCTGGGTGTTTTGCTGGTAGTACACACGAATTTTGTTCCATCTGAATCTCTCATTTCTATATTTTATTGCAGCTGGACTTCTTTGATTTGTTTGGTCGTAGTCTCAACATAAGAGAGGTTGGGGTCTCTTGCGCTGATGGTGGAAGGTTTTTCTCGAAGGTTTCGAAGGGGTAAGTTTAATATATTCTGTTTGGTCAAGGACTCTTTGTGATGCAACTTGCAGGTTTGTTGATTACAAACGGCCGTTTTTGCTAGCTGTCGAGGATCCTCAGGTATTATTTCTACATATTTGTACTGCAGATAGTAAAACGCTTACATATTCCAGGCACCAGAGAACGATATAGGAAAGAACTCTTTCCAGATTCCCAAGGTACGCGAGAAGACTTTAAAGTGATGTGTATACGTTTACAAGAGCTGCTTGTTGTAGATCCGTGCGGCATTCGTCCTTGCCCACAGGCTGTTGGCAACGACTACTGCAAACACTGGAAATACTGGAATACTGGGCCGAATCATTCGCGGCGACAGCATTCTAACCAACAGGAAGCGCACGACGGCCGGTGACGCTAAGGCTTGCACGTACTTTTTCGATCCAATAGAGGAGCTACCCGATGCCGACACAATGCAGCCGAAGAAGTTCAAGTACAAGAAGAGACACAGGCCGGACGACTCCAAGCAGCACAAGAAAAAGAAACGGGAGGAACACGAGGAACGCAGGAAACGAAAGCGCGATGAGGCCTCCTCGTCAAGCCGGAACTCAAGGTGGAAGAAAGTGGAGGAGAGGGAATCGCCAGGCCCGAGATTGTCGAGGAGGACTACATACACTGATCACTGCGACCACGACGGCGTGGACACGGGCCTAAAGAGAGTCATCGTGGCCTCGCCTTCGCACAAAAAGTTTAAGTACTCGTGAGAAGAGACCCCTCAAACTAAACCAAAGCCTTACGACCGCGAAAGAGATTTTTTCCCGTCAACGTCCGGGCACCACTTTTACTATCGAAACACGAGACTATCGAAGCAAAGAGAGCGATCAAAGCCAAACTTAACGGGTAAAATCAGGAGATCCACTTTATATTTTGGAGGAGTGGAGCAACTTGGCACTACTCTTATCCTCTCGGGACGACGAGATACTGGAGAGTTTGAGCCGGGCAGCCATGGCAGGAGTTTTGGGAGCCTCATCGTCTCTCACTGCTAGCAGGGGTGAGAAGAATTGGGAGAGAGGTAGCCATAGAGGACTAGCTGCTTGGAGGAGCTCTAGAACAGCTCGGCTGCCAGGAATTGGAGACGTGTGCTACAGACTGGAAAGACCAACAAGAGCTTCTTCGCCAATTTCTTCTTCTTCGTCTTCTTCCTCTTCGACAGCAGCACCCAGTGGTGCTGCTACCTCCTCGGCCAAAGGAAACAAAGGCAATGGCAGCGCCACCAAAGAGGATCCCGTCAAGATGATATCCACGGAGCTCGAGTTCCAGGCGATGCTGCGGGACGCGGGCGAGAAGCTGGTGGTGGTGGAGTACGCCGAGAGCCACAGCGTCAACAGCAAGCGGATATATCCGGCCATGGTGGAGCTGAGCCGGACGTGCCCGGACGTTGTCTTCCGCCTCATACTGGCTGACGAGTCGGAGGAGACCAAGGAGATGTTCCGCCGGGAGGGCGTCGCGAAGGTCCCCCACTTCATCTTCTACAAGAGCGGCGAGAAGGTCCACGAGGAGGAAGGCATCACCGAGGACATGCTGCTTGGGGACGTGCTCTACTACGGCGACTCCTCCAGCGCCATCACCCAGCTCCACAGCCGCGGCGACGTCGAGGCCCTCATCCGGAAGCACAGGGACGACGGTAAGCTCGTTGTCCTCGACGTTGGTCTCAAGCACTGCGGCCCCTGCGTGAAAGTGTATCCCACCGTCATCAAGCTGGCCAAGAAGATGGCCGACACGGCCGTGTTTGCGCGCATGCACGGCGACGAGAACGACGACTGCATGGCCTTCCTCAAGGAGCGAAACGTCGTCGAGGTGCCGACGTTTCTCTTCATCCGCGGAGGCGAGGTGCGCGGGAGGTACGTCGGCTCCGGCAAAGGCGAGCTCATCGGAGAAATCCTGAAACATCAAGGCGTCATGTAGGTAGAGAAGAGTAAGAAAGATTTGCTTACCGCTCTGTAACGAGATGATATCTTAGCTTGCTCTCCTTCCTGCTATCTCTTTCCTGCTATCAGTAACTATCCTGAGACTCCAATAGATATTTGCCATGGATAAGGCCGCGCCATGCCTCTCGTCCAGCCTCACCACCCTCCGGTAGTGCTCGAGCTCGAAGTACTCCTTTCCCTTGTCAACCAGGCCGGCATGGCTGCAAGCGGCGAGGATAAACGTGAAAGTGATGGCATCTGGACGGAGGCCTCTGTCTTGCTTGAGGTTGAAGAAGTCGATAGCGCTCTCTGTCTGGCCTTGGCGACTGTATCCTGTCGTCCAAATCATAGAGTCTTTCGTTTTAGAACCAAATAAATCGAATACCTGTCGTGCTTCACCCATTCTCCCACACTCGCAATAGAAGTCCACCAGGGAACTCAAGTTTCTCTCGAGGCCGCTCTCACAGACTTGAGTGCGAATTTGTCTCCCTGTCTGTAGTGCTGCCAGCCAAGTACAGGCTTTCAATCCGGCCAACCGGGAACGCAGCCTTCCTGTCCAAACAGTTCCAGCCCCGTCTCGGCTTCCCCGTTTTCTACGTATGCCAGGACAAATGCCGTCCATGAAACCACGTCCTGTGATGGCATTCTGTTGAAAACTTGTCGAGCATCCACCAAGCTGCCGCACTTCGCGTAAAGATCGCCCAAACTGCTTCCCACGAACACGTCTCTTGAATCAAAACCGTGCTTTGCTGCTCTGCTGTGAACTTCCATCCCTTTCTCCAAAGCTCGGAGCTTCACCAGCGTCCCATCGATTCGCTGGAACGGCTCTTGCGTATCGCGCACGCCAGGATTGCAGCAACAAAAACCTTGGCATCCGCTACACACCCTCCATCCGACTGCATCCTTGAGAAGAAATCCTAGGCCACCTCGGCTTCACCGTTTTGAGCGTGTCCCAGTATGATTGTCGTCCAGGAGACAACGTCTCGACGGGCCATTCCTTCGAAAACTCTGCGGGCCTCCGCCATGTTGCCAGCCATGGCGGTGGCAACGAACACATCAGACTCGTAGCCGCTGCTCACAACTTGCGAGCAAAACGATCTAAACACCTGGAAAAGCCTTTTGTTCTCGCTGCCAAGCTGCCGAAGGTCTTGAGCACCGCAAAACGCTTGACCATCTGGCATGCAGCCCTCGCACTGCATGAGCGAGAAGAAAAACATGCCTACCTTGTTCTCGCCATTCAGGACGTACTGTACAGTCCCGTTCGATCACAAGTTTGGCAGCTCGTGCCCCAGGATCAAACTCGTCCACGACACAACGTTTGGCAGGAGAATCCCTCAAAGACTCCGCGAGCTTCCTCAATTCTCAGCACGTTACACACGTAGACGTTGGAAAGAACTCCATACCTGTCAGCTTGAGTGTGCAAATCGACCGATCTCGGGCCAAAATTCGAGCCTCTCCTCCTTGGCCGCCAGATTGGAGCACGCCATGACGGCTGCGACAAAGCTCGGCGAATCCGGGGCACATCCCTCAGCGCGCATGCGGTGAAATATCTCTAGAGCTAGATATTCCTTACCGCTCTCAGAACGAGCGACGCCCTCGAAGATCCGGCACGCTTTAGCCATGTTTGCGCAGAGGTACATGTGAATCAGCACCTCGCATTCGAGGAATAGCCGAGCCGATCGAGTTCGGCGTGGAGGAGCCCTAAAACTTAAAGGTAAAATAGTTTAAAGTAGAGGTCTGATAGCATTTAGAGGGAAAGATCTGAACATTCTAAAGATCATTCATCTAGTCCTAGTTGCCAAGATTTATTTGGTCACATCCTCAAATAAAGTTCTATAAAACCATGCACCTCTTGGTCTAAATGATAAAATGATCCATCCCATTTTTATTGTCCCCAATAAGTATAAAATTGTTACAAATGTTTTAAGAGCATGGGATTATAATATTCAATACAAGTGAAATTAAGTTAATAAATTCAAGTTTTAATATAAAAGACCAAAACTTTATTTTGTAAATTAGATCAAGGTTTTTTATATAAGTTAAATAATTTAAATTTACTTTAAAAAATAGGTATATTTATAAATTATATCATAAATTACAACCTATTAAGCAAAAATGGACTCTGCCACTTCATCAAAGCAAAAAAATAATAAATTATTACTAATGTGAACTTTCAATCCAAACCTCTTAGCTACCTTTTCCACATTATCAATTACATAAAAAATATTAACCATTGTGCTTTTTATAAGTTTTTTAACTTAAGTTTTTATGATTTTTATTTTCATCATCCTAAAAACTTTATTATTCAAAATATTAACTTTTAATAATTATCAAAAAATCCATAAATATGTATAAAACACACATTTAGTTTAGTAAAATATAACTTTTTCCTCAAATAATCAGATTCCACACTAGTGTGCTTTTAATTAGTATAAAAGTTTAACTATTTTATTTTAATATTTTTAAATATATTTTATAGAGACATTATTTATTTCTTTCCATTAAATTAAATAAAATATTATCTTTAAAATTATTAATAAATTATAAAATATCATATTTATATAAAATAATAATACTTTATTTTTATTGTTAAACCACAAAAACCTTTCTTGATTTAAACAAATTATTTTTATACTTCAGAAGTAAATATTATAAATTATAATGTAAAACTTAAAAATCCTTTATAATATTGAAATATATTTATAAATATAAACTTTTAATTATAAATTTTTAATTTACACTCTCTTTATATATGCTTAATATGCTTGAAAATAAAATATTTTCTTATAGTTTAAAATATTTTTAAAAGTTAGTTTAAAAATAACTTTTTTATAAGTTAGTTCTTAACTTTTAGTTTAAAAATTGTGATAGTTTAAACTTTAAAAGCATAAACTTTTACATGGAAGAAACTGTGAAGAAAATAAGACAATATTTCTATATTAGAGTAAAAACTTTATATGGAAAGGTTATATTTTCTAGTTTATTGGGATATAATTTTAAAAGTTTATTTTTATTAATTGAATCTCTCAAAATATCATGCACAGTTACTTATAAAAATTTCTATGAAAATTCACAATTTTGGCTTGCCTCAACATTAATTATATTTTAAAATAAATGAGTTATAGAGTTATTTATGTTTTTATTTTATTACTTACTGTTGCCAAGTGAAATTTGAAAGTCCATTATAACTATTAAAATATATTTAAAAATATAAATATTTTTTTGGAATTATTTTATTTAACACACTGAGTGATTCTTAACAAAAATAAATCATCAAAAGCTTTTATAATATCTTAAATAAGTTTTATTTTCATTTGTTAAAATTTTTGTAGTTGCAAGATTAAGAACCTAAACTTTCATAATAAGGATGTTAATTTTTTTTATGAGTGAAACTAGATTTTTTAATATTTTTAGACATAATTTAAAGATTTAATTTTATTAACAATTATCTGACTCTTAATTATGTATATAAAAGCACAGTTGACAGTTATTTTTACAAAGGCAATTGGATATGATAGTGATGCAGTGATCACTTTGAGCCCCCAGGGGATACTAGGAGTACACTTTGTGGTTTTGTATTCTGAATGCTAGCAACTCCACTTGGTTTTGGCAGTTTATATAAGCCACAACAACACCAAGCACCATCAAAGTAGACATTGGCCATTCAGTGATGAGGCAACCAGGACCATTTTACAGATTCAGCAGTCCAAGCAGAAAGGCTTTTTCTCTTGTTGGCTTTCATATATTAAGTAGTCTCTTCTTATGTCAAGTTAGGAGTCCTCCAACTTCCACCCACACTATTTCCATCTAGTGAAAGAACAAGAAGATCGAGTATGAAGCTTAAAGCGTGAAGATTTTTTGGATCGAGGAGTGGAGCAAGGCTCCCAGCAACTCACAACACACTTGCATTTTTGCATTCATCAGTCTCATGCTTCAGAATGGGCACCAGAACAATATCAAAACAGCATTAGATCTCTTCCTGCAGAGCTGAGTATTAAAGATGTGGAAAATGGGCCAGTGAAATCAGATTTGCTTTCAGGTGAGAAATGTCTGTCTCTCAGGTGCTATCGTGACGTGAATATCAGGGGATTTGTCCAGTGGAAGAATCGGAAGATCGACCAGGAGTCCCTCTATGGACAAGCGGAAGCAAAGGGGCCAAACAAAGAGGGAGCTCAGATGGTGGACCAGACTTCATGCTCGGAAGAGGAAATGTTGGCATTGCAAACTTTATCACTCAGTTTTCGTTCCGTGAGACCTCCACTCCACAGTCTGCCCTGACCTGATAAGGATCAGGGTATGTAAAGCATCTGTTGAGGACCATGGAAAACTTTGTAGCATTGAAGCGGATAAGTGGTCCGAAACTTCTCTTTCACCCATGCTTCCAGATAACAGGTGGAACGGCTCTTGGATTGACACAACTCTCCTAAAGAATTAAACCTTGGCTTCACTGTTTTGAGCGTATGTCCCCTCGAAACTCGGACGTTTATGTCGATCATGACTGGAAACGGCCACATCAGAGTCGTAGCACAACTTGCGAGACCGTCTCTTCCCGTCGCTATGACCGGAGCGTTTTGTTGCTGCCAAAGGCCAACGCTTGACTGCGTCCCTCGTATTGCATGAGAAGTCTGGGCGATCGAAACGATTCTAGAGCACGTTACATACGAAGGAATTCCAGACCTGCTAGCTTGAGCATGGAAATCTTGGCCTAGTCTCTTCCTTGGCCGCCAAATTGGAGCGCCAGAAGGAATACCCGAGTCGTCCTAGAAAGAGAAACGAAGACGCCTTAAAGTCGTAAAGGAGAATATACTAGTGAATATAAAATATTTTAATTTCGTCATCATCCTTTGTTTAAATAGCTCGGTTGTTGGTGAGAAGAAATGTACAGGGAGGGTAGAAAGTAAAAAGTTTTCGGGGACGAAGAAAGTTATGGCAAGAGAGGGAACGAAGAAGCACCGAGTGTACGTAACCTTGATGACAAGAGAAGCCTGGGAGAGACACAAACAATCTAAAGAAAACTATACCCTCGATACTTCTTCCACTCCATCACCTCCATCGGAGCTCTGGAATTTCTGCCCAACTTTTCTCCGCGGCTACTCGGGCCCAGCTGCAAGGATTTCCTTGGTCAGGTCCGCGTTCCCCACGCTCTGATCTGTAAAGTTCTCGAAGTTCTTCTTAAACAGGCCCGCCAGACGATTCAGGGTCTCGAAATAGGCCTTCTTGTCCCACCACTGCCAAATAATTGAAAGCCTCGTGAGTCCAAATGGAAAGAACGAGAAACGAGAAAGAGGGAAAAAACACAAGAGCTTCTCTTACCATGTTTTCTGGATGGAGGAACTCGGACGGGACACCTTCCACTTGATCTGGAATGTGAAGCTTAAAGATTGGAGTCTCCGAGTAGTTTGCTTCCAGCAGCGAGCCATTGTGGATGGCATCGATGATCTTACGAGTGTAGGCCAGCTTCATTCTCATCCCGACACCATAGCTGATAAAACAAACAAGATGCCACAACAGTGTGAGATGCATTGCATCATCGAGAGAAGCGCGACAAGGAAAGGTACCTGCCACCCGTCCAGCCAGTGTTGACAAGCCATGCCGTGGCCCCATAAGTTTTCATTTTCTCCGCCAGCATTGCTGCGTAGCGAGTGGGATGGAGCATAATAAAGGCCGCCCCGAAGCAGGCAGAGAAAGTCGCCTGTGGCTCCTTGATTCCATCTTCGGTTCCGGCAACCTGGAAGAATTCAACGCACTTGTAACAATCAATACTTTCTCTTGACGTAGACTTACCAAAGCAGTGTATCCACTGATGAAGTGGTACATTGTTTGCGGTAAGTCGAGCTTGCTGACAGGAGGGAGGACCCCAAACGCGTCACACGCAAGTAATATCACGTTCTTGGGATGGCCTGCGACGCAAGGAAGTTTGACATTGGGGATGTACTCGATTGGATATGAGGCTCGAGTGTTTTCTACGAAATATTGCACAGTATTAAGAAACACATAAGGAAAACTTCTTAACACATACCAGTGACACCCTTGTCTTCGTAATCAACTTCACGAGAGTGCTCGTCAAAGACAACGTTTTCCAGCACTGCAAAAACCGATCATTGAGCCCGTAGTCTGAATAATTAAAATATCAACTTACCAGTGCCAAACTTGATAGCGTTGAAGATATCAGGTTCTTTCTCCGGTGACAAGTCCACACATTTTGCGTAGCAACCACCTTCGATGTTTGAAACACCATTGTCACTCCAGCAGTGCTCGTCGTCACCAATTAAGTACCGGTTGTGGTCCGTCGACAATGTGGTCTTTCCGGTACCTGACAAGAAAAGTGCAAGGAAGCGATTAGAAAAGCAAAAGGAGGACACGTCCTACCACTAAGCTAGGACCCAATACAATACCTGATAATCCAAAAAACAACGCGACATCCCCGGACTTTCCCATATTGCAACCGGAGTGCAACGACAAAATTCCTCTTTTCGGCATAAGGTAGTGCATCACACTGAATAGACCCTTCTTCATCTCTCCGGCGTATTGCGTCCCCAGGATCACCATCTCTCTCCTCTTAAGATTAATATCTACACTAGTGGACGACGTCATGTAGTGTGTATACCGGTTGCAGGGAAACTGGCCAGCGTTATAGATTGTGAAGTCGGGCGCGCCGAAGTCCTCGAGCTCTTCAACAGTCGGACGAATACACCTGACACCCATACTTTCAGCACTTCTACACTAGAATCTAGTCCGGTAGACAGGCAAGCAGCTGGCCCAGTAACACACACACACGGCAGAGAAAGGGTTTAGATACGTACATGTTGTACATAAACAAGGAATGATACGCCCGTGCTGATATAATTCGGACTTTAATTTTGTTTTCGGGATCCCAATTTAAAAACTGGTCATTGACAAACACCTGCGAGCGCAAACACGTCAAAATCCCACCACGACTTGAGAAACTAGCACAAGTCACCTTCTCCAGAGAGTTGAGATAATCCACAGCTCGTTCGCGATTGATCAAGAAAGTCTCCGCATCCATTTCAATATTTGGAGAACCTCTGTGAAAGGCAAGGATTAGATTTTTGCAAAACTTTGTTTCAAAAGCTTACTTTCCCCACCACAGGTCGTCCATGGACGTCTCCTCTCGCACAACGCGTTTGTCTTTAGGAGAGCGTCCAGTCTTAGCTCCAGACAGGGTGGCCAGAGCACCAGTGGACGTAATGTACGAGCCCTTCTCATACTTGATAGCCTGCTCATACAGCTCTGCCACCACACACATGAAGATCACGTTAAACATCAGCCGAGAGAAACATGACAAACCAACAACTTTGCGAGCAAAGAATCAAAGGTGGATGCAATCAGCCGCCAACCCACAACAACCAAACCAGACCAGGAACAAAACCCAACACGTACAACTCGTGTGGCTACCAAGTTCACGAAGAACGGAAAAAATAACTAAAGCTAAGCTACGTCCTAGATAGAATCGAAGCAACAGAAAGCAAATGGCTGGAAAAAAACAATGGAATGGAACAGTGCTTATCACCTGCTGGCGAAAGGTTGTAGAGCACATGAGTGAACTTGAGGGCACTGTCACTGATATTCGGCCTCACAGGGACCAAGCTGACAGGCTTCTCGATTTTATTCTCGGGATCACCACGGACGACCTGAGGGCCTCTTTCCCGAGTGAGAGAAGCCAAGGAAGCACTACACACACAATAAAAAGAGGGATTAGCCAAGAAAATGACCACCACGAATAAAAAATGCGAAGGAACGAACGATCACCTGATGGATTCCATCTGCTGCCTCTCTCCAAAGGGAGACATGGCGCCGCCTCTGGGAGTGGTGGCTCCCTTGGGCGTCGTCCCCTTAATCGGCGTCGATGGAGCCGATCTCTTCTTCTGGAGCGAGTGGAGCTCGTCCAGGCTCTGGACCTTGATCGGCGGGACGCTGTCATCGGTGCAAACATCGCGGTGCTTGTGCGTCTTGATCTTGGACAGGCCATTCGGGATCCCATTCCCGTTGGTGGCCACCAGCGAATCGGCGCTGCTGCTGTCGGCAGACGCCATCTCCTCCGCTGAGATTTCTGGCGATTCCTGCATCAAGATCAAAGATTATCGTGAAATCCCTGCATGGATCGATCGGATCGATGGCAAGAACGAGATATTACGGGCAAAGATTCGTCGAATTGCGCAATGCCGCCGATGCGGAAGGAAGATCCAATGGCAAAAGCTAGCGGCGAAAAAAGATAGGAGTGCCAAGAGGCAGCTCCTCCGGAGGATTAAAAAACACCCCTAGCTTCGATCATTCCCCAGCTCAAGAACACACTGAGAGGGGAAGCCTTCCCCCGCCCCCTTTCATATGAAGGCCCCCAATCTCGCTAGCTAACTACGCGTCTAACCGCGCAATTACCCAAGCGGTAACTTGTGTCCACTCCGTGAACCGGGCGGTACAACGGCGCGGTAGCTAGGTTCGACTCAGGCTCGGAGGCGGGCAGATACGGTGTTTGAGCGGCGGCTGCGGCAAGGTTCGGTGCAAATAATTGAGGCATGAGAGAAAGGTTCGGCAATAAGGTCCGGTACAAAGAGCTAGGCCCGGTCGCAAGGTTCGTGGGTGGGATTCCAAAGCTACGCAGACCTGAAATATTCCGCTTGTGTCAGGCTGCCTGATTGCCGGCGTCAGCGCGCCGCGCAGGCACTTGACTGACGCCGCTAGCAAGCGGAGTGACAGATTCATGCCGTCCACGTGGATACACACGTGCCTGTGATCCAGCCGTTGCCCCACCGAAATAGAAAGCGGATGAAAAACGACGCATCCCAGCCGCCGGGGACGACCGGCCGGATCACTTCCACGTGTATCGCATCTATTGAGATCCAAGTTTGAGCCATTCGCGCGGCGAGAGTTGAGAATCAAGATGGATTGTTGTTATCGTCGCATCATCGATCGCCAATCTTATCAAACAAGCAGCACCATGGGTTTGACCTTTGATTTTTTGGAGCACTCCACATTTGAAGCATCACGGGCGGAAAATAAAGAAAGAGAAAAAAAGAAAGGTCGCGCGGCTTTTGATACCTCAGTGCGCAAATCCGACTGAATCTGGATCCAAAGTTAAAAAGAGTCATGATCCACATGGCGTAGAAAACGTATGTTTTGCCAAATGAAAAATACAAGAGTATGGTACCTTTTGACACACCAGGAAACTTCGTTGGTTCAACTTTAATCGCGTTTGATCGAGATCAGTGAGCTCGGGTCATCCTCATCTTTGGCATGGATTTCTTGAGCTGCTTCGCGCGCTCCTTCTCTTCCTTCCTGCGGAGGGCCTCGGGGCTCAAGCGCGACTCGAGCTCCTCGGCGGCCCTTCGTTTCTCCTCTCGCTTGCGAGTCATGGCTTCGTGGCGAGCGTTTTGGGCCTGCTTCAACGCTTCCTGCTGCGACTTTTGCCTTGCCGGGTCGACTTTCGCCCGAGCCTGCAGGGAATAAACAAAGCGAGAAATTGAAACGTTTAGCAGGAAACTTCGAAAGAAAATACCACCTGTGGACTAAGTTTGTAGCGGCCAACCGCATCGATGAAATGAGGAACCATCTGGATCAGTCGAGAAATCTCTCCCATGCGGTTTGCAGGCGGGAGATAAAACTTGAACTGGAGGAGCTTCCTGTGCACACCGAGGGGATACACATCCGACAAGTGAAGAGAAACAAAGTTGGCTCCGTGTTCTTTGAACGTCTTCTCTCCAAGGGCCTGCCAAATTCATACTCTGTCATCTCGAATAATCGAAATCTATAGAAAGACAAAGAAAAACCATGATAGATGGTTACGTACCATATCCAAAACCGCGTCGGTGAGCAAATCGTTCGAGACTTCCCGCGACTCTGCAATGACTGCGAGATCCTCAGACAAGGATTTACCTCGCGAGGACGGCGTCAAGATGGTCGCAAACTGCTGCAAATCTCGTACGTCTTTGCTCATCGCCTTGGCATTCTTTCGACGTGCCACTGCCGCGACAACGTTGTCCATGCTCTCGTCGTTCATGAAGACCTGGATGGTGATCTCGTCTTTCGCCGGCATCACGTAGTACCAGAGGCAAGAGATTAAGTCTTGCCTGTTCTTAAGCTCCATCGTCGCGAGCATTCCCTGGCAGTACCTCCTCCCAGAAGCGTAGAACTTGAAAACGTTCTGCCCTTCCTTCATGAGTAGCGCCGCATCCTCCGCCTCTCCGATCCCCAACAAGCTAAAGTTCTTCTCGAAGATGCTGCCTTTGCCTGCGTACTCACCAGCCCAGGCCAAGGCAATCTTCTCGTTTTCCTTCCTTCCGAGAAAGTACTTCGCCGCGTAAGCCACCAAGAACACCACTGAGAAGGCCTCCATGTAGTAGTTTTGAGGACCGCTGGGAGCTCGGCGATTGCTACTCGGGCTTGGCGAAGTCTTTGCAGGAGCAGCTTCTTCCGGCTCCGGATCTTCACTCGGCAAGCCCTCGAACTCATCCTCGTCCCACTGCTCCTGCTGCCTCCGAGGCTTTTCCACGCTCGCAACAGGCTCTTGGATTCTTTCCTCACGGTCCACTTCCGGCTTCTCGAACGGATGATGAGCTGCCGGAGGCCCGCGGTCGGTCTCGAAGCCGGGACGTCTAACGGCGTGTGGAGGAACCACAATCGGCGCTTCTCCATCAAATTCCTCATCCAGCTCGTCTCCAAAGCCATCGAAATCGGTCGCCCCACTGCCAGGGACTGGAGAAAACGCGGATGTCCGCACCACCTCCTGGCCCAGAATCGCAACGACCGAGATCACAGCCAGACACCACCATAGCTGCTGGTCGAGCCGCAAGGATCTTAGCCTGCTACCACGCGCTCCATTCAGATCCTAGACCGTGAAAGAAACCACTTACCTGGCGCTGGATTTCGTGAAGATCTTGGCTCCGGATCCTCCCCCGGCGATGAGAGCCGCCGCCACAAGCCCCACCGTCATCGCCATCGCTACTAGGGCTTTCTACCGACGTCAGCCCTAAAACTAAAGGTTTTTCGCGCCACTCTATTTTAACATTTTGGGCGAGAGGGAATCGAGGAGCCCCGGAAACGACAATTCTGCCGCGAGTAGAACTTTAGCGCAGACGGCTGTGTTCTTGCGACCATGGCGGTCTGGCGAGGAGGAACGTCGGCAGTGATCCGAGCTCCAATCGACAAGGTATGGGAAGCTACGCGTGACTTTGCTGGAATTCTAGATTGGACGGGGCTAGCGCTCTCGGTCCCGGGCCTGGAGATGACGATCACGAGCGGCGAACCGCCAATTCCAGGCTGCGTGAGGTGCTTCACGGTCGCGCAGCCGGATGGGGGCAAGATCGTCTTGGCTCGCGAGACGCTGCTGGAATTCGACGAGGAGCAGCACAGGTTCAAGTATCGCGTGGACGATCACAAGGTTTTGGACGGCTATGTCGCGACCTTCGCACTGTCCAGGCAGGGGGACGGCGGGGATGCAGCGACGCTGCTGGAATGGACGTACGAGATTCCGGCAGATGAAGCCGATCCATCCAAAGAAGGTGCTGTCGACAAGGAAGCTATGGGATTATACCACCTCTGCATCGAATCCCTCAAGAAGATCCTCGAGTAAGACTGGCAGATACTTTATTTGTCCCAAAGAATAAGTGGTTGGGAAATTAGGCCTTTTCTTCCCATCTAGCCATGAATATTCCTTACTTTATTTTATCTATAAAGAAGGATCGAACCCGAGATTCAGAGACCAAGGTGGGGCAGGGATTTCTCCCGAAAAAGAGAGGAATCTCCGAAATATCGAGAGAAAGCTTACTGAATTCGATGAGAGGATTGGCTAAGCTCGTTTAGTGAGCTGGCGAACCAGAACTAGGGTTACTTAAATTTTTAAGGGCTATGGCAAATTTAAAAAAACCTTTCGCGCCAGAATTCTAGTGCAATCGGGGAGCCCCGCGAGAACAAAACTTGGCGCACGGGAGGAGTGTTTTCCCACGATGGAGATCTGGCGAGGAGGAGCTTCTGCAGTGATCCGAGCTCCAGTCGACAAGGTATGGAATGCCACGCGTGATTTTGCTGGAATTTTAGAATGGGCTCTCTTTCCCCGGCCTGGAGATGACGGGGAATCGCCAAATTCCAGGCTGCGTGAGGCGCTTCACGATTGCGCAGCCGGATGGGAGCAAGATCGTCTATGCTAATGAGAGGCTGTTGGAGTTCGAGGAAGAACAGCAGAGATTCAAGTATCGCGTGGATGATAACAAGCTCTGGCGCGGCTATGTTGGCGCTCTCCAGCCAAGGGGACGGCGGGGATGCGCAGACTCTGGTCGAATGGACGTACGAGATGAAGCCGATCCATCCAAAGAGGCTGCTGTCAACAAGGAAGCCATGAGCGTATACCACCCGTGCATTGAATCCCTCAAGGACCTCTTCGAGTAGATGAAATTGAAAACTAAAGAATACTCGTCGTCGCAAACCAACTTCTTTACGTTGATCTTAACAATAATCAAAGAATCGATTCAACGAAGCTAGCAGCCACGACTATAGCACTTGCTCTCGTGGCCAAATTGGACAAGGCACTTGACTTCTAATCAAGGGATTGTGGGTTCGAGTCCCACCGGGAGTGTTTCTTCTTCGATTTCGATGTTTGGCATCACATTACAAGCGTTGCTTGGCATGTAAATCATGTCGCTTAAGTTTTGCGTCTTCGCTTAAAGATCAACAGCTAAGTGGATCAACACAAAAAGTTTTTGTCAAAGCAACAGCCACAAGACAATTCGCTTTGGTGGCGATGTTGGTGTTTTGGACAATGACAAAGCGGGCATTTGTTTATTCGCCTAAGATTCGTCACTGTAGGCTCTCACTTCGGGCCCCTTTGGGAAATACATTTTCTCCATGGGGCATTGCCGCATTGGAATCTTCATTCCTCGAAAAGATGTTTGTTTTCTGGCCTAAAGTTGTCACTTTGCAGAGATTGACTGCCCAGCCCGGGAACGAAAATTTTCCGGGCAGCATGCCATGATCAATCTACAAGTAGCGCCTAGAAAGCACTTAACAACAACAATAAAGCCTTAGAAAAATAGTGTCGATTGAGTTTCTTATTGAGCGGAAAAAGCTGGCCCTGTCCTCCAATATAATCAGTGTCCCAAGCCAATGCCACTATTCTATGGGATCCAAGTGAGTGGCGTACGGACTGGAAACCTCAGTGATGATCGTCCTTTCGATATGTATATTTCCTCTCGAATCCACAGTACACCACACACAAGCACGGTCTTCCTGATGGATCGACACGACGAGACCCAATTGATACATTCATTCATGGCCAACAAGAAAAACACAAAGAATACGAGCATTCCGCCAAGTTAGCTGCGATCGATCTATCCGAGAGAGAGCGAGCGAGAGCGAGCGAGAGAGGTGGGCAAACACATGCCCTGTTCGTCCAAGCTCCGACCGCGAGGAGCAGGTTCCAACCAAACTCCAGCGGGGGCCGTACGCGAATATGCCATTCCGTACGAAACGTGCGTGCCGTACGGGGGTGCCCACACGGCATATTCCAGATCTGCCGTACTCATGGCCATCCCCACCATTCATGCGCGCGTGTGTGTGTGCGCGCGTTGTGTTTGTGTGTGTTGTTGTGTGTGTCTCCACTTTAAAGTCCCTCTCTTCTTCTACCCTGCTCCCATTCTCGCGACATCCAAACGTTGGACTGCTGATCCATCCGCCCGTGTGTAAAGGGCAGCTACCATCGATCCACCGGGCCGCCGGGCAGGCAAGCATCGACGTAGTACTTATCCTGGGGAGCAATGCGACAACACCACCTCTTTGGCGGCGGCGGCGGCGGCGGCGGCGAGGAGCTGGAAGGGCGCGATTGACCACCGGGGCGCGACAATGGATGGCTGGAGTGATGATCGCGGCGGCAGCGGGCATTCCGTTTAGGTCAGTGGCGAGGCAGCGAAGCAGCGAGGCCACGATTCGATCGCTACCCATCTTTGGGCCGCTGTTGGTTGTCCCCTTTTGTCCCCATCGACGCTTGGGGAAATTCTTCCCTGGCCCCTCGCCCGGGAAGGGCGCCGCCACCTCCCTATTCTTTCTCGGGCTCCTTCCCAACACTCTGGGAGCTCGGCGACGCGCCACTGTGATGCCGCGCTTCGATCGCCAAGCTCGAGATCGGTGAGAGTGAGAGAAGCGAGAGAGAGGGAGGGAGAGAGACGGGGATGATTCTTCCTTCTTCGAGCGAGAGATCACTGCGCTGTCTTCTCTTTTTTCTCGTTCGAGGAATTCGAGCACAGTGGCCGCTTATCACATTCGCCCAGAGCTCCGTACCCAAGTGATGGTTTTCTTGATCCATCCCCCTGATCCTTGATGGGTCGCTTCCAATCCCTCGCAGCCCATCGTTTTCGTCCTCCTCCCTCACAGCTCTTGGCTCTATCGCTCTCAGACCATCGCTAGAAGCAAGCGAGCAAAGCGAACGACCGTCCTTATCTTCTCTTGCTCTCTCTCTCTCTCTCTCTCGCTCTCTCTCTCTCCCCCGCATTTTCCATTGCGACGAGGAAGAATTCTTTTCTATCTTCACCGCCCAGATGTGGAACTGCGAGGGAGGAGGGGGTGGTGGTGGTGGTGGTGGTGGAGCTGGCGGCGCCGCCGGGGGTGGCGGAGCAGGATTCCAATTGCCGGACGTCCAGATGATCCAGCAGCAGCAGCAGCACTTTAATCGGTGGGGTGGGGATTTGGAGCTCGCATCCAGTCCCTACTTCTTGCTCGATGCCGCGGTGTGGGGATCCGATTTGGAGCTGGCCAGCCCCGGTGGATTCGACTCGTGTATCATGGACTCGTCGTGGACGTCTAGTAAAGATCAGCCGCATTGTTGTGCCGCTCCAGCCGCTCAAGGTACGCAAAGAATTCTTGTCGAGTCTCTGTTCGAATTCTTCTTGTTTTTTCTTCGTTTTGCTCGTAAGTTTGCGTTGCGTGCGTGTGCGATTTCTCTCTCTTTTGATCTCGTTTGTTTGTCTCGAACTTGCAAGAGTCGTCATGGAACTTGGAAAACAATTAGTTTGTCAATTGGTTCTAGAGCTTTAGATCTTTGGGTTTCTCTTTTGTTTTCCAAGCGTTGCCTGTGGACCGATTTCATGGAACTTGTGAAAAACACTCGTTTTGGTGCATGTTGTTTTGTGTTTGTGACCTTGTATTTCCTCGCTTTGCCGATCGACTTGTAGATTTCCAATGTGGTCCATCTTCTTTTGTAGGCCTAGAGACCATTCCAAGCCCCACGTCCAGTGCGGTGTCAATCAGGAACTTAAGCCACCATAGCTCGCAGCAGCAAAACTTAGTTCCTAGGCAGCAACAACAAAATCTTCATCACCAACATCACCACCATCAAGAACAACATGACCATCACCAAGATCATCAACAACAATATCACCTACCAGAGCAGCAGCAGCAGCAATCCTCTTTTCAGGCAAATAACTTATCCGATCACCACCTGGACGTCTCGTCCTCGTCAAGCGTGAGCAGCTTGTTCAACCGGGCTAGCATCTCCGGCGCCGACTCTGACGCAAACCATCACCACCACCACCACCATAACCATCACAGTCACAGTCACAGTCACCCTCACCACCACCACCACCACCACCACCACCACCGCCAGCAAGAACAACAGCCCCAGCAGCAGCAGCAAAGATCCAACTGCGGTGACGAGAGCGTCGGGAGTCCCTCGGGAGGCTCGATTGGATTCAACCGAAACGAAGGTGGTGGCGACGGTGGCGATGGTAACGCCAATGCAGGTGCTATAGTCACCGTTTGCGACGGCGCAAACGACCTGGTTGATGTGAGCAACAAGGTGACGTGCAGTGGCTTCCGCGGCCCAACCGAGAGGATGATGGACATAAGCCTCGAAGATCTCTCCCGCTACTTCACCATGCCGATCACTCAGGCGTCCAAGGAGCTCAAAGTCGGCCTCACCGTGCTCAAGAAGCGGTGCCGCGAGTTTGGGATCCCCCGGTGGCCTCACCGCAAGCTCAAGAGCCTCGAGAGCTTGATACACAAGAGCCAGGTTAGTGTTCTTTCCTTGTTCCTGGTCGAAAGTTCTTCCGTGAACTTCTGGCTTTACTTGCCAGGAGTTAGCCAAGGATTCGGATGGAAACGCTCCAAACCCGGTGATCCACGCGGTTCACGAGCTGGAGAAGCAGAAGAAGAAGATGGAGGAGAGCCCGGGGATGGAGCTGGACGATCGAACCAAGCGGTTCCGCCAGGCAATCTTCAAAGCCAGCTACAAGCAGCGGCGGCGAGCGGTAGCTCCCTGTAGAAACGGTGGCAGCGGCGGTGGAAACTCTGATTCTTCCCACAACGATGGATCCACCGAGCAGCAAGAGCAGCAGCAGTGAAAAAATTCAGGGGCTCCCTTTAGTCCAAAGGCGACCATTTTGTGACCATTTTTTCTCTTGTTTTTCCTCCCCTTCAAGCTAACAGCAGCAAAGCTTTGGAATTTCGCAAGGAAGAGAGATCAAACCACGCAGTCGATCATAGAGAAGAATTTTTGTTCGCCTCTAATTTTTAACCAAACGAGAGAGAGAGAGAGAGAGAGAGATAGAAGTACCTTTTTCATTCAAGTTGGCTGTGGCGGGAACACCCACGTCTATAAGGAAGTGTGCCCTAATTCGTTGTAAGAGGAAAGGGTTTTCGGTTTTTTCTTGCGCGATCGATCAATCCGTGGCTAGCTATGAGATCGGCGAAGAGGAAGATCGTGGAGCATGAGCATGAGTATGAGCGGCAGCAGCAGCAGAATGGAAAGGTGGGTGAGGATCGTCATGAAAAGGATCTGGTGAGGAGCACCAAGCGGAAGAAGGCCTATCCCCAGCTCCGGCACTGCCTGGTCGAGGAGAGCTTGTTCCAAGACCTCGATCACAGCGAGGATGATGATCGGAGCTCCGGCGACGACGTCCAGCAGGCCGGGGGATGCAATGGGTTGTATGCGCTGAGGGCAAATCCTAAGAAGAACCTCAAGTTTGCGGAGGAGCAGATCAAGAAGAAGAAGCTGATCAGCAAGGGCAAGGATCACGCGTGCCCGGAGTGTGGCAAGGAGTTCGTATCGATCAAAGGGCTGTCGGGACACATGCGATGCCATCCGGAGTCGCGGATCGCGAGGGCCGCCGCCGCTATCGCTCCGCCCAGCCCCGCGAAGATCAAAATCAAGGAGGTGATCGAGGAGCCCGACTACGAGAGCGACACGAGCCTGGAGCAAGTCTATCTCCGGCACTGGGCCAGGGAGGAGGAGGAAAAGAAGAAAAAGATGGGAGCTTTGATGGTCGAGGAGGTGGCCATGGAGGAAAAGGGGGAGGAGAATTCTTCCAAGGTTGTGATCCATGACGATCCATTGCCGCAGTGGCAGCCATTGAAGATTAGGATCAAGTGCTCCTCCCGGGCCCTTGATCCGACTGGCGGCGGCGGCGGCGGCAATGTGGCGGAGGGATCTCGTAAAGGGGATGGTTGCCGTCTTGGAGGAAAAGATCAATCGACTGGGGGAGCGGCGGTTGTCGAGTGCTCTCGGTGTAAACTCGCATTTGAATCGAGCACGGCGCTGGCTGCCCACCACTGCGTGAGGAAGATGTCGCGCAAGAGCAAGATCATCAGCACCAAGATCGAGGACGCCTTGCCCAGCAACGGCGATCCAGGCGTGGTCAACGTGCCCGTTGACATTATTGCTGACCGTGTTGACGAGGAGGACGAGGTGGTGTGCGTTGACAAGGGTTTGACTGGAGGTTTTAAGTGCCTGAACTGCCACCGGGTTTTTGCGACCGGAAAGGCTCTCGGGGGTCACAAGCACAGCCCTTGCGGTCGAAAATGCTTTGTGTAACTTTAATTTCTGTAAAACCTCTTGCCAACCTTTTAGGGTTCTTCAACTTCTACTCATAATAATATTTAAATTCGCCTAAATATAAAACACTTTAAGACTAGCTTCAACAAAAATAAGATTATTTCTTAAACATTTTCTATCTTCTTACATGACCAATTTACCTATAACCTCCATTATGAATTCTAGAAGTGCCATGAAAGGCTCCCCAGACCACTGAATCAGGCACGTAGGGCATTTTTTCTATCAGATCCTCCGCATTCTCAAGCTGGCCGCATCGTCCCAACATTCCAACTAAGGAAGAGTAGTGTTGCCTCCATGGATCCATACCATAATCTATTAGCATCGATTGAAAATACTGGCATGCTTCATCCATCAATCCCAAATGATCACAGGAAGCAAGAACACTTGTGAAAGTTAACTTGTCCGGAAGTAACCCTTGGCATAGCATCTCGTGGAAGAACGTGATAGCCATCCCGCCTTGGCCAAACTTGGCACACAGTGCCACCATTGAGTTCCAAGCCTCGGCCTCTGGCATTGGAATCCTCCAAAAGATCTGGGTGGCGCTCTCAAATCGCATGCTATGTGCAAACGCTACCGCCATTGTGTTCCATGACACCAAATCGTGGTCAGGCATGGAATCAAACAACGCCTTTGCACCAACCAGGTCGAAGTTTTGGGCGTGGCCGAGGAGCATCCGGTTCCATGATGCCATGCTCCGCTCGGGGATGATTTCAAACAGTCCATTGGCCTCGTCCAAGTGGCCGGTCTGTCCGTAAAGAGAAAGCATCGCGTTCCATGACACAACATTGTGTCTTGGCATTCTATCAAACAAGATCTTTGCTTGCTCGCATTCAAAACATTCCAGGTATCCCATTACCATAGTATTCCAGCACACGAGGTCCTTCTCAGCTAGTCGTGCAAAAAGATTCTCAGCCTTCCGGACATGCCCTTCTTGGGCATATGCCTGGATAGCGGCGGTGTAGGATACCATATCCAACTCCGGCATTTTATGGAGGCAGGATATGGCTCCATCTATGTTGCGCCACCGCGTATATCCGTGAAGCATGGTTGTCCATGTTACCAGGTCCCTCTCGGGCATACGCTGCATGACCATAGAAGTAGCAAGCATATCGCCAGTTTGAGCGTACGCAAAGACCAAAAGATTCCATATTACAACATTCCACTCGGGCATGCTATCAAACAAGCTTTGAGCTAAATGTACAGTTTCACTGGTGTTGTAAATACTAATTATCGTTGCCCACGAAATTATGTTACGATAAGGCATTTGGTCAAAAAGGCTCCTTGCAAGCACGAAATGCCCGCTATTGGCATATGCTTGAACGAGGCAAGTCCAGGCAACAATGTCGCGTTCATGTGCGCGATCAAATGCGGCTTTAGCGTGGTGAAGATGGCCCTCTCTTGCTAGCGCTCTTATAATGAGTGTGGAAGTGATTTGGTCATGCAGTGGCATCTTGTAGTCGAAGATTTCCTTGGCACTGGAGATATCTCCGTTATCAAGAAACGCAGCAATGGCAATGTTGTAAGAGATGAGGTTCGGCTGCTGGATGCCATGAAAGACGGCACTCGCGTCGGCAATGCAGCCACACTTGCCATACATTCTCACGAGCAGATTTGCAAGGTAGCGGTCATTGCTGTGTGTAGGGCTGTTGGAGATGAGCGCGTGGACTTTCTGGCCACTCTTGAGATCCCTGGAAGTGGTGCAGCTTGTCAGCTTGCTAGCAAGCTCATCAGCGGTGGCCAAGCTCTCCATGCAATCTCTATCTAGGCACTATTATTATTCTCATGACCTTTGTCCAAAGTTTGTACAGCCAAATAGCAACAACGAAAGATGAGCTCGTGGACCTTCTGGGCGGTGCAGCTTGCCAGCTTGCTAGCAAGCATCCATGCAGGAATATTTTCTAGGTAGCAAATAAATATAATAATAGTAAATAATACTAAATAATATTATAATATTAAATATTTCCACATATAAATTTTGATTTTGGAAGGATCAGATATAGGAAAGACTTTAGTTTTCTTTTCTATGATTCTATTCATGATGCACTGGCCATGCAGCCATACACAAGCAATAAACATAGTAACAATGATAGTTTTGTTATAATAGTTAAATATATTTTTATATATAAATTTTATATAGAAGCTTTCCGTAATCTTTACAGTAAGCATGAATCACATGGCTGATGGCGACAGAACAAACGTAGAAATTGTGAAAGATTCACAGATACTGAAGTTAACTGTATAGAGGGAGGCCGTGATATATATCTACATACCCAGGCCCAGTCCACCACAACTAAGTATCACTGATCATGGCCAAGTACTCCAAAGGCACTCCTGGCAAGCGCAAATGCGTGCTCAGCCTGGATGGAGGGGGAATTCGCGGCCTCATTCCAGCCCAGATCCTCGAGTATCTGGAGCAGTGCTTGCAGGTAATCCTCGAGAAAACATAAACAAGATCCATGTAACATCGTGATCCTTGCAGGAGATGGATGGCCCGGATGTGCGTCTCGCAGACTACTTCGATGTGATCGCGGGCACGAGCACCGGCGGATTGATAACCATCTGCCTCACGGCCCCGGGCGAGAACAACAGGCCGCTCTTCACTGCCAAGGAGGTGACGGACTTTTACATGAACAAGGGCAAGTTTGTCTTCCCACAGGGCTAGTAAGTTGTTCTTGCTTATGCGCGACCAAGATCAAGAGATTCAACCGTGCTTTTCTTCTCCAGCATATCGAAAGGGATCACCGGCTTGTTTGGGCCAAAGTACTCGGGTCACGAGCTGGAGAAGCTCCTCCACGGCTACCTCAAAGACCTCCGGCTCCAGGACACACTCACAAACGTGATCATCCCGACCTTTGACACTAAGCTACAGCAGCCAGTCTTCTTCTCGTCCGTCGAGGTAAAGATCTTCCAAAGATGGGAAAGAATGAGAAAGAAGGAGAAAGGAGTGATGCCGAGGACATACTGATCGAGTTGAGTTGTGTGACACAGGCGAAATCCAAGAATGCTCACAATGCGTACCTCCGCGACATTGCCCGGGGGACCTCTGCGGCTCCGACTTACTTCCCTCCAAAGTTTTTCAACACCGGCAGTGACTCCGAGTTCCACCTCGTCGATGGCGGCCTCGTCGCCAACAATCCCTCGTTTCTGGCCATCACCGAGGCGTTTCGGATCCACGAGGATGCTAATTCCCTCTTCAGCGTAAACAGTCTTTCCATTCTCCTATAGTCCTCTCTCTTGATCTCGCAGCTCTTGATCTTCAGCTCGAAGTCCTTTAGCTTGACTCCCTTGTCCAAGTTTCTCCCTCTCTCGATCTGTGTCTTCTCAAACTTTCTCCCTCGAGTTGACTGTCCTGTCCACGTTTCTTAGCTCGAATTCTAACTTGTTGGATGATCCTGCTTTGCTCCAGAACTTCGAAAACCTGCTCGTCTTGTCGCTCGGCTGCGGCACGCAGAGTTTCAGCTACGAGGCCAAGGAGCTGTCCAACTGGGGAGCGCTGCGCTGGGTGATCAACAGCAACCGGACGCCGCTCATCGACATGCTGATGAACGCGAGCTCGGACATGGTGGACCACAGCCTGTGCGTGCTCTTCCGCTCCGGCCTGTGCGAGGAGAACTTCCTGAGGATCCAGATCTCCCCTCTCGACGATGGCCTCGCCAAGATGGACGACGTCAGCCCCAACAATCTGAAAGCTCTCGTCAAGCGAGGCAAGGACCTCCTCGACGAGCCCCTCCGCCGCGTCGACTTCGATAACGGGAAGCTCCTGCCCATTCCCGACGCCTCAACCACCAACAAGGAGGCCGTCCAGAGGTGAGAAGCCATGGTCTTGTTGCATCCCGAGCTAAGGTTTCCTGTTCTCTTGTTCCGTAGCTTTGCACGATGGCTGTCGGAGGAGCGTCGTGCACGTCTCGCTCAAGCATGACAGATTCCTCTTCGCTGCTGACGCTTGGGACGATTAACGTATGTGCCTCATGTAGTTGATGTCTCGCTCTCATCCTCCGGAATAATAAAATGGTAGTTTTGGGGTTTCCAACTTTGTCCCTCTGGTTCTGGCCCATCCAGAGCATAGCGTTGACGAAACCAGATAAGCACCAGGGCTGTGGGAATCCACCTCCAGCACGCCGCGAGCAGCGCTCTTGGCCTGCTCCAGATCCCCATGCGTTTTGCACGCGCCGAGCAGCGTCATCCACGGCACGAAGTCGGGCTCGAGCGGCATGCTGTCAACCAGCTCTTTGGCCTCGCCAACTCTGCCGCTTCTTGCCAGGAGATCCACCAGGCACGAGTAGTGCTCGGCCGCGGGGCAAGTCCCAAAGTCTCCCTGCATCGCCATGAAAAAGCCTCGAGCAGCGTCCACTCCCGACTGGCTATAGGAGACGAGCATGCTCGTGAGAGTGGAGCCTTTCGCGTCGATCCCGTCCAGAGCCATTCCCTGGAACAGCAGCTTCGCCTCGCAGCCGTGCCGAGCGAAAGCACTGATCATCGCCGTCCAGGATACCGAGTCTCGGCTCTTCATCGCCCCGAAGATCCGTCTCGACTCTTCCAAGTTGCCGGACTTCGCGTACATGCACACGAGTGCCGTCCCCAGAGCTCCATCGGCCTCGAAACCGGCGTGAAGAATCTCGGTGTGCACTTCCGTTGCTAAGTTCGAGGAGCAGGCACTTAGAACGCTGATGAAGGCCACCTCGTCGGGTTTGATGCCTTGCTGGTCCATCTCAGCGTAGATCGTCATTGCTCTCCCTTCACAGCCGTTCTGAGAATAGGCCCCGATCATCGCCGAGTAGCTGAACACGTCCTTCACTGGCATTTGCTCGAAGATCCTCTCGGCCTCTTCCAGGCTCCCGACTTCTCCGTAGAATCCAACCAGCGTTGTGGCCAGAACCTCGTCCAGCTTAATCCCGGCAACCTGAATCCTTCCGTGGAGAGACTTTCCTGTTACCAAGTCCTTCAATGCGGTGCATGCCATAAGTGCTACGGCAAAACTCGTATCTGTTGGCTCGACTCCTTCCAAATCCATCTTACGGAAGAGTCCGACTGCTTCGGCCTCGTGAGAATTGTTAAAGAGTGCGGTTATCATCGCGTTCCACACCACCGCGTTGGAGCTGGAACGGGTGCTAAAACTCTGGAACACGGCCCTCGCTTCCTCCAGGCACTTGCAAGTCCCATAGAGGCTTATAAGCGCGCTACCAACAACTTCGTCTTGCTGGTAGCCAAGTCTCTCGATATCGTCTTGAATCCTTCTGCCTTGCTCTAGCAGATTCGAGGCCGAGCACACAGCCAGGATCGTCACGAACGTGATTGTATCGACGTCGTCTTTGAGCTCCTCAACCATCTGCCTGTAGAGATTCAAGGCGTCGTCGGGATGCCCGTTTTGGGCATATGCAGCTAGCATGGCATTGTAAGCCAGTCGGTCCCTGCTAGAGATACTTTCAAACACCTCCTTGGCGTCCTCCAAACAGTGGCACTTCCCATGGAGTCCCACAAGAGACGTTTTGAGGGCAGCATCGACATCAAAGTCACTCGAGCAGACTCTAGCGTAGATTTCTTTCCCCGTCGAAAGATCTCCCAGCCCCGAGCAAGCACCGAGAACCGCTGCGTAAGTCACCCTGTCCGGCCTCACTCTCTTCTCGAGCTCCATTCTCCTGTAAAGCTCCAGCGCTAGTCTCTCACGCCCGTTTTGCGCATAAGCCGTGATCATCGCAGTCCACGATACGACATCCTTGTTTGCCATCGCTTCGAAAACACGGAGCGATTCCTCCAAGTTCTCCAGCTTCCCGTACATGGATATCAGCGCATTCTCCAAACGAGTTCCACCACCATCACCACCGCGAGTGACGCGCAGATGGATGCTTCTACCGAGAGAGAGGCTTCCCAGCTGCGTAGCCACCTCGATGACCAAGAGAAAAGTTACCGGGTTGAGCTTGGTCCCGTCCAAGTCCATCTCGCGGAGCGCTCGCAATGCCCCGCAAGGATGCCCATTCCGGGCATACGACGTGACGAGAGCGTTCCACGATACCACATTCTTCACGGGCATGGAGTCAAATCTCTGCCTCGCGTCTTCGATCGAGCGGCACCTCCCATACATGCCCACCACCGCCGTGCCAACCACGACGTCGTCCCTCCACTCCGAGCCGGCGATGCTAGAATCCACTGTTCTTCCCAGATCCAGATCCCCGAGAGCCGAGCACGCCTCTAGAACTCCGAGAAAGGTGACAGAGTTGCGATCGCCGCTGCCCATTCTCGCGTAAAGATCCACAGCTAGTCGAGGCTGGCCGTTGTGAGTGAATGCCCCGATCATCGTGTTCCAAGTCACTGGATCCTTGCGCTCTAGGCCGTGGAAGAGCCGCTCGGCCTCGGCGAGGCTGTGGCACTTGCCATACATCGCAATGAGCGAATTCGCTACCAAGGTCTCCCTGTCCAGCCTCCGAGCGATCGCCGCGGCGTGGAGCTGGCGCCCCCGCGCGAGATTGCCAGAGCTAGCGCAAGCGCTGATGGCACTCACCAGCGTCGTCCTGTGGGGAAGGATCCGCCGCTCCTCCATCCGATCCAAGAGCTCCAGCGCCTCGGCGCCACGGCCGTTCTGCGCGTACACCGTGAGGAGGATGCTCCAGGAGAACTCGTTCCTGCGCGGCATTCGATCGAACACCGATCGCGCCTCGTCGACGCTGCCGCATCGGCCATACATCTGGATGAGGAGATTGCACAGGAAACAATCCCCGTTCTGGCCGCTCTTGACGATCGCCCCGTCAATGCGCCTTCCCTCGGCGATATTTCGCGACAGGGAGCACCACCGGATCGCGGCGGCATGATCGCTAGACAATGAGATCATCCAAGAACCCTAATCTACATACGCAGTGAGGCAGAACACGTGGATGATGACATGGACAGAGATGACTCGGCAGGAAGATCCGACGTGGCGGGGAGGAGACCGTTTGTTACAGAGGATCGGGCGGTGATAAAGGGCGTGGCGGGAGCTAAGGATTGGCTTGGGAGTGGCGCGACGAGCACAGTAAGGGCTTTGACCTGGTGTGGACTCCAGCTTACGCCCATTTTAGACTTTACCACGTCATTAAACCTTTACACGTGGCTGACCTTTTACCACGTCATCGTACAGCTCAACTCTTTCCCTGAAATTTCGGAGGGAGAAGGAAGGTTTTGGCGCTGCTTGAAATTTAGGTCTAGATGGCGGTGAGCGATGAAAATGCTGCCGAGCCCGACGGTCTCCAGCGATCGCGGCAAGGGCAAGAAGGAGGAGAAGAAGGAGCGGCTATGGCAGATCAACGATCGGCTCGCGGACAAGCACGGCTACTGCCACAATGTCTACTGGGTCCATGGCGATGTGTATCGCGGCTGCTGGGACAAGAACAAGCGCGATGGTGAGTCCCCAGATTCTAGCTTCCGGATCGTCTAAATCTCTGCGCGTTCGTTTCCTCCAGGCGCTGGAATCCACAACTACAAGACTGGGATAAGGTATGAGGGCGATTGGAAGAATGGAAAGAGGGATGGCTATGGCACTTTGTATCTCGCCGACGAGGAGGTGGACAAGTACCGTGTGGTTTACAAGGGGCATTACAAGGAAGGCAAGAAACACGTAAGTTCTTCGCTCCTCGATTCTTGGAGGAATGGATTCTTTGCTTACGATTTTTTCTTTGTTTTGCTCAGGGCCCCGGATTGGTACATGGTGCCTTTGGAGAAACTTACGATGGAAACTTTGCGTATGGTTTGCGCAACGGTGTAGGCAAGCAGTTCTATCGGTGCCAGTTAACGAATGGATTCCACGTCTACCATGGACAATGGGTGAATGACAAGAGAGAAGGCGTGGGTCTACTCAAAATGGGTATCGACGAGCTTGCAAGCTGTGGCTTCTGAAAACTTGGGTTCTTTCTTCTTGCAGTGAATGGCGATCTGTACAAAGGCTCATTCGTGAACGACATGAAGGAAGGCAAAGGCATTTACTACTATGGCGACAAGTGCTCCAAGTACGAAGGCCTATGGAAAAAGGACGTAGCCATCTGCGGGACGTATTCCAACACCAGCGAGCAGGACAAGCACATCCCGTATCTGGAGATCGAAAACGCCTGCAGCTTTGCACCCGAGCTCATCACGCAGCATCTAGCGGGCGAGGAAGTGAGAACTCACAGCTTTAGCAGCCTGGGCCACGCCGACAGGATGAAGCTCACACCCAGGCAGATCTCGTCCATTTGAGGGAGATGATTTCTCGGGCGATCGCCCAAGTTCTATAACAGTTCCAGGCATCGCTGGAAGCACGAAACATATCTCTCGAGAGTTTCCTGTGTATCCATTCGAAAAGAAAGATGTCAGTAACAAAGCTTTTTTCAAACAAGAGGCACTCTCTCACCTTGAGCTGAATGACTACTCCTGTGCAAAGCGGAACCAATGCGAAAGCTATCCGTGTTGACTGCCTGCCTCGCATCCAACAATCAATCCAAACCGAGATACAGACCAGTACCTGAGCTTGAGTAAAACCTTGGTTAGTGGAAAATTCAAGGCTGCGAGTCAGCGAGTCAGTGTGCCTAAAAGAAAAAAAACACGCCGTCTCGTGTAAGGCTGGCGCATTGTTTCCGTTGCCTGTACACGGACTTACAAATTCCACCGAAGTCGAAATTTGAAGAAAAGACATACCTTTTATAATACATCCTAAAGAGAGACCAATTGGAACTCTTCAGGTAGTGGAAAGACTGCGCTCGGCATTGGAATCACTGTCACGTATGGCTGGGGACAGGATCTTTGTACTTGCTGGATGCGTCTCTGGGAGGTGAAGTTCACCGGAAACAGCTCTTGATGGCATTTCATGAGCCGGTTGGTGACACAAACTTTGTCCAGGTATTGCATGTTCTTCACGAACTCTTGCGTCAACGGCAGTGTGTCCAATCTACAAATACAGTAAAGTAGGTAGCGAGGTGAAATGCGAAGTTAATATGTCGACTATACCTTTGTAAAACTCTCTCCAGGTACTTGATCCTATCTTTGAATCCCTCGGCTATTAACTCGGAGGTTGCAGCTATCGTGTTAGTTTTCGCTTGAGGTCCATCCTCATTCGCGGTGATCCTGCCAACTGGTGTGTAAGGGGAGACAAGGAAACGCCAAAAACATTACCTGCAAGCTTCTCCCAAGGACAGACGTGCAAGGACGTACATTGCACATTCCCGATCCTCAACAGAACTACTTTGCATCAATGCGGCTGGTACAGGAGGTAAGCTATTCTGCATCAGCTGAGTTGTTAGTTTTAGTCTTTGTTTGGCACGGGCCACGAAGTGAAAGCTTTCATCTTGGGCATAATACTCTTCGTCAATGTCCTGTTTACCACAAGAAAGCAATTAACAAACGGAACCATAGTATCGGACAAACCTTTTCTGGAAGCCGATTAGTATCAGTTGCCCATTGAAGCTCAGCAGGTCTGATGAGACAGAAAGTCAGGAATCGGAAACGATTAAATAAAGAAATACCTGATCGTAGGAAGGGCGCCCGTCAACTGAGAAATAGCTGTCCGCCATGGAATCAAAGGTGGAACTTCAACCTTTCTCTTTTTGGGAAGAACGGAACTCGCAAAAGTGGAGTTCAAGAGCAGCTGTTGTTTCATGGCTTGTCCAACGTTACCTTGAGCATTGGAATCACTGCTGCTTTTACCGGGTCCTATAGTAGAAGTTCCAGCTTGCTCGGATCCCTGTGGTACGAGACCACCCTTGGCCAAAGCATACGCTTGCAAAGCCGCTTGTACACGTTGTTGGTGTAGAGAAACCTGAGGAGCTTTCTGAGGAGGTTGCAAGTCATTGGGAACTTGAAGGAGCTGTTGAGATGCGACCAGCTTTTCATGTCCAAAACTCGACTGCGCGCTTTGCTGATTTGCCAACTCAGGTAAAGGTTGTTCGTCTGCTGCAGATTGCAAGTCCTGCGTTAGCTGCGGCTCTGATTTGCCTGGTTGAACGGAAGTTGCAGCGTTCTGGGACCTTTGCTGCGACTCTACCGGTTGCACGTCTTTAGGAACTTGCATCTGCGACCTTTGCTGCGACTCTACCGGATGCACGTCTTTAGGAACTTGTAGCTGGAGTTTCGAGTGTGCCATTGTCGTAAAGCTTGAAGCAGCCGTGCTCACGCTAAGCATTTGCCCGCCATGCTGATTCGCCACCACTTGCTCGTCAGCTGTACTTTTGAAGTCTGGTTTGCTTGAAGCTGAAACGTTTTGCGACTTTTGCATATCCACTGGCTGCATGTCTTTGGGCACCTGAAGAAGCTGCTGAGGTGTAGCTGGCTTGGAATGCCCCAATGTCGTAAAGTTCGAAGCTGGCAACGCAGCCCCACCGCCTTGCTGATTCGCTTCCTCGGTTATCTGCTTTAGTTGAGGCTCTGGGGGTTTAGTCGACTGAACTGGTGGGGCTTGCGAGGCAGCAGGAGAAACACGGTTTTGATGCTGCAGCTGAACCACGTCGTAGATCGAATCAGATTCTACAGGCTTGTGTTGAGCATGTCCAAACATACTGGTTGTCTGCCAGGAATAATCCCGGGAGATCCGGTGAATGTCGCTGCCAAGCCTTTTCGAACTGGACTGCAACACTTGCCTTTCTTGCTGCGACGGAGTTTGCAAAGGCAAAGGTGAGCTTATCAGTCCAGCCCCCGTTGGTTTGCTCTGTGCAGAACTTTCAAAAACTTTAGCCGCCAACACCTCGTCCTTGTCTTTGCTCTGAAATATGTTTGAGTTGTCTGACGTTTGGGCACTGGCAGGCCGAATGTTGTCTGCCAAAGCTGGCGAACGCAGCTCAGCCTTTGGAAAAAACTGTCGTGTTGCGAAGGCTGGTTTCGAGACGGGATTCTTGAAAGGAGCAGCAGGTCTGTTGACGCCAAGTTCTCCGGTAGGAACTGTTGTATCTTTCAACCAAGGCCCACCTTCAGAAGAATTCTGAGAGAACCGAACCTGAGCACCTCCCGACGACGGCCTGTGGTTACTATCTTGCATTCCAAGAGAAAAGGCCGGCCGGAATGCTTCTTGGGTGTCAGCTTTCGGCATGCCTCGTCCAAAGAAAGATGAGCCACCATCTCCCGATGACGGCCTGTGGTTACTATCTTGCATACCAGTAGGAAAGTTCTGCCGGAATGCTTCTTGACTCTCCGCTTTCTGCATGCCTCGTCCTAAAAACTGTGTACCACCATCCGCCGATGACGGCCTGTGGCTACTGTCTTGCATACCAAGAGAAAAGGCCGGCCGGAATGCTTCTTGATTATCAGCTTTCTGCATGCCTCGTCCGAAGAAAGGCGTACCACCATCTCCAAACAGCTCAGCCTCGCAACCATTGATAAGAGATGCCCCCAAGCTACCGAAACCAGGAATCGCAGACTTGCTCTCTTGGACCGAATCGTCAGCAAAAAGCTTCTCGACTCCTCCAAACAGATCGTTCATATCGATAGCTTCACTCTCCGACTGGGCACCATTGAACGCCTCCATATGCTTTCCAACGAGGCGCTGCTGATTCATGTCGTTCGGAAATCCGTAGAGTGGTGCCGGCTGAATGGAAGCGTTCCTAATAGGATAACTGTCTACCTGAGGCGTTCCCATATGAGCTCTAGCTAGCTGCTGGATTCCTAAACCATGCCCCTGTCCCTGGCCTAAGAGAAGCTCCTGGTGCCTCAGCTTTTCCATTTGCATAGCTTGGAAGGACTGGTCGTAAAAAGCTTGCTGCTGCTGCTGCTGCTGTTGGTGATGCTGTAAAACAGGATCAAAGAACTGTTGATGCTGCTGCTGCTGCTGGAGAACAGGATCAAAGAACTGCTGCTGCTGTTGTTGTTGATGAAACTGTCCCCTATTTTGCAACCTGGGATCGAAAAAATCCCCATTGGGGATCTTGTGAGGTAATGCAGCTCCAGCATATGAGAAATGCTGGTGGCCCATCATCTGCGTCCTTGCATCGACAAACTGATTCCGAAAAATTCCCTGATCACCACGGTATGGCCTAGCAGGTGAAGCATCCTCCTGCACAAAGTAGTTCTGAACCTCTTCAGACATACCATTTTGAAACATGGAGAAACCGCTTGTCACCAAATGTTTTCGTTTATCTGAATGAAAAAAAAGGGAAAACCAGTTACAGGTGAAGGATAAAAGAAGAGAAAACATGGAAATTAATGAATAAGCTTACCAGAAGAAGTATCGTGAGAAGAGCTAGTTTTTCCTCCTCAGGCATTGACCGAGATGGGATGAGACGCTAGCTCTCTCCTTCCAGAATCTACAAAAACCCTATCCAGGGTTTTTGACGCGCGACGGCATCGTCTCGAACGAAATGCACGGCCTCCGAGGTTTCCATTGCCGACAATCCACAGCCTAGAGCGACGACGCCAGCGATAGATCTTGCTACTGCTGCTCCCGGGCCCTCCGGAGCTACCGCCCTAGCTCCCCGCACAGGCGCGCGGCGAAAAACCCTAGCTTACCCCTATGGAAGCGTTCCGCTAGCATTCTCGCCGACGCCGCATCCCCTGATCTGTGGTGCTGCTAGCTGCCGCCGCCTCCATCTAATCCAGCAGCTCGAGCAGCCAGCGCCAAGCGCCAAGCATCCCGCCCAAAGAGAAATTAGGGATTTGAGGGCCAATGAGTGACGCGTAGAGTGTTGCGTCGTGAGTGTGTGTGTGTGGTGTTGTGGGCGACGAGAAGGATGCTTACACACACACACACAATGGCTTTAGCAGCACTGGCACATTTTAGCGTCGCCGCTGTATCTAGCAAAGGGGTTGGCGGATTCCGGAACGGAATGAGCTGGCCATTCGGCCTTCCGGTTTGGAATAGCCAGCCGGCGCCTGGCGCCAAGGGCGTTGCGTTTTTCAAATGGTTGACTCCCTTCACGCGATCCTGTCCGTTGAGCTGCTCGCTAGGGTTTTGGGGGATTTTTGAGCAGGGAAAATGGCGCGCTGCGAGGCCGGCGCCTGGGAGTCGCAATGGAGGCCTCGATGCGCAACATTTTCGAGGCGGCCGGGTACATCGCGCTGGAAATCAGTGAAATCGTGGTGCCTGGTAACGATAATCTCTGTTGTCTTGTAGATTTCGATCGTATTCCGTCCGCTAGAGAGCGTGATGCTCAACTTCTCGTCCCTGTGAAGAAGAGGAAGAGAGGCCAATGTTCTGGCAGTGGTAGCACCAGCAGCGGCAGCGATGGAAGCTGTATTACGAGTGATACAGCCCAAAATGCCAACAAGGTCATCGATTTCTTGATGCTAATGCTGGAAATTCTCTAATGCTTTGTTTATCAGAGGCTCCGTCTGGACCATGTGGAGGCATTGCTTCATCTAGAAGCGAAGCAGACGCTTCTATGGGGATATTTGGATGATACATGTTGCTTGGACTCCGTAGCGAGAGGATCTATCGTCGTAAAGTTCTTCCAGGTACTTTAATGTAATTTCTAAAACTTTTTCTTTCTACTCATCTAGCTCCATTCAGTGCATGGCAGTACACAACGAGACAGTTTTTCTCGCAACGACGTTTTTGGATATGCTTTTACTGGCTATGAAGAATTGCATCGCGAAGAGCGTACTTGGGATATTTGCCGTTGCGTGCATGGCCGTGGCCATGAAATATGAAGAGAACAAGGCGAAGTTCTCGTGAGTAATCCTGTGACTTGACTCGGTGTTTAATGTTTTGGTTAAATCAGGCCTGTTCTTCAGCTCAGCGAGCTCTTTCGCTATAAGATCCATGACGTTCTTACTGCCGAACGCGTTTTACTGGAGGCGATTTGCTACAAGTGTGAAGTGCCAACTGCAATGATCTTTCTAAGGTTTGGTTTTTGGAGTCAATTCTCTTTTATGCAATGTACTCCGCTGTGAAGGTATTATCTTGAAGGCGTCAACGCGAGCACCAAAATCGCTAGAACTGCAGAGTTCCTGGCGTGTCTCTCACTCACCGAATACGAAATGCTCAGATTTAGGCCTGCAGCATTAGCCGTGTCCTCGATCACCCTGGCCTTTCGCTTAGAGGGAATAGATGCTAATGTGAGGGAGCTCTTAAAGGTATGTATCAACGGTATTTGGTTCGTGTTTCTCATATGCCTGCGTTTACAGAGGAATACAGGCGTCCAATTCATCGCAAGAGCCTCGGAATGCTGTATCCAGGTAGTCTTGTTGCCAGCAATCTTGTTGCCTCTTCTTTGACACTTGCGATATGCAGGAACTCCTTAAGCTTTACAGATTTGTCCTCGTTGACAGTCCGAAGGCCTGCCATCTTGTGAGGATGTTGAAAACGAGATGCAATATCCAGTGGAATCTCAAGCATCACTGAGCTAGAAGGTTCAGTTTTTCCTTTCCAGTAAATGTACAGGTCGTCCTAGGCTAACATCTCCATGCCATCCTTGGTTTGGACTCGGCAAAGAGGCCCTTCCAATTGGTTATCCTCTGAATCTTGTCCGGTCCGAGTTTCTCAGCAGCCTTGGACAACAACTCAGCTCCGCAGGGCTTCTGGTTTCTTGAAGGCTCGCCGCAAAGAGGTGTAGTTGACACAGATGCTGGTGTTTCGGAACCGTTTGAGCTTAACTTGCCACTGAGATTGGACCTGGATGTGCTGGCACAGGGACGAGCAGGAGACCGAGGTGTCTGGATGCCGCCTGTTGTTGCCACTCCAGGTGCTGTCCTTACATCAGTAACGGTTGGGGTCCTCGGTGTTTGGTCAGTACCAGTTTTGCCAATGGTTCTCATCGTTTGAGCATCATTTGCAGTGTTTGGTCTAGAAGACTTCGGTGTTGGTGGAGCAGCACGGTCGGACCGAGGAGTGGGACAGGAACTCTCCGGTAGCCTTGCGCTCATTGGAGCCGACGGCTTTGTTTCTGGGAGAGAAGAAGCAGTCTTCGGGCGAGCAGTCGTATCTCCATAGCTTATACCCGCGTCGGACCTCGCAGTACTACAACCGGTATTCACCAAAGCTTCGCCCATTGGTGCTGATTTGTCGGGTGCTCTTGCAGAATTCGGCATGGAAGGCGGCTGCGGCTTCTCCAGGAACATCCGTCTTCTCTCCGCTATCGCATTGACCAGGACCGCCGGGCTTACATGCTGCGGGAAGACGACCGTGGGTGCGGTCTTCGGACGATGTGGCAGCATGTAAGTCAAGATGGTCGGCTCAGCTCGCTCGTCAAACGCACCAGTGGCGTCAGTGGCCTTTATCCCGTAGTGAGGCAAGACGGCGTCCTGTCCATCCTTTCCCAGGTGTGCGGGAGGCACATACCTCAGGTACTCGGTGATGCTCGTTGCTTTGTTCCCGTGATAAGGTGACGCTTCTGTTGTTATCAGAGGTCCCGTCCGCGGCTTTCCCATGTGCGAGATGTACTCGGTGACGGACGTCACCTTCCTGTTGTGGAACGGGTCCGGGGCGTTGAGCAGATTGGGATGCAACGCGTGCAGCGGGACCAGGTGCCGCTGTGTTTCGGTAATGTCGGTGCACTTTTGGCCGAAGTACTCGTCGTAGTCTGGAATGACTCTCTTTGATTCTCTGAGCAGGAACTGGCGCCGGCGGTGGGGGAAGTCAGATATCGTCCATGGCCGGATGTGCAAAGGTCCTCCAGTCTTTGGTATAGGCGGCTTCCTCGGGCACGGGCAATTCCGGGTATGCTTCCTGGTCCTGATATGACCCATTAGGCTTCATCACCGGCCGAGGCGAGAGAGCTCGCTCCAGCCCTTATATACACAATGCAGGACTGGGGGTTTCAGCTGAAGTAGTTATTCATTGGGCTGCCGTTTGGACTTCTACCACGTGGAGACGGTTACAGAGACGAGAGGCCCTGTGTATATTTTCCGGCTATTACTCAGAAAGGACGAGGTCAGTATAAATGCCGCTTTTTTTCTTTCCATCCATCCATCCATCCATCGTCTTCTTGTTTTCGTAGTGGATGTGTAGGTACCACATTCCGGGGCGTAAAAGGCCGGCCAGCTAATGCAAGCAAGCGGGGAGGGCTCACTTTCTTGACTTAATGCCAACTCCAGATTTGGTTTTGACTTGTGGCGATTGCTCCTCTTGCAGGCAGGTTGTGTGGTACCACCAGCAGCAGTTATTCTTTTGTGCACGTGAGCGTATCCAGGTGCGTTGTTTTATGCTCCCAAGCAAAGGGGAAGCTAGCGGACAAGCAGGACCCACCTATATCTGGGGAGGAAGGTCCGGTCAGAGCGACGTGCGCGGGATAGAACACATCAACGCAGTCAAGGAGGTTGCGGCGGCGGCGGCGAGTTGCGCAAGATTCCTGGACGTGCATAGGTACGAAGGATTACACACGCACATCGCTTTCACCGCAGGCCGCTAATCATCGTCATCTTTATCCTTTCCACTGGCATATATCCGTGTACTTCCTTTTTCGTGTACTAAAGTGGGTGTCTCTGTGTGTGGATCCAGGGGAAGCCAACCAGGTGCCGAGCGCTCACTATAAAAAAAAGTGACTTTGTCTTCGCTGGACGACACAGACGGCTCCACAAAATCTGCTGGTTTGACAGTTAATGGGGGTATGTTTTTATTTTTCTTTGTCAACTGCGCAGCTAACTGTCATCGGCCAGAGAAAAGGTATACATTTAAAATCCAGAGCCTCTTCGTGCAAGGATAATGACAACGGCCCGACCACTCCATCACGTATCGTGGAAAGGTTTGAAGTTTATATAGAACTGTCCTAAGACAGAGATTGTGTCTTTGCAGGTAGGAATCACCACAAAGAAAGACTTCTTTCTATCATTTTGTACGTTTAGTAGTATCACCCTGAGGTCCCACCCCGCACCTTACGTGCACAACCGGTACTTTTGCAACTCTTCGCTTTCACCGCAGGCACGTAATCATCGGAATCTAAGTTGTACGCCCTTGTTATGCATGCGTATCTTCTTTCTCTCTGCAGCGACCAGCGCCACTGGCCGGCTCGTTTCTACAAGGTACCTTTGCTCGTTAAATCTCTCAGATCTTTGCATTATTGTCACCTGCCTCAACGGGACAAAGAAAGGATATATATTTTTCCCCTACCTAGGCAAGCGAAGGAAATTATTCGCAGGCAGATCATAAATCGTAACGAGTTATCACAAGCTCAGCCGGCCACCAGCGATCCACCTACGTAAGTCCTTGAAACACAAAACACAGAACATAAGACGCAGCGGAACTAATCGTATATAACAGAGCTCGCGGCCGAGAAGTAACTACCTACAGATAAACCAAAAACTTAGTGAAGAGGGAGCGAGTACCTCTATGATCACGATACGTCCCCGTAGAACACCACCGTTCTCGGTCCTCCTCCCGATCCACCACCACCACCTGACTTGGTAAGCTTCTTCTTCCCGGCCCTGTTCGTGTTCGCTGTGCTGGTGAAACTAATCCTTTCAAAAACGCTTTTCACTATTTTACATTGGTTGTTGTTTTGAGCTCCAGGTCCGCCACCACCACCATTCACCGCCTGCCCGGCTTTCATCTTCTTCCTTTTCCCCCTGCTCATGGCGAGATTCCCAGCCTGCTGCTGCAAGAGTGCTCGCTGCTTTGCAAGCAACCTCCTCCTCTTCATGGGAAGAGACACTTCCATTTCCTCGTCTTCCTCATTGCCATCCATACCATTATCGTCCTCATCAAACTCATCATACTCGCCACCACCACCACCAACTTCTTCTTCTTCTTCTTCCAACAGAGCCATCCTCTGGCGAGCCATTGCCTTCGCCCTGGGCCCCAGTGCCCGCTGCCGCTTTCTCGGCATGCACGACTTGGAAGTCCTGTGCACGATCCACTGCTCATCCTCCTCCTCCTCCTCCTCGTCCAAGCACCTCTGCCGCTGGAGACCATCTGGTCTCGCAAACACTGCCCTCCTCTGGACAGTCACAGGCACCTCATCCTCATCCTCCTCGTCGTCGGCTCCGGCTCTCACTAGCATCAAGCTCTTCTTTCGTTGCATCCTCTGTTGGAGCGCCACCACGGGCCTCTGCCTCGTCTCCTCCTCTTCAATATACCGCCTGTCCTCCAACACGTCGTCCAGGAGCTCCGCCGACGCCCCTCTCGCGGCCCGGAGAACAGACTTCGTCCTCCTGGCTGGAACCTCCATCCCATCAAAAATGCCGTCCACCACGCCGCCACCGGGCCTCCGCATCACACCAAACGACTCGCGCTGAGCCATCCTCGCCACCATTTTCTTCCTCACCACTGGAGGACGCCTCAGACCATCCTCATCGTCGTCAATGTACGTAGGCCTCACCACCATCGCCTTTGAAGGAGCTACGTAGCGCTCTTCTGGCGCTCTGCCAACAAGCCTGACATCATCGTCGTAAAGATCCCTGGCCATCATTTCCCGCTCCCTCCGGGGGGACAAGTCGACAAACCCCCTGCTGCTGCCGCCGTGCCACTCCCTGACCGACATGGAGGCACTCTCCCTCACAACTTCCTTGGCCGAGAACTTCTCCACCTTGGAAACGCCGTAGCGTCGGCACCGCTGTGGACTCCACCGGCTTGTATCCATCTCCCTGTGAGGAGGCGGCCTCCTGTTGATACCCGCGCTCCGGAGAGGACGAGGGCTCTTGCTCCTGGACCGTAGTCTCGGGCTCAGCTGGTGGTGGTCGTGGTGGTGGTGGCTTCTCGCCACAGGACTCTGGCGACGCCTGGCGGGGCTGCTTCTCCTGGCCGGACTCATGCTTCTGCGAGGCCTGGATTTGGGTGGACTCGTGCTCTCTCGCCTGGGAGGACTGCTACTTTGGAGCCTCTGCCTATCCGGGCTCCTCCTCCGGCGCGGGGGGCTCTTGCTCCGTGGCTTGTAGGCGCGACCGTGACGTCCGCCTCGTCGATCGGGCATCTGCTCATAAGTATTAATAGGTACAAATGCCGAGCTTGTTAGTTACTTACCTGGTAAAATCCCTCGCCACGGACACGGTTTCTGCGTGAAAAGAGTGAGGACGAGCTCGCAGCTTTAAGAAAGAGCAAACCTGTTCGTGTGTCCGCGGTTGCGTTGGATGTCGGCCTTTCTTGCCTCGAACTCTTCCCGCGACAGCGGCCTGTTGGACGATTTTGGCCCCGGAAAGCTGGCATTTGGAAGCACAGAGCTGTTAAGTCGAAGGCGGGAACCAATGTAAGACTTACGGCTGAAAGGGAAATTGTGCGGGCGCCGGAAAGCATCCGGGAAAGTAGCCAGCGTAGCCATAAGGAGGAGGCCTACAAGCAGGATCCCCAATCATATGGGACGCCGACCAGTATCCTGCGTACTGCACGGCAAAAGGATTCCCACGACCGTCGGAGCGTTGCTTTGGTATCACCTGCCGATCATCTGACAACGACAAGACACGCTGTCAAAAGCGAGCACAAACATTCCCAGTAGATACCAGAGCGTTTCGAAGGTTCAACGCCCTCCACCTCCATTTTAGTCTCTGCATGCATCAACCATCACTGTGTTACAAAGTCCGTACTGAAGGAAGCAAAATATATCGTACCAGGCTGGTCATGGATCTCTTCCTTCGATTTTACCGCGACATCAGGGGACCTTTTGTCCTCGACAGCTTCAGCAAGGGCTTTCGTAGCATCCGACTCCGGAGTCTTCTCAGACTGCTCTCCGTCTATGTCCAAATCGTCAATATTCAGATCATCAAAACCTTCCTCGTCGTAATCCACCTCCTCCACGTCTTCGAACTCATCTTTCCCTTCGTCAGCTTTTCCATCAGCAACAGCAACATGCGTTGTCGTCGAATCTGCAGAAGCTGTATAAAGTACGTAAAACAGCCTGAGCAACAAAGGTAGGACAAAGCAACCTTGCGATTGAGGCTTTTCAGCTTTCGTGGTGTTCACCAAAGGCAAAGCTGCCCCTGACAGCAGCCGATCAACAGTCTCGCGCAATGTCTTGTTAGGTAGCAGATCGTCAGCTCGAATGTTTTTGGCTCCACATACACACGTGGTCTTCTCCAAAAGCACGTTACGAATGCCTAGTGAACAAACATAAAACATAAAAAACACAATGACCATCAGAAACAAACTTACATGTATCGCAATAACTCTTAAAGCAGCATTTGCTAGTAAGAACCGCGTCTTTGAGAGCATTTTGACATAAAGGGCAGCGAAGTTCAGAAGGTACGTCCGTAATAGGTTCGCTAGGAATAACTCCCTCAATCTCCTTTGCAAAAGCATCCCTGAAGCAAGCAAATTAGCAGAAGTGCATAGTAGACAATTCAAGGCACGAACTCGTTTGGTTGCATTGCTGCCGCTTCACCGGTTGGTAAGGCATAAGACCCATCAGGATTTGCGACGAGCATCGTCCTAGGAATCCCGCTCGGCATCTTCATTTTCTTCACGTCATATGAAGGATCGCCGTTCGTTGGACAATGCTGAATAAAATGGCCTGACCACAACAAACAATGTTTCCAGTATTTACTACGCATGAGCTTTTTACTACCTGCAACTCCACAGCGATGGCAAATGTACCCCTGGTGTGGAACCTTCTTTTGAAAACTAGATCCTATAGAACTAAACCATGAGTAAAATCACAAAGAAAAACCAAAAAACTAAACAAACTGCAAACCTGAACCACCCGGTCCTTGATTTTCATTGGTCTGTCTGCAAATTCTGGCTGCCTTTAGACTTGCTAAAAACGGAGAGCATTCAATAAAAAACTGACCGAAGCCATTCTGCAGCAGAGGAGTCTACGAACTCCTTTATCCTGTCGTCCTCCTCGGATGTAATACAGACTGGACTAGTTTTGCCAGCCCTGAAAAAGAAGGAAAATAAAAAGTTTAGAAAAGAAAAAAGAGAAAGAAACGAGCAACCACAAACAACTTACTCGGTAGCAGCTTCCTGCACGATCGCCTTTCGAGGAACTCTCCTTACAAGAACGGACGTATTCTCCCAGAGCATAAACTCTTCATCCAAGTATTCTGGTATCAAAAAGAATATCAAAACAGGGGGCCAAGAAGATAGAAAAATCCAAACCTTCATCCGTGTCGGGCTTGGAAACCACCAAATCGAAATCCGACGACGCATTGCCCAGCTTGAGCTTGAGCAAAATCTTTTCCTTGAGCTTGCCAATGGAGATGCAATGCTCATCGATAGGCACCGAGTCGAAGTCCTTGGCGCTCTTAAACTTGTAATGCACCGCCATTGCCATTCCAATTCGCCAGGAAATCACTCACAGGGATGAGCGCGGCAGCAAAGAATCGATCGATACCGCGCCTTGGCTGAAAGAATGCGTGGGAGCGCCCAGCGATGAGCGCCCCGGCGCAACCCCAAACCCTAGCTCTGCCACACCTAGGGCTCGCCCCCAACAACGCAACGAAGAAACAAACTCGTCCACAGCAGACATAGATATCTGAAGATATTTCCAGGGTTTAGGATCGCACGGCCAAGATTCAAGGCCGACTCTAGGGTTTAAGCTCAGGATATTCGCTTTGATCGAGCGGCTGAGATTTGAGATGCCCGATTCTCAAAGCATAAACCATAATCGAACGGCCGAGGCTTAAGTCTCTCTTAAAACAAGCGGCGGAGAACAATTGTCTTTATGCTTTTCACCTTTTCCTAACCGAGTTCTTACTTTTTTCGAGTTTACCGCGTATTAAATAACAGGTTACCAACGTAAACCTGGGCGTTATATAGCTACCAAATAGAACACCACACACACACCACACACACAGAAACACACATTTTCTTTGTAATTATCTTCTCTGTGAGTAGCCGGTGGAAAAGCTTATAGGTCACTGGCACAGGCCGGTGGATCGCCAGTCACTATTGCACGAGCACGAGAATTTTCTCGCCGCGCGTGCTCGAGGAGCGCATGGCGACGATCATTCACCGGTCGATCGTGATCACCAGGAGGAGGAGGATCCGGTGCTGAAGATTCCTCGCGAAATCATCGCTTCCCTGGATTGAGATTTTCGGCTCGATTCGGTAAGCGCCGTTGCTATCTTCTTGGCTGGATGCATGGAGCCCTAATCCCTTCTCGTGTTCTTCCCTAGAGAGAAGAGCTTCTCTCAGAAGTATCAACCAATTCACGGTCGATACGATCGATCCAGCTCGAAATATCGACCAATTCCGGTGAATCGCGAGGGATTTCAAGGGAAATTCGGTGAATCGGGAGGGATTTCAAGGGATTTCCTATGGGATCCCGGCCCAAGATCGTCATGGCGCCCTCTCCACGGAGGGCGCCCAAAGTGGTACCGGACAAGAAGAGGCCGCTGGAGATTCACATCATCTCCGCCCAGAGGCTGTCCAAGGTGTCATACTTCCAGCGGACGCGAGCCTACGCGGTGGCATGGATCGATTCACAGCACGAAACCAAGCTCTCGACGCCCGTGGACAGGAAGGGCGGGCGCAACCCGAGCTGGAACGCGATCCTCACATTCTACGTGGACACGGACGATCTGGTGGAGCGCCACGGCATCAACGCGGGCATGACAATCGAGATCTACACCAAGGCGTGGGTGCGAGACAAGCTGATTGGCAGCGTGCGCGTGCTCATCGCGGATCTCGTCAAGGGAATGCGCGAGAGCAAAGGTCTGTGCTTGAGCTTCATGGTGATCCGGCCATCGGGCTTGCGCAAAGGGTTGCTCAATTTGGGAGTGAGGCCCGAAAGGCTCTACTACGATGATGACATCGTCGTCTACCAGCCGCCTCCCCCTCCACAGCCCGGGGCAGCGAGGGGGTGACTTGCTCGATCGATGGAGCAATCTATAAAATGCTTAGAGAGATAAATACAAATTAAAAAATTTGTGGATAATCTTAAAATATTCAGCTATATTCCTGAATATTCTTTAATCTATTTTGATTTGCTTCATTGTTTTGTACAAAAATGTTTAAAGTTTGTAAATCTAACATTTAAGCTGACCATAGATAATTGTTTTGTACAGAATGTTTAAAGTTTGTAAATCTAACATTTAAGCTGAACATAAATAATTTGATCCATACATGGAGAGAAAATTGAAAACTTTTCTTGGTTGGATCATTGGTCTCTTTAAAACTTGAATTCATCTGGCACCAATTTCTACCTGTCATTAGAAGAGGGTTAGTGAAGATTTTTTTTTTTGCTCTTTGTTGGTTTCATGCATAATGAAACCTTTTATTGAGGCTCATTTGCTAGTTTCATGCTTTAACAAAACTTAGCTCAAAGTTGGTTTTTTTGGAGAATAAAAGCCCTATTCAACTGGAGGAGGCTTAATTTGATCTTTCATCTGCTTAGAAATATGCTAGTTTTTATGATATGAAGTCATGTTAGTAAAATACTTGATAAATAGATCTAATATAGGAACATTATTGCATTATAAAAATCATATTTTTAATTGTGGAATATAATTAAAACCAACATGCAAAAATTATAATCTCTCAGACTTGATTCCTTAATAATGTTGCTTGAACAATCCTTAAATCTGAAGTGTCTAATTTATACCTATTGAAATATGTTAGATCAATAAATTTGTTAAACATGGTTATACCTGTTCCAAGGGATGTGGATCTAGACTCAATATGATGGCAAAGACCATAGCCACTTTTATTTTAGATTTAGTCTTGCTTTGGATGAGGGAGAGTTTCATTAAGTATCTTGAGTTTATATTACTCCCTATAGGACATTAGGGAACACGTTCATCAAGTGTGTAAATTATTTTTTGGATCTGTTCAAACAAGAATGAAGACTGCACTCATATGATGATGACAATGGCTAGAATTATCAATGTTGACTCTTACAAGAATGAAAACAAAGAAGATACCCTCATTAATAACAATGGGAACATATAATAGCTCTTGTCCATCTCCAATGAACCTCCTTTTAGTTTCTATCGTCTAAACACAGTAACCAAACTTTCTACCACTCCTCTAGCTTCTCCAACTTCCCCCTATCTCAAAGGATAGCATGGTGTAGTTTTATTGTAGCTAGCATAAATCTCCACCACTTTGCCATTATCATTGATACTCTAGTCCGGATCCCGTTAAAGTGAGCTCGATTACATGCTTCCCACAAGGCCTAAACCCTTGTCGCACACCATATTGCCCATCTAGCTTGACCAAAAGCCTCCTACACAAGAACCCCTAACTCTACAATTTACATAATTGAACTCTAATATCATTTAGTGTGGTTGGAGTTTTTAATATTATTTATTGAATCTGTAAATGTTGATCAAGTTAACATTGAATATCTAGCTATATGATGGAATCAAACCTTTAAATAGTGATTGTGGTTGAAGGAGTCTATGATCCATCTTGAGTAATTGTTGATGATTTTAGTTTCAACAAGAGTTTGAATTTCATCAATACAATTTGTAAAGCTGGTTCTTCATAGTTTAGGGTGCTCTTTAACACAAATCCCCCTCTTAAAAGCTTCTTTAGCTCAAAAATTGATAATCTTGGCCCTTTCACAACTCATGGCATTGCTCTTGCTCGGGCCACTCTTGGTTGTAGTGTTCATAGTGATTTGGGATGTTGTTGGTGTCAGCATCAAGAGCTGAATTTATGGAGATACTAGAGGTTGCTCCTGTTGGGTCGAGTTCGTGTTATGCTCCTGTAGTAGTGGTGATTGAAGATTTGGAACTTCCTTCTTAGCATCATTCAGTGAGGTAGTTATATGTTTAGGATCTAGTTTTTGAGCATTCTCTTAAGTTTCCTTGCTTTGAACTTTGCCATCTTTGTTGTTGTTGGTTCTCTTAAGAGTTTTTTTGCCCTTGTGTGTAAATGTTTGTTTGGCCTTATGCAAGGGTGTGTCATCTTAGCTGATGTTCTTCATCTCTTTGCTAGTAAAGTTAATGTTGGTGATGACTTTGCTTTTTCATCTTCTTTCTCCCTTGCTTCGTCATTTTCTTCCCTTTTGTCATTGTTGAAGAGGAGGATCAAATCTACTCCTCTTTTTGAAGCATATTCCCTTTTGCTTCATGTTGTCTCTGTGTTTATGGCTTCATTTAGTCTTTTGTTGCTATCATCTATTGTAGGAGTAGATGGTAGTGTTGAGCTTTGGGACAAGTGTTGTGATGTAAAGAAGTGTAAGTGTTTTACATTTGAGGCCATCTAGAAGCATCATTATTGTGATTTGGAGTTTCTTGTTGAGCTTATTGCAAAGATAACTTGTGATGTCGATATAAATGACTAAATTTTCCATTCTACTTTAGTCACTTAACCACATTTTCAACCATTTAAGGAGTCTCACTCACAACCTTTGTAAGTCCTATTCTAGACTTAGGGACTTACTAGCCCCAAAAATGGCATCCATGCCACTCAACCATTGCACTTGGTCCAAGTGCTCCACGTGTCCGATCCCATGATCGACACCCCAAGGTATCACTGACATATTAGCCTGTTACACTAAGGCCATGCCCATTCACCTTGGTCACACTAGTGGTCCAACACCACCTGCATCGTAGTCTCGTCTCTCAAAGACTAGGCCATCTTTCTATTAGTGACCATCCTAGATGCACTCTTTAGCATCCTTAAAATGCCTGCAGACATAGGGAATAACCTTCCCCAATATCCTTTTTACAATCCCCACTAAGTCTCTTTTTTGTCCATGGTTGTGTTCGCCAACACTACCATTGGGACAATGCTCTATCCTCTGGGACTTCCTCACCACATGACTATGTCATTGGTCACTACACTAGAGGACCACTCCTCTTTCTTTCCATAGTCTAGGACTTTGGGACAATATTTCGGAACACCATAGCCCTACGTGAGCTTCATGGGTACTCTCCCCACTTTTTGCCTTTGAGCCATGGGCTTAAAATGAGGTTTCATTGAGCCACACCAGGTATCCAAGTAAGTAGTGCCACCCACACTTGGATTGAGAGCATCAGCCATTCAATCTCCTGGGGGAACTAAAGCCGGCTCTTGAACACTTCACCAAGCTACCCCGCTTGTTGGTCTGTATTCACTCTAGCCTTGGATTTCCTAGTGGTTATCCCATCATCCAACACCTGATTATAACCTTCCTGGGCCAAACTAGCCTTTCCCGCCCAAACTGGCTCCATTGGAGTCCTCCCCCTACTATACTTTTGGAGCTCACCAAACCCCCTAGGGTTTGGGAGACAAATGCTTTGGGCATTCACCCTCAGACTTGAAGTGGACTTGGACTTGGACTCAGACTCATGCTTAGGCTCAGTCTCGGCCTCAGCCTCGGTCTCGATCCCGGTCTTGTTCTTGGTCTCGGTCTCGGTCTCGATCTCGGACTCCATCTTGGGTCCTTCTAAGACTCCATCTTGGGTCCGTCTTAGACTCCATCTCGGTCCATCTTGGACTCCATCTCAGACTCCATCTCGGGTCCATCTTGGACTCCATCTCGGGTCTATCTTAGACTCCATCTCCGACTCCATCTCGGGTCTATCTCGGACTCCATCTCGGACTCCATCTCAGGTTCATCTTGGACTCCATCTCGGACTCCATCTCGGATTCCATCTCAAACTCAATCTCAGGTCCATCTCAGATTCCATCTTGGACTACATCTCAGGTCCATCTCAGACTCCATCTCGGGTCTGTCTTGGACTCCATCTCGGGTCCATATCAAACTCCATCTCGGGTCCCTCTCGGACTCCATCTCAGACTCAACCACGTGTCATGTGTTGGTCCTCTTGTATCCCTTTTCTAGAGACTCTTTTATTACTCGCTTTGTGCTCGTTCCTTGAACACTTTGTTGGGAGTTCCAGTCCCGCTCTCGACTTTTCAAGTTGGAGTTTTTAGTCCAAACGTGTTATGCTTGTTTGGCTTTCGCTTCGGCCACTACCACATAGCACTCTTTCGGCTCCACTTTGGGGCTTAGGGATTTGTGTCTCACAACTCCACCACCCATAGACGAAGTTCAATGTCCTCATCAAACAATAAATTATTTTATAAAGTAAGCAATCTAAGCAATCTAATTGTGCATCACGACTCTAGGGCATCCCCTGCTTGGTGGTGTGCCCAAGCCAATCTCCTCACTAAGAGTCCATGACCACCAAAATATGAATGTTCTCATGTTTTAAACCATCACTATGTCCTAGTGATTTAAGACTCAAACGCAAGCACTAGAGGGTTGGGACTCGAACCCAACCTCTGTATATGCATCTACGGATAGCATCACCCAAGATGCTTGGCATGACTCCTCGCGTTGGTGCACCAATTTATACCTAAAGCGCACTATAGATCACAGCTTAGAAACATAGGTCCTTCGCACTACTAAGTCCTCTCACTTGATAAGTTTGTGATCATGCATGAACTCTTCTATGTGTGGCCCCATGGGCCACCCTTTTTGAAGTTAGCACCTTCAATTACAGTATTTGTTCCCTGGGCTTGTCAATCTTGCTTAGCAAGTCATCTGGCTAATATAACATGGTTTCATATATAAGCGCAAAAGTCCTTGACTATCGACTTTCATTCAAAGTCATCCCTTTGAACACTTGAGAACAACTTCCCCAACCTTGATAGTGTTGCTTTATGGCAAGCTTCAAAGCAACACTTTTGCTGTGCTACTCTGATTTCGCGCATTCCATGAACCATTTACACTTAGGCTTCTAGGTACTACGTTACTTAGAATTGTCTTTAGAAACCTTGAAGGAACTTTGTCCCTTAACTTGCTAAGGCATCTTCTTTCGCAAGCTTTCTAATTGCCATATAATCTAGTATGAATAATTTCATATTTTAGACTCTCCATGGCATCATGGTTGCTAGCAACAACACGCTCAAGCGCCCATTTGATTCTCCACTTCCAACTTGTATAACCATCTTTAGTTATGCCTTTCGATTCCTATGGTTCAATTTTATCCCTTTATTACTTATATTTTGGCCTCACACATTTTTT